ATTTGCGGATACTCCCTTTGAGAGATATCGTGCGACGGATGGACGGACGGAAACGGATTTGGTCCAAAGCGACCTAGGGTCTAAAACCGTTATTTCGATGAGGCACGTTTTGGCGATATCGAATGATATATACCTTCTCTTGCCATGTGGCTGAGGGTATGAAAATCTATTTTAATTTTGTCCAAACATTTCTAAAGTGGCTCAAATTGCTAGAAAAAAAAAATAAATTACATATAACAAATTAAAAAGCAGCTAAAGTTTGCCCCGTCGAACTTTTGAACCCCTCATCATTTTGAAAGAACTTGAAAAATTTAAAAAAAAAAAACGTAGAAAAAGTACCCTCAAATGAATGGGGGCTATACGAAGACGTGATCCTTCATAAGTAACTTTTGTCATAGGCTGTAGTACCGATTCCGAATTTCAAATACGAAATTTGAAATAATTCCGTTGAAAAATGTCGTTAAAATCATCAAAATACCGAATAAGGAAATGTGCCGTTGCAGGGGGGCTATACGAAGACGTGGATCTGCATATACGATTTTTGTCATGGGCTGTAGTACCTATTACGAACGTTTAATACGAAATTTGAAACAATTCCGCTGAACAATGACGCTAAAATCATCAAAATACCGAATATCGGGAGGTATCGTCATATGGAGCATATACGAACGGGTGGATCTGCACACGCGATTTTTGACACAGGCTGTGGTACCTATTACGAATTTTAAATACGAAATTTGACACAATTCCGGCAAAAACTATCGCTAAAATCGTCAAAATACCGAACATCGGGAGGTACCTTTATATGGGGCTATAAGAAAACGTGGATCGACATGGCCCATTTACGAACTTCTCCTGCCTACTGACAAAATACACATGTGTGCAAAATTATAGCCCTCTATCTCAATTCGCTCCCAAGATAGCGTGATTACAACCGACAAACGGAGAGACAGACACACGGATGAACATCGCTAAATCGACCTGGAATTTTAAGCCACTCATCCGACAGCTGTTAAAATTATTCCAGTGACAGCTCATTCTATTATTTGCAAGCGCTCAAAAGCATTTTGGTGAGAATTTTTCAGAAAAAAATATATTCGTAATGGAATTCAAGTGTGATTTCTTTATATTTGGCTGAGAGAACCACAAGTGGCTATCGTCGGAGAACTCCAGCATTTAAATGTGAATAAATATTTTGTGACTCGTACCATGGCTCGTTACCGTCATACTGGTAGCGTAGCCAGTAGCGACGTCAAGGAAGTGGACGGAAGAAAACATCAACATCAGCAGAAATGGTTCGAAAAGTAAAGAAGCGACTTGATCGAAACCCGCGACGCAGTGGCCGAAAAATGGCCGGTGAGCTGAACATATCGCAATATTCTATTCGGCAAATATTGAAAAATGAGCTCGGGGTAAAGCCATTGAAATTCCAAAAAGTACAAGAACTTATACCGCAACAGAAAGAAAATAGACTCAATAGAGCTAAAGAGTTGCTTCGCTTGGCCGAAAGTTGGGAACTGCCGAATTTTGTTTTCTTCGATGAGAAAACATTCGTTGTCCAGCAGTTTGTAAACAAATAAAATGATTCGCTCGTTTTTACTTGCCAAAGAGGTCAGCTGAAAATGTGCACCTTCGGTTGGCCACCAGAACTCGAGCGCCGGCCATAGTGATGGTGTGGGCCGCCATAACAGCCGATGATCGCTCTCCGCTCGTATTAATCGACCATGGCATCAGAATAAATGCCGAATATTATCGCGAAAATATTCTGGAGGGTGTATTAAAGCCTTGGGCACACAAACATTTTGGCCGCAGACCTTAGACATTCCAATAGGATTCAGCACCATCGCACTCAGCACGCGTCGCCCAAGAATGGTTACAAAATGAGGTTACTCGCTTCATTTCCAGCCTCGCACAATGGCCACCAAAATCTCCGGGTACCAATCCGTTGGACTATTGTGTCGGGAGTATTTTGGAGAGCAAGGTTGGCACTAAAAATACCAAAGTGTTGATCACCTCAAGCAAGCGCTACGCCAGGAATAGGCAAAAATACCGCAGAGCAATATTCGGGCAGCGTGTGACGGTTTCATTGGACGTTTGAAGGCCATAATTCGTGCCAAATGTGACCAATTTGAACAAATCTAAATTTATTCTAAAATTGGATGCTGTTTCCGACTTTTTTGCTTTCATTCAATGGAATTAAAAAAAAAATGTAAAAATTATGACGTTTGATCTATTTTTATCTCACCCTGTCTATGATTTGTTGGGTCTGACAAGAATATTTCGAGGTGTAACACACGGAATGACAAAGTTTATATACCCTATATAGTATGGTGGAAGGTAAAAAATATTGGAATTCCGCAAATGATTCAAAAATTTTATTTTGCTTTGAATTTTTACAGATTCGAAAAGGGTCTCCTGCCTCTGATGTTGATCCCTCCTCGTGCTAAATGAAATTTAATTTCCAAATACCACTGTCGCATCAAGTGTCTCTGTGCCACATTTAACTGAATTGAGATTACGCCATTTTATGATGTTGTTGTTTTAAATAAAATGATACATACAGGAAGGAGAACAACCAACCATACCCTAAATATCCTGCCAAAACACACTCACCCAAACACACACACACACACACACACATCTACATAGAGACAAGCAAAATGCCAGAACATCCGTTTAACATTATGCCAAGGAGATGCAGGAGGAAAAACTCGGCGGCAGCAAAATAGAAAAAACAACAACAACAAAAAATAAACATATCCTTTGTTTGTTTATGAAGCACAACAACAACAACAGCAGAAGCTGCAGCTGCAGCAACAAAACAATCTCAGTAAGCAATCATCCCTTTGAGGAAATTAAGCACCCACTTTTCGTCCTTTCTGATGTTGGGCTGTGATTTTTTTTTTTTTGTTGGAAGGACTGGTTGAGTGGGTAACAGGGGGGGGGAGGAGAGGAGTGGTGAGAGAAAATTGTGTTGAGAGTTGTGCCATCTCATTCTCACTAATTGAGAGGAAGTATTTGTATTAGTATACCGTTATATGTATGTCCTTCTTGTTTTGCCGTAGGAGAGATATCCTGAGAGCTATCTGTATCCAGGGCGGAGGCGAGAATGAGTGAAGTTTTGGTGGGGAGTCAGCTGTCAGGAAAGAGGGCAGTGGCCGTTGATGCCGCCTCACTGCTCAATGTTGGTTTTGCCATAAAACAACAACATGGCATAGACAGCCAGCCGGCCAGCCCGGCTGCCAGCCAGTTAGCAATGACAGAGACGAGAACAACAACAACAACTGAGTAATGATAACAACAAAATGCGATGAAAACGACAGCGGTTACGGATAAATAAATGTTTGAGTTGTGTAGAAAAACATTTTTATATTGCCCCGCACGACAGCAGACCAGATTCTGGGGGAGAGAGAGAAAACGAGATTGTTTTTGCCACGAAAGCTGGATGGCTGGCAGGATGGAAGACTGGTTGGTTGGCTGGCTGTTTTGGGATTTTCGCTTTGTCAGGACAACTCTATTGTTTTGGCCGGAGAACTGCGCTATTGTATTGAGTTTTTGGGTGCCGCCGCCGCCGCCACCACCACAACAAGCGACGAAAAGCTGCTGGTTGACTGGTCCAGACATTTGCAAAAACCAGATCGTCAGCGACAGACAAAACGGGTGGTCGACGCACGCAAAAGACACGGTGATGTTTTCCATTTTGGCGCGTTCGAATAAAAATTTACAAACACAACGATTCAGATTTTAATACAACGGATGTTTGAAAAAGATTAACAAAAAATATTTATTTAAGAAAAATAACAAACGAGATAGAAGGATTATGAAGTGAAAAAAGGAAAACGGAATTTAAAATAAAAAAAAACGATTAAAAAAAAAATAAAATAAAAATAATTTCGAAATTTAAAAACAAAAAATTTACAAAAAAAAAAAAAAAAAAAAAAAAACAAGACCACACAAAGATTTTAAACAATTCCTATATCAAAATCCATATTAAAATTTTAAAATATACAAAACAACAAGTTCCTAAATAAAGGCATGCAAAAATAAAAATTAAAAAAAAAAAATAGATTTGAAAAAATATAAAAAAAGAATTATTTCGCAAAAATATAAAAAAAATAACTTGAAAAAAATTAAAAACTGCAAAAAAAATAATAAAAAAAAGTATTTCTAAAAAAAATAGGACAATAATTAAAAATAAAAATAATAAAATATATAAAAAATAATAAAATTAAAATAATAAAAAAAATAATCCAATTACAAGAATTAAATAAATAAAAATTGATAAGGGACTAAAAATTAATTTAAAAACTAAAAAAAAATAAATTATTGAAAAGTAATGACTTATATTATTTAAAAGATTATTTTAACGAAATTAAAAAAATCAAGAAAAAATTGAAAAATATATTTAAAAACTTAAAAATTGTTTAAAAAAATATTTTTAAATTATGAAAAAGAAATAAAAATGAGCAAATAACAAAAAACTACAAAAATATTATTTAAAAAATTACTTAAACGAAATTAAAATAATCAAGAAGACTAAAAATTAATTTAAAAAAATACATTATCGAAAAGTAATGACTTTTATTATTTAGAAAAATTATTTTAACGAAATAAAAATAATCTGGAAAAATTGAAAAAATTAAAAAAACTTAAATATTGTTTAAAAAAATATTTTTAAATTACTAAAAAGAAATAAAAATGGTCAAATAACAAAAAACTAAATTTAAAAAAGTAAAAAACAAATCCCCAAACAAAAATAAAAATTAAAAAAAGTTGATTAAAATTTAATTAAAAGATAAAATTAAATTAAAAATGATAAACATAAAAATTAACACAAAAAGTGAAAATTACTTTTTTTCAAATTAATTTAAAAAACAATTATTAATTAAATTATTAATTAAAAATAAAAATTATCAACAAACTTAAAATAAATTCTACTAAATCTATTAAAAACTAATTATTAATTAATTAATTAAAAAAAAAATAATTAATCATTAATAAATTTAAAAACTACAAAAAAAACAACATCCTCCCCACAACATGCATACCTCCTCCGCCGCCGCAGATTTAATTGTGCTCAACGCTTGTCCGCCCTCACATTTGGCCAACATACCCCTCTCACCGCCGGCGCATCTAAAACGCCGATCCACTAACACCTTATCCTCAGAAACAACAATGGCCGGCGGCATTCACACAAATCATCAACAACACCAACATCAGCATCATCACACATCGCAGCAGCAGCATCAACATCAACACTCTAGTCAAAATCTACAACATCATCAACCGTCGGTAGCCCCGCAATCGGCATCAACCTCTTCCAACGTTTCAGTGCCATCATCTTCACCCCATGAGGAGAATACCACAACGTCGACTAATAACCTCGATTCAGATGCGGATAAAATTAATTCGCCATTGGTAAAGCCGCCATATTCCTATATCGCCCTAATTACCATGGCCATCCTGCAGTCGCCACAAAAGAAACTGACTTTGAGCGGTATTTGTGATTTCATAATGCAAAGGTAAGTTAAGGAGTTACCTCTACGTAGGGTAATTAAATAAAAAAACAATAATTCTGGCAGATTTCTTAAAAATATTTTTCGGACAATTTTTTTAAAAACCTTTTGACCTATAATCGTGTGTTTTTTTTAAGAATATTTCTTCACGGACCCCCTGACCATAGCTTTAAAAACAAGACAACTTAGATTTTTTTGGAAAACTCATTAAAGAACCTTCTAAAAATTAACCGTATTGTTTTAAGAATATTTTTTCGGAACAAAAATTTTAGATTAAAAACAAGTATAAAAACATAAAGTTCGGTCGGGCCGAATTTTTACCCATTTGGTAAAGAAAACATTTTTATATGAAGAAATGTATCTGAATTCAAAGGTGTTCCAATTTGACTAGGATTATCAAAATATCGAATATCGGTGGGTATCGTTATATATGCGCTATAGGGAACCGTGGATCTAAATATTCAATGTTCTGCCACCGGAGCTAGAACTCATTATGAACTACAAATACCAATTTATAGACACGTCTGCGGGAAAATCTGTCAAAAATCATCAAAATACCGCAAATCGGGAGGTACCGTTTATGAGGGCTATAAAAAGACTTGAACTTGCACAGACAATTTTCTGTCATAGGCTGTGGTATCCATTACGAACTTCAAATACCAAATTTGAAACGTTTCCGGTGAATAATGTCGCTTAAATCACCAAAATACCGAAAATAGGGGCTATACCAAAACGTGGACCTACCTGGCCCATTTAAAATACCAAAAGTCCTGCACACATAATACACATTTGAGTAAAATTTTATCAACCTTCTTCATTTCGTCCGGAAGCTAGAGTGATTTCCATAGACGGACAGACAGATAAACGGACGGACATCGCTAAATCGCTATATTTGTCAAACGTCGACCAGGTAGTTTTTTAAGATTTTGAAGATTTTTTTTAATGATTTTCGGGCCTAAAATCTTAGATGGTTTTAAGAAACTTCCAGCTAAGAATCATTTTCGTTTAGTTAAAAATATCCTCGTCAAAATTCATAGCTTGTTTAAATGATTTTCAACGGTTTTCTGGCCATTTAGAATCGTAATTATTTTTACAAGTTAGTTTCGGACAAAAATGGCGGATATTTTACGAGATTTTTAAGAAAATTCTGGAATTTTTTTGAAATTATCTAAAAAAATAAATCGGTGCTACTTTAAAAAAACTTCTTCAATCTTTTCCTGTCAATGCTCATGGGGTTTTCACGAACATTTCTTCAAGGATCGTTTATTTTCTTTAATTTTTTAAATGACTTCCTTGGTAACGAATCGTGGGGTTTTTTGAGGACGTGATGGTAGAATATCATAATTAAGATGTGTCAAAAAATATCAGTCGGCTTTCCGACTCTCAGCATTTTACCACTTATTTATGTATTCCCTTTTGGAACGTATTCCTTTTTGGTTCTAAATATCCCATTTTCATACCCAATCTAATGTTATTTCAAATATTTTAATGTGCGAACTTTGAAGAGAACTGTGCCTTTTATTAGAGTTAAGTCATTTCAAAAAAAAGACGTTTTGCGAGGAAGGTTCCAGAAAGAGTGGTCCCATATTTACACTAAATCTAATGTTGCAGGATGTATAGCAATGTGCGAACTTTTGAAGTTAAAGAAATTGTGAAGTTTTTAGTTTTTTTTTTTTTTGAGATTTTTTTCAAAATTTGAACTCTTCACATTATGTCAACGGTTGTTAAAAATATTGAGATATGTTTGAAGAATATCGTTGACTTGATTTACATATATATAATGAATCATAATTATTTAAAAATTTGACCACTTGTGCAGGAGGTACCAGAAGTAGTGGGTCGCTATATCTCATCTTGGCGCCAGATCTTATGTTAGCATAAATATTGGAATATTCCAAGTTTGAAAAGAATCTGATGCTTATTTCGCATTTTATGAGTATTCACAATTTTGAAACCTTTGTGGGGGCGGTAATTGTGCCGGCCATGACAAAACACCAATATTTGACTCCCGCAACTAATCTTTCAAAAGTTTTGATGCATGTTTGGAATCATTGTTATGCTGAAACACCCAAATAAGCCGAATATTTTCCTCATCGAAAGGGAACAACGTGATGTCCAACACATCTTTGTAAACAAACCGATGCCAAACTTCTTTTATTTCATGGATAGACCTAAGTCCATAGAAAGAAAAACAGCGCCACATCATTTTGGACCCTCCCTCATGCTTCACTGTACCCTTGCAACACTGCATTTTTGGTCTTCTTCATTTTTTGGTCTTCTCACCATAAAATTTTTCATGTCTGAGCCTTTAATATTAAACGTAGACTCATCCCGGAATAAAATGTTTTTCCATTGAGCTGGATTCCAATTGATATTATCAACATCCTAGCTTTCCGGTTTTTTCAGATACTAATGTATTTTTTGATGGCTTATGGGCATGCAGACCAGCTGCCACTACTTTATGTCTCTCACAAATTGTGATCAGTACGGGCTGAAGTTTTTCACGGCCTTCATCCGTTATGGACTGTTACTACTGATCCAGTTTCATAAAACCGACTTAGTATGCGAGAAATCACAGAAATATTTATGAAATATTTCCCGGAAATCATTTTCTTAATTTTTTCATAGTCACTGATAATATGCTGTTTTATTCATGTACTGTACAGGGTGAGATAAAAAACTGCAACAAAGTTAAACGCCCTATTTGTTACCTATTTTTAATTTTATTGAATGAAAGCAAAAAATTTCAGAAATAGCATCAAATTTGAGAAAAAGTTTAGATTTGTTCGAATTGGTTACCTTTGGCACGAATTATGGCCTTCAAACGGCCAATGAAACCGTCACACGCTGCCCGAATGTAGCTCTGTGGTATTTTGGCTCATTCCCGGCCAAGCGCTTGCTTGAGGTGATCGGCACTTTGGTATTTTTTAGTGCCAACCTTGCTTTCCAAAATACTCCAGACACAATAGTCCAATGGATTGGTATCCGGAGATTTTGGTGGCCATTGTGCGTTGGAAATGAAGCGAGAAACCTCGCTTTTGTAACCATTCTTGGGTGGCCCTTGCTGAGTGCGATGGGGCTGAGTCCTGTTGGAATGTCCAAGGTCTGCGGCTAAAATGTTTGCGTGCCCAAGGTCTTAATACACCCTCCAGAATATTTTCGCGATAATATTCGGCATTTATTCCAATGCCACGGTCGATTAATACGAGCGGAGAGCGACCATCCGCTGTTTGGCGGCCCACACCACCACCATGGAAGGCGCTTGAGTTCTGGTGGCCAAGCGAAGGTACACATTTTCAGCTGACCTCTTTGGAAAGTAAACACGAGCGGATCATTTTGTTTGTTTACAAACAGCTGGACAACGAATACTTTCTCATCGGCCAAAACCAAATTCGACAGTTCACCACTTTCGACCAAGCGAAGCAACTCTTTAGCTGCTTTGAGTCTATTTTCTTTCTGTTGCGGTGTAAGTTCTTGTACTTTTTGGAATTTTAATGGCTTTGCCCCGAGCCTATTTTTCAATATTTGCCGAATGGAATATTGCCATATGTTCAGCTCACGAGCCATTTTTCGGCCACTGCGGCGCGGGTTTCGATCAAGTCGCTTCTTTACTTTTCAGCATTTCTGCTGATGTTGCTGTTTTCTTCCGTCCACTTCCTTGGCGTCGGAATACTCTACCAGTATCACGATAACGAGACACAAAAGATTTATTCACATTTAAATGCTGGAGGGCACTAACAATAGCCACTTGTGGTTTTCCAGCCAAATGTAAAGAAATCACACTATCACGCTTGAATACTGGAGGTCATCACGAATAATTTTTTTTCTGGAAAATTCTCACCAAAATGCTTTTGTACGCTTGTAACCAATATAAGGAGCTGTCACTGGAATAATTTTAACAGCTGTCGGACGAGTGGCCTAGAAATGACAGGTGAAGTTGGTTGCAGTTTTTTCATCTCATCCTGTACTTCGGTCGACTTTATCTGGTTCCTTACGCACATTTTAACATTTTCTAAAAATTGTCACATGCCCCCATATGACGGTACCTCCCGTTACTCCGTATTTTTATGATTTTTGCGACATTGTTCACCGTAAGTGTAACAAATTTGGTATTTGAAATCGTAATGGACACTTCAGCCTTTGACTAAAAATTTCGTATGCAGGACCACGTCTTCGTATAGTCCCTATAGATCGGGTTTCATTTAAGTGGTAGTTTTCGGATTTTTTTAAAACTTTTCAAGATTTTTTTTGGAAATGATGGAGGGTATTAAAAGTTCGGGCCTGCCGAACTTAGCTGCTTTTTTATTTTTTTTTATCTCACCCTGTACCTACTTATTCCATATGCATATAGTCCAACCATGGCAAAATTTATATCAGACTTAGGTCAGACTTCTTCTTCTTAGGTCCACTTCTTCGAATATTTTTAATAAACGGACATAAGCTTAGGGTATACACTTGTATGTCGGAACACTTGTTTTTTATCTGATAAATTTTATAACTATTTCCATGGATAATTTAATCATTTTCGTCCTCTTTTATTTCCAGATTCGCCTACTACAAAGACAAATTTCCCGCCTGGCAAAACTCAATACGACACAATCTCAGTCTGAATGATTGTTTCATAAAGGTTCCTCGGGAGCCCGGTAATCCGGGTAAGGGCAACTTCTGGACCCTTGATCCCTTGGCTGAGGATATGTTCGACAATGGCAGTTTTTTGCGGCGCCGAAAGCGTTACAAACGGGCACCGGCCATACAACGATTCCCCTTCACATCTATGTTTGGGACGCTCTCACCGTTTTGGATACGCAAACCGGTACCGCTGGTACCGGTACATTTTAATGTACCCAATTTTGCGGGTGGTACACGGGACTGTTTTGATATGTTACATCCTCCGGCGGCTGCGGCGGCAGATGTTTTCGATGCGGTGGCGCTAAGAGGTACCGCCGCCGCCGGCGCAGCAGCGTCTGCTGCAGATAACAAGAAATTCAATTTCTTTGCCAACACCGATTTGTCGATGTATCCGAGAAGTGCGGTGGACAAGTTTGAGGCCTTCGCCCGTGGAGCGGCCGCAGAACGACCTCTGATGGATATGAGTGGGGTGAGTGATTTGGAAAAAATGAAACTCTACAGTTTTGGGGCTCTGCCGGGCAGTGGAGATGAAAATGGTTTCACAGCAACGCCGGGTCATCATCACCTGCCGCAGCATCAGGCGCATCATCATCTAACTACGTCGCACTATGACACCCAGACACATAGCTCACAAGATTCCGATGAATCCGATGATGATCGCATCGACATTGAATCACCCGATGAACAGGATTCCCACATATCAGATTCGATAGAGAGTTTAAGTACAAATCGCCTAGATGTTCAGGTGGATGATTCGGATGAGTTGAGTACGGGTGCGGCGGGAGATAGTCAAGGGGCCGGGGGCCTGAAGCGGCAGCTAAAGGATGCTTCCTCGTGCATTTTACTTTTTAACAACTACGACACGTTAATAGCTAGTAATAACAACAATAACAACAACAGCAATAAAACTAACCGTCCAGATGGCAAAGCCCCAGAAACGGGAGTGGTAAAACCATCACCAACTGCTACAAAACACATTACCGCCTCTCTGCCGGAGGTTGGCAGCTATAAATCCTCTCTGCTCTCATTTGAGTATGAAACAGGACGCACCACTACCAAACACAGTGCGGCCAGAGATTTTCGCATTGAGACGCTAATTGGAAACAATGATGCGGCGGAGAGTGTCTGTGACTGAGGCGGCGCAGGGGAAATATAAATCCTGCCGAGGTCCTGTAAATAAAACTGTGGTGAAATTTCAAAGGCTCTACTCAAAAATTCGAATATGGATTGGATATCCAATACAACCACAAGACCAATTTGCCCGAAATGCAAAATCGTTTATCCTGCAGCAACTAATGTAAATTTTTACTAATTACTCTTCTTCCCATCTCATTGTCAAATAAAAACAACAACAAAAAATTTAAACGAAATTAAATTTTTAAAAAGTAACTTCAAAACCAATAGGATCCAAACGACCGACAAGATCCGTTTTTATTGTATGTAAATGTATTTATTTATTATGTCTTGACTAGTTTTTAAGCAAATCTCACTAACGGTCTCACTGAAGCACCCATTTATTTTTAAGTTATTTAAAAAAAAATTAAAAAAAAACAAGAATTGTAAAAAAAAATAGAGAAAACATATAAAAATTAAAAAAAAAACTTACTAATGTTTTATTTATTGGGAGATCTCTAAAATAATAAAAAAAACCTACTTCTAGAAAATAGTCCATAAAAAATCATCCATGCTTCTTGGCCTCCATTTGGTTCAATAGTTTCCAACAACAATTCCTTAAAAATTCATTCATGTAAAATCTACGTTTGAAGGCCTACAAAAAATCTTTAGCAAGTAAAAAAGTAGGCCCGGCCGAACTCCTCCTCCTCCATTTCGAAGGAAATTGAAAAATTAAAAAAAAAAATTCCGAAAACTACCACTTAAATGAAAACCGTTATATGGGGACAATACGAAGACGTGGACCTGCATACGAAATTTTTTGTCATACGCTGCTGTGCCCATTACGAACTTCTAATACGAAATTTGTTACAATTACGGTGAATAAAGTCGCAAAAATCATGAAAATACGGAATATCGGGAGGTACCGTCAAATGGAGGCTATACGAAGATGTGGACCCCTATACGAATTTCTTTGCTATAAGTTGTAGTACCGATAAAAATCTTTCAATACAAAAATTTGCAACGATTCTCGTGAATAATCGGGAGGTACCCTTATATGGTGGCTATACGAAGACTTGGACCTGCATACAAAAATTTTTGTCATAGGCAGTAGTACCCATTAAGAACTTCAAATACAAAATTCGAAATAATTCCGGTATATAATGTAGCTAAAATCATGAAAATACCGAATATCGGGAGGTACCGTTATATGGGGGCTATACGAAGGTGTGGACCTGCATATACAAATTTTTGTCATAGGCTGTAGTACCCATTACGAACTTCAAATACAAAATTCGAAATAATTCCGGTAAAAAATGTCGCTAAAATCATGAAAATACCGAATATCGGGAGGTAGCGTTAAAGGAGGGTGCTATACGAAGACGTGGACCTGCATATAAAAATGTTTGTCATAGGCTGTAGTAGCCATTACGATCTTCAAATACTAAATTTCAAATAATTCCGGTAAATAAGGTCGCTAAAATCATGAAAACACCGAATTTCGGGAGTCCCCATAGGTATATTCCAGTACGAAATTTGAAACGATGCCGGTTAAAAATGTTGCTGAAATCATCAAAATACCGAATATCGGGAGGTACCGTTATATGAGGGCTATACCAAGACTGCACACAAAAATTGTTGTCATAGGCTGTAGTAGCCATTACTACCTTCAAATACGAAATTTCAAATAATTCCGGTAAATAATGTCGCTAAAATCATGAAAATACCGAATATCGAGAGCTACCGTTATATATGGGGGCTATAGGCAGATATGGACCTGCATAGAAAATTTTTTGTCATAGGCTGTAGTATCCATTTCGAACTTCAAATACCAAATTTGAAACAATTCCGGTTAAAAATGTCGCTAAAATCATGAAAATACCCAATATCGGGAGATACCGTTATATGTGGGCTATACGAAAATGTGGACCGACATGACTCATTTACGAACTTATCCTGCCTACTGGTAAACTATGCATGTATGTAAAATTTTAGCCTTCTATCTCAATTCGTTCGAAAGATAGCGTAATTACAACCGACGGACAGAGAGACAGGCAGACGGCCATCGCTAAATCGTCTTAGAATTTTACGCTGTTTCAGAATATATATATATATATACTTTGAAGGGTTTATTATGAATATTTGGAGGAGTAACAAACGGAATTACAAAGTTAATATACCCCCCATAGAATGGTGAAGGTATAAAAATAAATCATCTATACATGAAAAAAAACATCGAGGTCTGAAAATATCATGGAGTTTTGAATTAATTTTTAGAAAAATAAAAAACTCGCGCTTGAAAAAAATTACAAGGCCTGAAAAAATTACACCATCTGTTATAGGCCTAAAAAAGGATTAAAAAATATAGAGGTGTTATCCTTAAACGTTTATTTCTTCAAAATTGACGGATATATGCCCTTAAAAATGTAAAAAAATACGCTTTTAAATCTGAAAATCTTTAAAAAATCAATCATTAAAAAATTCACGATCTTTGACTTATAAAATGTTTACAAAATTCCGGCTTTATATCTGAAATCTGAAATCTGTAGAATTCATCCTTTAGGCGTTAAAAATGCATTAAAAACAATCATCTGCCAGGTCTAATTCATGAAAATCCATCCCAAAACTCCTCAGAGGAACTCTTAAAAAATAATTAAAAATCTTCTCTTACAGGCCTTATAGGCTCCGCTTAAAGAAAAACAATTATTAAGCACATTTAAAAAATCTACTCTTATAGCTTTAAAACTATTCTCAGAAAAAAATGTAAAAACAAAAAAAAAAAGCATGCTTCCATTCCTTTTTATGGCCCTAAAATGTAAAGGGATGCAGTTATAATTATAGGCCCGAAAAAAATCATATTTTGTTTTAAAAATCAACGCAAAACGTCCGAAGAAGTTTCCTAAGAAAACTCAAAGATCTGCGCTTATTGGGCTGAATTTTTAAAATTACAAAAATCCCGCTTAATAGCCCTAAAAATAAAAACTTCGCTCTTAGGGCTTCAAATATATTAAAAATTCCACGCTTAAATGTCTAAAAAGTAAACAAGAAATGCCTGATAACAATTCTTAAAAATGTTAATAATCCACGCTTAACGACCTATACAAATATGAAAGATTACAATTATTCGTATATGGCTTAAAAATCTGAAATCTACAAAAATTTAAAAATTCACGCTTATAAGCCTTAAAATGTCTTATGAAGACTTAAGCAACGAAAAGTCTTAAAATTAAAAAAAAAAAAAAAAAAGATCCAAATCTAGGCCAGAAAAAAAAAATTTAACCAAAACCACATTTGACAAAGCTTCGGTAAAAATGTTGACGCAAATCATCAAAATACCGTATAGCCCCCATATAGCGGTACCCCCGATATTCGGTATTTTTAAGATTTTAGCTACATTATAAACAGATTTTTTTCAAGTTTCGCTTTTGAATATTATAATAGCTAATGGCAAAAGTTGCCCATGGGTTAATAAAAACATTGAGATATGTGTAATTGGAAGAAAACTGGATGGTTATTTCGGATTTTATGATAGTTTTGGTTATTCAAAACTTTGACCATTTGTGGGGGAAGTACCAGAAGGAATTGTCTGATCTCTACCGTTTTTATAACAGATCCTGTGTTGATAGAAATACTCAGATGTGTCAAGTCTAAATGGAATCGGATATTAATTTCGCGTTTTATGAGCTCAATGGATATTCAATATTTCTACCTTTTGTGGGGAGGTATCAGAAGGAGTGGACCGATATATTCCATCTTATCACCAGATCTTGGCTTAATAAAATTATTGGAATGTGTGAAATTTAAAGACAATCGGACTCTTGCATCACATTTTACAAGAGTTATAAATATTCAAAATTTTCACCCTTTGTGGGGGAGGTGATTGATGGAGTGTACCGATATTTTCCATTTTCGCACCTGACTTTGCACTGATGGAAATATTAGGATTTACAAAGTTGGAGAAAAATCTGACCATCTTTTCTCTTTCTGTGCAATAAAATATTTTCTTTGAAAATTTCGACCTTTTGTGGGGGGAGGTATGGGAAGGAGTGGAGCGATATTGCCCATATCCGAACTCGATCTAAGTTTGACAAAATCGGACACTCCCTTCGGGAGTTACCGTGGGCACTAGCCAGTCAGACAGACAGACGGACGGAAGGACGGACGCATGGACGGACATCGCTATATCGACTCCAAATGTCCTAAAACGGATTTGGTTCAAAGAGACCGAGGGTCTTAAGCCGTTATTTCGCCCTACAGGCACTACAAAAATCATGCTTGTAAGCCTAGATGTTGCCGAGGAAAAATTACTTAGAAAGATCAACGTGTGTAGGTCTGATAGTTGCCTAGCAAAAAATATTAACAAGTAAAAAGGCTGTAAGTTCGGGCGGGCCGAACTTTGAAAACCCTCCACCATTTGGTACAAATTTGACAATTTTCAAAAAAATAAAATCCGTTAACAATTCTCTTAAAATTTTGAAAATACTGAATGTAGCCGTATATTAGGGTCTATACGAGGACGTGGACCTGCATAGGCAACTTTTGTCATTAGCTATTATAAAATTCAAAAGCGAAAAAAAATCTGTTTGTAATGTAGCTAAAATCATCAAAATTCCGAATATAGGGAGGTACCATGGGAGTTATAAAACGTGGACCTGCACCGACAATTTTCTGTCATAGGCTATAATATCCATTACGAACTTCAAATACTAATTTTGAAAAAAAAATCAGGTAAATATTGTCGCTAAGATCATCAAAATAACGAATATCGAGAGGTACTGTTATATGGGGGCTATACGAAGACGTGAACCTGCACAGACAATCTCCTGGCATATGCTGTAGTATCTATTACGAACTTCAAATACCAAATTTGAAAGAAAAATTCTGGTAAATAATGTCGCTAAGATCATCAAACTACCGAATATCGAGAGGTACCGTTATATGGGGGCTATACGAAGACCATTTTTCTGTCTTAGGCTGTAGTATCCATTTCGAACTTCAAATACCAAATTTGAATCAATTCCAGTAAATAATGTGGCTAAAATAATCAAAATACCGAATATCGGGAGGTACCGTTATATGGGGGCTACACCAAAACGTGGACCTACATGGCCCATTTTCAAAACCAAAAGTCCTGCAGACATAATATACATTTGAGTACAATTTTATCAATCTACTTCATTTCGTTCGGAAGCTAGAGTGATTTCCACAGACGACCGGACATTGCTAAAACGACATAGAATTTTATGCTGCTTAAGAATATATATTCATTGTGGGTTCTAAAATGTATATTTCGAGGTGTTACAAACGGAATGACATACTTAATATACCCTCCATACTATGGTGGAGGGTATAAAAATCTTACTAATGGCCGCACTGGATCTTTTAAAAATTCCCAATAGAAAATTTTACTAAAAAGTCGCCATTAATGGCGCCACATGCCTCCAAAAATTTTAATTTTTTAAAACGAAATTATGGATACCTTGTGTTCCTTATTATTCCGCTGGACATGTAGAAACTTCAATCTAACAAAAACCCTACACAGAGTCCTTAAAAAATCCCCGAAAACAATCGGACCTGGACTGGACGACAAATCTGAACCTCTACAAACATTAAAAAAAAATTCTTAATGACCATGCTGTTCTTGTAGAAAATATATTTCAAAAATCCCGAGGCTCATACTGAGCCTCAAAAAAAATATATATTTCAAAATTCCATTATTATGGTCATAGCCCTGGACCGGACGACAAATCTGGACCTCTAGAAATATTAAAAAAATCCTTAATGGCCATGCTGGTCTTGTAGAAAATATATTTCAAAAATCCCGACTAATGGTCATACTGAGTCTCAAAAAATATATATTTCAAAATTCCATGGTTATGGTCATGTAGAGGCACAACATGGCCATAATCATGGAATTTTGAAATATATTTTTTTGAGAAAATATTTTGAATTTCCACATTTAGAGACACATTCATGTTCCGTTATAAATTTTGAATTCTTGAAATGCAACGGATTTTTTTTGGAAAGCCTTAAAAATACTTTGCAGGATATTTTGACAGTTATTTGTTTAACTGTCAAAAAAATCCTTACATGCGCACTAAGTCTCAGAGCTTTTTTGGCACAGGACGCATCATAAATTAAATGTTTTGCGAAGCAGAGCTTTTTAATAAAAGCTCTAAACTTTTATTACGGATTATGCGCACTGCATGTCCTGCCACCATCCAATGCAACTGTGCGAGAGAGATAACCCTCTCCGTTGGCGGTAGTCAGGTGAAAGATGTCAACTGTATTATTAGCTTTCAAAATACATTCCAAAACTTCGTTGTCTTCTTCTTCTTCATCATCACTGCTGCTACTGCTGCTGCCTCTCATAGGACACACATAACATACACGTTGCCCCCTTGCACCCTTGTGACCCCCTCTCTCCCCCACAAAACACACTCTACAGTCGAGCTCCAACTTCACATTGAGTGTGCACATAGACAAGATTTTTCGCATTACAGAGTCGCTAACTCGCTCACACGGACTGACTGACAATTCATAGCCAAAGCAAAGCAAAGCAAAAGCAAAAAAAAAAAGAAAAGAAATAAAACTCCTTCTTGGCGAAAGGAAAAAGGACTTTTGTTTTAAGAATAGAAAAAAAAACGCAAAAGTGATAAATATTTTAAACGACAAAAATGAGTGCAAAAAAGGACAAAGGATATGGGAACAAATGAGTCAATCACATCCTTTTCGGAATTGGCCAAGTGAAAAAATCTCGGCAAAAGTGTAAAAAAACAATAGGTACACATAGCGGAATAATACATTTCGGCCAGAAGCAGGCACGACGACGAAGAAGAAGAAGAGGAAGCAGCAGAAGAGAGAGAGGCAGGACGAGGACGAGGACGACGACAACGAAACCTGATTTGGGGGAGTTTGCAAGGAGGAAAAACTGGCAACTATCACTGGCAGCGCAGTAATACTCGTAACACTTGGTGAAAATTTCCCAAACGAAAAACCCAAGGAAAGATTGCCAAGAATCTAAGCTAAGCAGGGATTTGGCAAAAGAGGATAAGGAGAGAGGGATAAGGAGAGCGTCAAAAGTTTAACTCAAAAAAAATTCTGTCAATTAATCTTTTTTTGTAAGTTTAGTTATTGCTTTTTGATAACAACTTTGTACCAAACTTCTGCAATACCAAAACTCAGTCGCCGGAGAGCATCTGAGAGCCCCCAACCCACCACCAGCACCCCCCCTCTCTCGCTCTCTCTCACACGACATTCACTTAATGCTAATCAAATGAATCAACGATGTTTTGCGTCCTTAGGCTAAATGTTGTGTTGTGTGGATGAAGAGTTCTGGCCAAAGGAACTACAACAACAACAACAACACCACAAACAAAAAAACACAAAAAAAATCGCAATGCAACGCTTAACTCCCGCATTAGATACGGGTGATTGTACGTAAAAACCCCATTAACCTTTCACAACTGGCCGCCAAGGAGTTGACAACAAACAGGCAACGAGAGGACGTCCGAAGAAAACAAAAAAAAAAAACGCGACAGGAGAAAACAAAAGGCAGATCACCAGGAGCTGCCAACACCAACATCAGGATATCAACCAAATTAACAAGCAAAAATAATCCATTAAAAACCACTGCCATACCACCACCCCATCCCCTCGCTCTGGCCACCCACCAAAACAAGAACACATACAGCGACACACATACCCTCACACACACACAACATCATCCCCTCCGCCACCCACAACAACAAAAAAAGGATCCAGAGTTCAACTTTGGATTTAAAAACTAATGAATGCCCAACAACTGCAAATTCCATATCCAATGGCTCTGAGACGTTACCTGGTATGTTTTAGCATACTAACTTGGCTATCATTGCTAACAAGTAAGTGAACACCCCTCCAACCCCTCTTTTTAATTTACCATTAATTCTGTCTTCATTTCGAAGAAACTCAATACGTTTCCGGTTTCTTGACCAACAGATTAGCCACCTTAATTGGTTTTCGTTACGTTACTTATTCTTATTCTTCTTCCACTTCTTTCGATTTCTTTTTAATTAGCCACCCAGTCGGTCAGAATAACCAATCTTAAGGTGCCTCATACCTACACGCTGGAACGTCACACAGAACCGCAACCCCTGGTGCTAGACTGTGAATATGAATTGGGGCCGCGCGAAAAGGGCTTTGTGCTCAAGTGGCTGTTCAACAACCACTCGATATATCAATGGATACCCTCCGTAAAGGGATTTGCAATGGTAAGTTGACGTTAAAGATCAGCTGAAGTTAAGCACTCCATTCAAAGGACCAAAAAGGATTTAGAAGGCGGATTTTAAAAATACATGTTCTACAGGTCCAATAGGGCCACAAGTGGGGATTTAAACAAGTTAAAAAGGTCAAAGTTCTGCCCGGCCCTCCACCATTTGGAACGAATTCGAAAATTTTCAAAAAAATAAAATCCTTAAAAAATTCTGTTAAAATTTTAAAAAGTTCCGAATATAGCCGTTATATTGGGATCTATACGACCTACATAGGCATTGTTTGTCATAAGCCCTTACCATATTCAAATTCGAAACTTGAAATAAACGGTGAAAAAATGTAGCTAAAATCATCAAAATATCGTATATAGGGAGGTACCGTTATATCGGAGCTGTGCGAAGTCCTGGAACAGCATAGATAATTTTTTGTCACAGGCTGTAGCATCCATTACGAACTTCAAATACGACATCTCAAACAATTTCGGTGGGTTTTGTACCTAATCTCATCAAAATACCGTATATAGGGAGGTACTGATGTATGGGGCCTATACGAAGACCTGGACCTGCACAGATAATTTTCTGTCATAGGCTGTAGTATCCATTTAGAACTTCAAATACCAAATTTGAACCAATTCCGGTGAATAATGTGGCTAAAATCATCAAAATACCGAATATCGGGAGGTACTGATATATGGGGCCTATACGAAGTCCTGGACCTGCATTGGCAATTTTCTGTCACAGACTGTAGTTCCCATTACGAACTCTAAATACGTAATTTGAGACTACTACAGTGAATAATTTCGCCAAAATCATCAAAATACCGGATATAGGGAGGTACTGATGTATGGGGCCTATACGAAGACCTGGACCTGCACAGACAATTTTCTGTCATAGGCTGTAGTATCCGTTTCGAACTTCAAATACCAAATTTGAAACAATTCCGGTTAATAATGTCGCTAAAATCATCAAAATACCGAATATCCGGAGGTACCGTTATATGGGGCTATATGAAAACGTGGACCTACATGGCCCATTTACGAACTTAACCTGCCTACTGGCAAAATATACGTGTGTGCAAAATTTTAGCTTTCTATCTCAATTCATTGGAAAGATAGCGTGATTACAACAGACAGACGGGCAGACAGACGGACATCGCTAAATCGACTTCGATCGAATTTCACGCTGATCAAGAATATATAAAATTTGTTGGGTCTGACATGAGTATTTCGAGGAGTTAGAAACGGAATGACAAAGTTAATATACCCTCCATAGTATGGTGGAGGGTATAAAAATATGGAGGAACAGTAATGACTATAAACTGGAGATTTATTATACCCTCCACCATACATAGTGTGGAGGGTATATTAAGTTCGTCATTCCGTTTGTAACTCCTCGAAATACTCATGTCAGACCCAACAAAGTTTATATATTCTTGATCAGCGTAAAATTCTAAGACGATTTAGCCATGTCCGTCCGTCTGTTGTAATCACGATACAGTCAAAACGAATTCAGATAGGGAGCTAAAATTTTGCACAGATCTGTCTTTAGTCTGCAGGCAGGTCAAGTTCGATGATGGGCTATATCGGTCCGCGATATCGTATAGCCCCCATATAACGGTACCCCCCGGATATTCGGTATTTTGATGATGTTAGCCACATTTTTCAACGGAACTGTCTGAAATTCTACACAAGGAATTCTTCTTGGGCACTTACCCCCTGAAAGAGAATAGTCCATATAGGTCCACAATATCGTATATCCCCCATATAACGATACCCCCGATATTCGGTATTTTGATGATTTTAGCCAAAATTTTCAACAGAATTGTCTGAAAATCCAAACAAGGAGTTCCAAGAGTACTTAACCTCCTGAAAGAGAATTGTATATCCCCCATATATCGGCACCTTCCGTTATTAGGTATTTTAAAGATTTTAACTGAATTTTTAATGGATTTTATTTTTTTGAAAATTTTCTAATTCGTTTCAAATGGTGGAGGGTATTCAAAGTTCGGCCCGGCCGAACTTACTGCTTTTTTACTTGTTAAAACTATTTTCTTGAGGTCATGTGGGGCCATAACATTTTCTAGAGATTCAGTGTGGCCATAAGCCGGAATTTTTTTTATAAAATTTTCTAGAGATGCAGTAGGTTCATTGGGGGGGATTTAAAAAAAAATCTAGAAGCCCAGTGTGGCCATAAGTTGGAGTAATGAAATGATTGACTAACTAACTGACTGACTAAGAATCAATGCCCAGACGAAACGGCAGGAGCTAAAATCTTGAAATTTTGCACGAGGGTCAGTCTTGGTGTTTAGGCTGGGTTTTTTGGAAATCCGTACTAAAATGTACTAAAAATGTAATACTTTGTATCGGTGAAACGGAATACTCTAGAATTTTGGATTGAGAGTCACTAAAGGAGTGCAGGATAGATGTAGCAAAGGGTTTTTTGGAAATTCGAACGTTACAAAAAGTCCAAAAATGGTACTAACAATGGTACCATTTGGTACTATGTGAACGAATAGAGTTAAAAACTTGAAACTTCCACGAGGATCATTCTTGGGTGATAAGGTTGGGTTTTTGAGTTTGAATGAGGATTTGAATGAGCTAGAATTCTGTATTGGATAGAGAGTCACTGATGGAGTGCAGGATAGATATAGCAAAGGGTTTTTGGAAATACGAACATATAGGTTAAGAAAAGTTATAAAATGGTACCATTAGTGTGAACGAATATAGCTAAAAACTCGAAACATGCGCGAGGGTCAGACTTGGCTCGTAGCCGTGTGATAAGGTTGGAGTTTGGAAAATCGAACTTAAAGGAATAATTCGACGGAATGAGCTAGAACTCTAAAATTTGAAATGCGAGTCACTGATGGAGTACAAATGGTGGAGGGTATTAAAAATTCGGCCCGGCCGAACTTATTGCTTTTTTACTTGTTTTAAATATTCTAGAGATCATAAGTTGGGTTTTTTTAGAATTTTTTTCTAGAAGCCCAGGAAGGCCGCATACTAATATTCTGGATTTTTTTAGATATGAAATATTCTTAACTCTCTGCTCTCTCTCTCTCTCTCTTAACAGGGCATCATGAAATCGAAAATCAATACGGAAATCTACACAACAGAGGGTAGTCCGGGTGTGATATCAATACGTAGGCCAGACTGGAATATGACCGGGGAGTATACATGTTTTGTCCAAACCTTCGAATCAACAGATAAACGAAGTAGCCGTCTACAAATAATTGGTGAGTACAGCAGCAGATTCCATTTTAGAGATTTAAAAAAAAAAATAATTCTTGTTTTTTTTTGACAGTTCCTGAATCGGATTTTTTACTTGAAACAAAAATGGATGGAACGCGTGAAAATGTCGAAGTAATGTGTGCCGTTCAGAATGTTTTCCCCCAACCCGTACTATACGTAAAGTAAGTGTAATATAAGGAGTTAAGTTTGGTATATCTACAAACAGGGGGTTGCAGAGGAAATGTTGTATCAATGGGACTTGCTCAATAAAGAGAGAGAATTTTTCATTATATCCGTCAAAAAAAAAAATTAAAAAAAATATTTAAAATGGCCGTTCGTAATGAACAGAATACCAAATCGATTTAAAATTGAATACCCGAATGTAGACAAAACTTGAATTTCTCAGAAAAATTTTTGAACCATCTTAGGGATATTATCCAGGGTGAGATAAAAAAACTGCAACAAAGTCAAACGCGATAATTTTTAAATTTTCTTTTAATCTTTAATTGAATAAATTTGAATGAAAACAAAAAATGTCGGAAATAGCATTAAATTTTAGAATAAGTTTAGATTTGTTCGAATTGGTAACCTTTGGCACGAATTATGACCTTCAAAAGGCCAATGAAACCTTCACACGCTGCCGGAATGATGCTCTGCGGTATTTTGGCCCATTCCCCGCGAAGCGCTTTGCTTGAGGTGATCGACACTGTGGTATTTTCTAGTGCCAACCTTGCTTTCCAAAATACTCCAGACACAATAGTTCATCGGATTGGTATCTGGGGATTTTGGTGGCCATTGTGCGCTGGAAATGAAGAGAGGAACCTCATTTCGCAACCATTCTAGGGTGGCGCGTGCTGAGTGCGAGTCCTGTTGGAATGTCCAAGGTCTGCGGCCAAAATGTTGTGCGTGCCCAAGGCTTTAATATAACCTCCAGAATATTTTCGCGATAATATTCGGCATTTATTCTGATGCTATGGTCGATTAATACGAGCGAGAGCGACCATCGGCTGCTATGGCGGCCCACACCATCACCATGGCTGGCGCTTGAGTTCTGGTAGCCAACCGAAGGTGTACATTTTCAGCTGACCTCCTTGGCAAGTAAACACGATCATTTTGTTTGTTTACAAACTGCTGGACAACGAATATTTTCACATCGGAGAAAACCAAATTCGGCAGTTCACCACTTTCGGCCAAGCGAAGCAACTCTTTAGCTCTTTTGAGACTATTTTCTTTCTGTTGCGGTGTAAGTTCTGGCACTTTTTGGAATTTTAATGGTTTAACCCCGAGCTTATTTTTCAATATTTGCGAATGGAATATTGCGATATGTTCAGCTCATGAGCCATTTTTAGGCTACTGAGACGCGGGTTTCGATCAAGTCGCTGCTTCATTACTTTTCGAACCATTTCTGCTGATGTTGCTGTTTTCTTCCGTACACTTCTTTGACGTCGGGCTACGCTCCCAGTACTAGCACACGGTAACGAGCGATGGTACGAGACACAAATGATTTATTCACATTTAAATGCTGGAGGGCTCTAATGATAGCCACTTGTGGTTCTCTCAGCCAAATATTAAGAAATCACACTATCACGCTTGAATTCCATCACGAATAACTTTTTTTCTGGAAAATTCTCAACAAAATGCTTTTGTACGCTTGCAAAGAATATAGTGAGCTGTCGCTGGAAAAATTTTAACAGCTGTCGGACGAGTGGCTTAGAAATGACAGCAGTCTCAAGTTGCTTGTAGTTTTTTCATCTCACCCTGTACACATAATAGGGCTTTTCCAGATGATATCATGGGCTGTCATCCTTTATTCTTTTACCTATAAAGCCAGCCGATGATTTAAACCAAAAAAAATTCTCTCCTTATGTATTTACCCATTATGAGACCTTATATCTTCACCACACCCCTCTCTTCCCCCTTTTCACACACATTTAACTAACATTTTTCTTTAATTTTTTTTTTCCTTCTTTAGCAGATTTGATACAAAAATTTTGGATTCCGTACTGACGCAAATGGATCAGAATGCTAGTGGCCTATATAGTATGACAGTTAGAACGCGTATACCTAGAGATAAATTCGAATCACCCACACCGATAACATGTGCATTTTACCTGCTTGGTACCAATTACACTAAAAGACGGGAAACTATTTTCTATGGTAAGTAGAGGTAAGAGATAATGGTAGAGTCGATATTTCTTTTTGTTTTAAGAAAACTAAAATTTGAAAAAAAAACTTTTGGGAAAAATTTTGTTCAGAACATTGCCAAAGAAAATCGGGTATTTCTCAGGGAAAAATTTCACGATGAAAATCGTGGATTTTTTTCAAGAACATTTTTACAAAAAAAACCGACTGACTGAATATAAGGATCCTTCTGTGGATCTTTGAGAAAACATATTTTAAGTTCATAAAATTTTAAACACCATCTGACGGAAAATCTTGGAACAGATTAGGGACGTTCCGGTCGAAAAAAGAAGATATTTAAAACAAGTAAAAACACATTAAGTTCGGCAGGGCCGAATGCCCTCCACCTTAGGGTAGAGGAAACATTAGAAGCCATTATGACCAACAAATGCCAATTTTTAGACATATTCGTGGGAAAATATGCCCAAAATCATCAAAATACCGAATATCGGGAGATACCGTTGTATGGGGGCTATACGAAAACGTGGACCGATTGAAGTAAACCCGCATACTGGCAAAATACACTAGTGTGCAATATTTTAGCCTTCTATCTCAATTCATTGGGAAGATAGCGTGATTACAACAGACAGACGGGCAGACAGACAGACGGACATCGTTAAATCGACTCAGCATTTTTAAGCTGATCCAAAATATATACTTTGTAGGGTCTATCATGAGTATTTCGAGGAGTTACAAACGGAATGACAAAGTTAATATACCCTCCATAGTATGATGGAGGGTATAAAAATAGACTTCATAGCCTAATTGGGGGCTACCTTACATATGCAGGTCCATGTATTCGTTTGGCCCCCATGTGACGATACCTCCCAATATTCGGTATTTTGATAATTTCACCGACATTATTAACCGGAATTGTTTGAAATTTCGTATAGGAAGTTCGCAATAGGTACTGCAAGCCTTGACAGAAAATTGTCAATGCAGGTCCACGTCTTCGTCTAGACCACCTATAATCATATCATATATCATATAGGGCGGCTATATTCGGCATTTTGATGATATTAGCGACATTATCCACCGAAATTATTTCATATTTCGTATTTGAAGTTCGGAATCGGTACTACAGGCTATGAGAAAAAATTAATTATGCAGATCCACGTCTTGGTATAGTCCCCCCATATACCGATACCTCTCAATATTCGGTATTTTGATAATTTCACCGACATTATTAACCGGAATTGTTTGAAATTTCGTATAGGAAGTTCGCAATAGGTACTGCAAGTCATGACAGAAAATTGTCAATGCAGGTCCTCGTCTTCGTAAAGACCACCTATAATCATATACCTCCCTATATTCGGCATTATGATGATATTAGCGACATTATCCACCGGAATTGTTTGAAATTTCGTATTTGAAGTTCGGAATCGGTACTACAGCCTATGACAAAAAATTAATTATGCAGATCCACGTCTTGGTATAGTCCCCCCATATACCTATACCTGTCAATATTCTGTATTTTGATGATTTTACCGACATTGTTAAACGGAATTGTTTTAAATTTCGTATTTGAAGTTCGGAATCGGAACTACAAGCTATGACAGAAAATTGTCTATGCAGGACAACGTCTTCGTATAGCCCCCATATACCGATACCTCCCGATATTCGGGATAATGATTTATATCGGAATTGATTCAAATTTCGTATTTGAATAGGTACTGCAAGAAGACAAAATGGTCCACGTCTTCGTATAGACCACATGTAACGACACCTCCCTATATTCGGCATTTTGATGATATTAGCGACATTAATCGGTACTACAGCCTATGACGAAACATTACTTATGCAGATTCACGTCTTCGTATAGACGGTAATTTTCGACAGATTTTTGTTTTTTTGAAATTTTTCAAGTTCCTTCCAAATGCTGGAGGGTATTAAAAATTCGGCCCGGCCGATATTAGCTGCTTTTTTACTTGTTTTTTATTTATGTATTTCGAAAATTTTGTGTGATGGTACCAGGACAAGTGGACCGATTTTGCCATCTTCAGTCTCGATTTTAGTTTGGTAAGAAAATTAGAAAACAAATCGGATATCCAATCCAAAATGTCCAGAAAATGCAATTCTTCAATGCAGCACATGTTAGACCCTAGAAAATGATGGTCCTCTATAAATTGACGAACTGCCATGGATCCTCCTAAGATGAAAAATCTAAGGAGGGTTCCGTATGTAATGAATAGCGTTATTAAGGTTGTCTATACATATGAGACTTTCAATATACCTATTCTAAGATTGCACATCCTCTCTAGATCTTCTGTTGGACTTCTATAGATAGAAGACTATATTCTATAGGTCTTTTTTAAGAAAGAATATTTTTAAAATAATTTAATTAGTAAAAAATTTTCAGTAGAACTTTTTATGATTCTTCAATACCTTTGATAGGACCTTCTGTAGATAGAAGGTATACCTTCCATCTAAGATTTTTGCTTTAGATCAAGACCTTATATATACCATATGTTCTCCAAGTATAAAAGACTTCCCAAGGGTCTTCTAAAATTAAAAACGAATTCCAAAAAACCTTGTACAGGTCTAGACATACCTTCCATAGGCCTTTTATAGATACAAATCTCTCTATGGGAATTTTATGAAAAGAAGGACGTTTAATGTCCATCAACTATTTATGGCTCTTTTAAAGATAGAAGACCCTTTGTAGGTCTATTACGAATAGAAGACATTCGAAAGGTTTTATACGTAAAGAAATATTTCTGGAGATCTTCTGTTGGGAGATGCACTTACAAGGGCCATGTATAGATTAAAGACCCTTTGTGGGTCTCCTATAAGTATTATTATATAATTCCGTTTTAACCAAAACCCGAAAAGACTTTCGCCCGTATTCATAGGTCCTCATCTGTATATCATCAACAATCAACATTCCGAATGGTTCACAATATGCCAACGAAATGGCAACCATGTCCATTCATATACATGAAAACAAAGGGGTTCGTAATTATAAATACGAGTGAGTAAGAAAGAGAGAACAATTAATGGCTGCACAATGGGAACTACAAAACTAAGACCGATACAGAGAGAGGTATGGGAAAGCAGATACAACAATGTTACAATTCAAAGAAGTAAAAAAGTATCGGTCGGTTTTGCCGACAGATGTATACCCTTAGCCAATGTTTGATTATCTAAAAATATTTTGACTTCTGTTATGATTATTCAAATGTTTATTCCCTTATGAAGTTGGTTCTGAAGGAATTGGCCAATATTGGCCATTTCGTATCGGATCTAAATAAATATGATGTAAATATTGTAACGTGGTAGATATGAACTGTGTTGTGTTAATGGATATTTTGGAATGTACCAAGTCTTCATGGATATTCAAAATGTTGAGCCTTTGTGGGGGAGGTACCAGATCGAGTGGACCGATATATCCCATCTTCACAACGGATCTTTTGTTTTTGAAAATATTGGGATGTGTGAAATATAAAGAGAACCTGATGCTTATTTCAGATTTTATTTTCAAAACTTTGACCCTTTGTGCCTCCACCACAGGAGGAATGGTCCGATCTCTACCGTATTTTTTAACAGATCCTGTGTTGATAGAAATATTCAGATGTGCCAAGTCTAAATGGAATCCGATGTTAGTTTCGCGTTTGGGAGCTTAATGGATATTAAAAATTGCGACCTCTTGTGGGGGTGGTACCAGAAGGAGTAGATCTATATATTCCATCTTAACACCAGATCTTGGGTTTATTAAAATATAGGGATGTGTGAAATTTTAAGACAATCGGATTCTTACATCACATTTTATAAGACTTATAATTATTCAGAAATTACCTTTTTACCCTTGGGGGTGGTACTTAATGCAGTGGGCCGATATTATCCTATTTTGCACCTGACCTAGCACTGACGCAAATATTAATATTTGCAAAATTGGAACAAAATCGCGTTATCGTTTCTCTATCTGTGCAAATAATATATTTTTTTGAAAATTTCGACCATTTGTGGGGGAGGTACAAGAAGGAGTGAACCGATATATTCCATCTAAACACCAAACCTTGGGGTAATATAAATATTGGGATGTGTGAAATTTGAAGACAATCGGACTCTTACATCACATTTTATGAGTTTTGTAATTATTCAAAATTTTGACCATTTGTGGGGGAGGTACTTTATGGAGTGGACCGATATTGTCCATTTTCACACCTGACCTCGCACTGGCGCTAATATTAGGATTTGCAAAGTTAGAGCAAAATCGGGTTATAGTTTCTCTTTCTGTGCAAAAAATATTTTTTTTTTGAAAATTTCGACCTTTTGTGGGGGAGGTACCAGAAGGAGTGGACCGATATTGCCCATCTCCAAAATCGATATAAATTTGACAAAAATATTACGATGTACCAAGTTTGGATCAAATCGGATACTTCCTTCGAGACAGACAGACGGACGGACGGACATCGCTAGATCGACTCCAAATGTCCTGAAACGGATTTGGTCCAAAGATACCTAGGGTCTAAAACCGTTATTTCGACTAGGCACGTTTTGACCGTATCAAATGATATATACCCTCTCTAGCCATATGGCTGAGGGTATAATGAATGGAAACTATCTAAATTAACTTACAATCTTATTTAGATCCTCAATGGGTCTCTTGCAGAAAAAGTATCTATAAATCTTCTATTGATAAACGTCCATCCATGTGAGGTCTTTTTTAGATCCTTCGTAAATAAAAGACCTCTCTGGGTCTTCCATATTTCGAAAACCATTTATAGATTTTCTGTAAAAAGTAGACCTTACAGAAAACATAGCAGACCTTTTTGGAGGAAGGCCTTCTATAGGTGTTCATAAATAAAAGGGTTTTTTTTTGGGATCTAAGATCTAGAGATCTTTTGCACACCGAGAACCTTTTATAAAAAAACTTTTGGAAGCTTTATTATAGAAAGCAATTCGCCAGTAGCTTTACCATCAATATCAGACCAACTAAAATGTATTTATAAGCTCTGGACCTTCTCTAAGCATTTTATAATTAGCTGAGATTTTATTAGTAAAAGATCTTCTGTAGGTCTTTTTTTTTTTTTTTTTTTTTTTTTTGGACCCTTTTTTCGCTTCTAAAATCAGATGAAAATTGGAAGGTTGTCTATGGAAGGCAAAGTAGCTTTACCATCAATATCCAATATTTTGAAGGTCCAGCGACCCTCTTTGATCTGTTACTAATAGAGCACCTTCCATCGGTCTTCCATAACCAGACGTCCTTCTATATTCCATCTATTTATAGATGACCCCTGAAAACCCCTTTTTCGAGTTCAAGGTGTTAATTATAGACCATACTTCACGACTATAATTGACATGTTTTTGACATGTCCGAAGAGGAGGAAATAATGACAGGGATTTAAAATTTACAAAAATTGAAATGACAACGGCACGCAATGCGGATCTAGGCCATTACGACGACGATGTGAAGGGCGCAATTTCACTCAATGGACATTATTGTACAATTAACTTTTAAAAAATGGTTATCTATTAATAAATGATAAAGCATATGTCCGAACGGCAGACCGGCTGACGTAGCATGTGACAAAATATCCTTTTGGGGACAAATTAGGCGACGCAACAACAGCCGGTCGGGCTGGTTGTTTATTTTTAAGTTCAGTTGCCATAACAACAATTTACCAAATTGTTGTTGGAAATTTTGAAATTCTATTTTTCTCTCTTCTTCTTCTTCTTCTTCTTCTTCTTCTTCTTCTAATAAATAATTTTTTCCTCTCCCAATCTCATTTCCTTGCAGATAAAGCAACAAATATACAACGTAAATGGACAACAGTCGCTGTAGTCATGTCGATCGCGTCTTTAGCTTTAAGCAGTTAGTTTGGATATTTGTAATAAAAATAAAAACAAAAATTGAAATAATAATAATTTAATAACATAAATAAGAATAATAATAAATTTAAAAAAAAAACAAATAATATTTAATATATAACAAAGAAGGACGAAAGAAAAAGAAAAAACCAAAAAATCGAAGACAAAGAAGAGGAAATCGAAAAAACCAAAAAGTATATTTGTGTTCGTATAGGATATTTCTATTTAGAATTTTAAAAAAATGAACAAAACCCCCAGATGAAAAAAAAACAACCAACAACAACAAGATTCCCAATAAAAAAAATAACAACAAAACCCCAAGAAAAACAAAAAAACCCAGAAAATAGAAAACGTAAAATAAATTTTGCGGTATTTTTAACGAAAAAGTGCTTATTTTGTAAATGCATGTAAATGTAAGAAGAAACAAACAAATAATAAAGAAAAAAAAAACAACAACAAGAAAGGAGAAAAGAAAAAAGAATAAAAAAACCAACTATACTAAAAAAAACACGAAGGTGTGAGGAAGTTTCTTAACAAAAATTGTTCAAAGGGATACAAAACTCTTCAAAGAGACCAGAAATTGGAAGTCTGGCTTGAAGAGTGGATGGTAAGTAAAAGAGAAAAAGTCCATATTTGGACGGAAAGATTTTTTTCTGGTTACAAAAAAAGTTGCAACGGAGAAGATTTTCTAGCTGGAACTGGTCTCCTAGCCATAGTCAACTGCAACAAGTCTTATAGCTATAGAAGAGCTGAAACAGATATTCAACCTATATAAGAGAAACAGAACTAATACTAGCCATAAAAAGGTGAAACAGATCTTCTAGCTATTGAATAGCTAAAAGCGTTGGATCAGATCTTCTAGCTATTGAAAAGCTGGAACAGGTCTTATAGATGTAGAAGAAATAAAAAACGCTTATAGCCTTAGAGGAGATGGAACAGGTCTTCTAACCTTATAAGGGCTGGTACGAGTCTTCCAGCTATTGAAGAGCTGAAAGAGATCTTTAGCTATTGAAGAGCTGAAAGAGATCTTCAGCTATTGAAGAGCTGGGACAGATCTTAAAGCCTTAGAAAGCTTGAGCAGGTCTTTGGCCTATAGAAGACCTGGAACAGGTATTCTAGCTTCAGAAGATCAAAACAGGTATTCTAGCTTCAGAAGATCAAAACAGGTATTCTGGCTATAGAAGACATAAAACAGGTCTAGTGACCTGACCTCAATCAGGTCTCTGGCAACAGAAAAGCTGACACAGGTCCTCTATTCATTGAAGAGCTGGAGAAAGTCTTCTGGCTCTAGAAAACCTGAAACATTTCCTCTGTCTTTAAGAGAACTGAAACAGGTCTTCTGACTATAGACGACTAGAGACAGATCTTCTGGCTATAGAATACCTGAAACAGGTCCTCTGGCTATGAAATATCTGAAACACGTCTTCTGGCTATAGAAAACGTGAAACAGTTCTTCTGGCTATAGAAGACCTGAGACAGGTCTTCTGGCTATAGAAGACCTGAAACAGGTTTTCTGACTCTAGAAGAAGAGCTGAAACAGGTCTTCCGGCTATAGAAGACTTGAGACACGTCTTCTGGCTATAGAAGACCTGAGAAACGGTCTTCTAGTTATTTATGAGCTGGAGCTGGATCAGGTCTTATGGCTACAGAAAATCTGAAACAAGTCTTCTGGCTATAGAAGACCTGAAAGAGGTGCTCTGGCTGAGATGACCTGAAACAGGTCTTCTGGATATAGAAGACTTGGAACAGGTCTTTTGTATATTGAAGAACTGGAGAAAGTCTTCTGGTTATATAAGATCTGTAGCAGATCTTCTGGCTCTAGAGAAGCTGTGACAGGTCTTCAGGTTCTAGGAGAGCTGAAGCAGAGCTGCTGACTCTAGAAGAGCTGAAGCAAGGCTTCTGGCTCTGGAAGACCTGGAACAGGTCCTATGGCTATATAAGATCTGAAACAGGTCTTCGGGCTGGAGAAAACCTGACACAGGTCTTCTGGCTATAGAAGACCTGAAACAGCTCTTCTGGCCATGGAAGACATGAAACAGGTCTTCGGGCTATACAAAACAAAATGGTATTCTGGTTATAGAAGAGCTGGAGCAGGTCTTAAGGCTCTAGGAGAGCTGAAACAGGTTTTCTGGCTCTAGAAGAGCTGAAACAGGTTTTCTATTCATTTAAGAGCTGGAACAGGTCTTATGGCTACAGAAAATCTGAAACAAGTTTTCTGGCTATAGAAGACCTAAAACAGGTGCTCTGGCTGTAGACGACCTGAAAGAGGTCTTCTGGATTAGAAGACTTGAAACAGGTCTTTGTATATTGAAGAACTGGAGAAAGTCTTCTGGCTACATAAGAGCTGAAACAGGTCTTCTGGCTCTAGAAGGGCTGGGACAGGACTTCTGGCTCTAGAAGAGCCGTAGCAGATCTTCTGGCTATAGAAGAGTAGGTCTTCTGGCTCTAGAAAAGCTGAGGCAGGTCTTCAAGTTCTAGGAGAGCTGAAGCAGAGCTGCTGGCTCTAGAAGAGCTGAAGCAAGGCTTCTGGCTCTGGAAGACCTGTAAAGGGTCCTATGGCTATATAAGACCTGAAACAGGTGTTTGGGCTTTTTAAGGAGTTGGAGAAAGTCTAGAAAAGCTGAGGCAGGTCTTCAGGTTCTAGGAGAGCTGAAGCAGAGCTGCTGGCTCTAGAAGAGCTGAAGCAAGGCTTCTGGCTCTGGAAGACCTGTAAAGGGTCCTATGGCTATATAAGACCTGAAACAGGTGTTTGGGCTTTTTAAGGAGCTGGAGAAAGTCTAGAAAAGCTGAGGCAGGTCTTCAGGTTCTAGGAGAGCTGAAGCAGAGCTGCTGGCTCTAGAAGAGCTGGAACAAGTCCTATGGCTATATAAGACCTGAAACAGGTGTTTGGGCTCTTGAGGAGCTGGAGAAAGTCATCTGGCTTTAAAAGAGCTGAAACAGGTTTACTGCTCTATAAGAGCGGAAGCAGGTCTAAAGATCGGTCTTCTGGCTCTAGAAATGTTGAAGCAGGTCTTCTGGCTCTTGAAATGAAACAGGTCTATTGCCTCTAAAAGCACTGAAGCAGTTCTGCTGGCTCTAAAAGATCTAAAAGCTTTCTATCCATAGAACACCTGAAGAAGATCTCACATTCATAAGCCAACTGAGGAAAGTCTTCTCTCCATAGATAAGGCCTCTATCCATATAAGACCTCTAGAAGCCTTTATCACCATCGAAAACTTGATGTTGTATCAATACACGACCTGGATCAAGTCCCTCCATAGAAGAGTTAAATAGACTATTTTTCTTTAGAAGATCTGAAAGGGGTCTTTCTGGAGAGAGAGTCTCCGTTTATGTCTTTGGAAAACCTCTGATGATTTTCCCTCTATACGAAGTCCGTAGAAGTTGAAACATATCCTTTGTATTCCAAACTACCTTAACTTTTCGCAACCTCACCCAAAACAAATAAACTCTAAATGAATTATGTTTTCTTAATTTATTTTTATTCTGCCCCCACTCCCACACCCGCTTCCTCCCCCCTCATTTAGGATATCATTTAATAATCATCTTGATATCCCTTTTTGTGCTCCAACTAATAACAATAAACTAAAACGTCCTTTGACACATCCTGCATCGTTTGCGAAGACAGAGTCTAATTTACGTTAAAGTTCCTGACTTTTAAATTAGTGTCAGTGGCGTTTGTCGTAAAACTCGAATGTTATCTGATTTCTTCTCTCTCCTGTGTTGGGGGTGAGTGGGTGTTCGTGTGTGTGTGTATGTCTGTTTAACAAACCGTTACCGAAAGGTCTGTCCTACTGTGCCACTGAGACCTGATTGTAAATGAACCGTTCATAAAAATTAATGATTTGCTGGGTGCTCTCTCTTCATTTCTCTCAATTTTAAAGTGAAATTAAGCGGTGTGGGATTGAGAGGGTTGCCAAGTCATGGTTTTTGGAAGGAATTTTTCACTTTGTAAGTATGCTATTGGTAGAAGACAATTAAAAAACAGGTCCAAGATAAGAATCGCACTTATATTTTCTCAGAATTTTGTTAATCTATGAATATATTTTTTAATAGACCTGATTGGGAATTATTAAAAAAAATATGTAGGTCCTTGGTAAAAAATATGTAGGTCCTTGGTAGAAATATTCAAAATATGCACCATCATGATTTTTGCCCAGACAAACCCGTTTAAAAATATATTTGAAATATCCCGGAAATAATGAAAAATTTATTTATTTATTTATTTTTTTTTTTTTTTAATATTTAAAAAAAATTGTAAAAAAATTATTTGAAAAAATTCGAAAAAATTTAGGTATAAAGGGGAATTTTTTTAAACCAAAGTTTTCTAGAACTAGGTTCTTCTCAAAAAATTCTAAAAAAAATAGTAATTTGTGATCGGAAAGTCCCCCTAAAAGTATTCTCGAAAAATCCCTGATGTGTCACCAGAAAATCATTGTGAAATATTCTTAAAAAATCCACTATATTTGAAAAAAAGGGGAAATATAAAAATATTTTCTACCAGAGAATCCCTTCAACATTACTGTTAAAATACACAATTTTGGCATTAAAAAATCCTTTCAAAAATATCCTTAAAAATAAATAATTACTGAAAAAAAGTCCCGGAAAAATACACTAACAAACCTACGATTTTTGGTGTGGAAGTCCTTAAGAAATTTCATAAAATCATAAATAGACACCAACAGAGATTTCAATATCAAAATTTGGGTTTCCAGCTCTATTCCTATACCCAATACCCAAATTAGTACCTCATAGTACTTTTCGTACTTTTGAGGTCAACCGAGAAATCAATATAAAATTTGAGTGTTCCAGAACTATACCTTCAACCAATACCAAATTAATTACTATTTAGTACTTTTCGTACAAATATACAACGTATTTCCAAAACCACCTCCATATCTCATTTCCAGATGCCAACCGAGGCCTCAATATCAAATTTCAGTATTCCAGCCCTATCCCTTCACCAAATACCAAATTTAGTACCATTTAGCACTTTTCGTACATATATACAACATATTTTGAAAAGCCACCTCCATATCTCAATTCCAGATATCAACCGAGACCTCAATATAAGATTTGAGGATTCCAGCCCTAACCCTTCACCAAATACCAAATTTAGTAATTTAGTAGTATTTCCAAACCACCCCCAAATCTCAAACACTGATACCACCACTAATATTGATAACAAATTTTAAAATTGTATCTCAATTCCTTTCCCCAAAACCAAAAATAGTACCATTCAGTACTTTCGTACAATTATAGTACACATTTCCGAAACCACCTCTATTTTTTTACCACAGATACCAACCGAGACCTCAACATGAAATTTGAAGATTCCAGCCCTATCCTCTCACCCAATACCCAATTTAGTACCATCTAGTACCTTTCATACAAATATGAGACGTATTTCCAAACCACCACCAAATCTCAAACACAGATACCATCAGTAATCAAAATATCAAATTTCAGAACTTTATCTCTATGGCTCACCCCAATACCAAGTATAGTACCATTCAGTACTTTTCGTACAATTATAGCGCATATTTCCGAAACCACCTCTGTATTTTAATCACAGACACCAACCGAGACCTGAATATAAAATTTGATGATCCCAGCCCTATCCCTCACCCAATACCCAATTTAGTGTCATTTAATACTTTTCGTACAAATATATGACGTTTTTTAAAACCACCACCAAATCTCAAACACAGATACCATCAGTAATCAAAATATCAAATTTTAGAACTTTATCTCTATGGATCCCCCCAATACCAAATATAGTACCATTCAGTACTTTTCGTACAATTGTAGCACATATTTCCGAAACCACCTCTGTATTTTAATCACAGACACCATTAGTGACATCTATACCAAATTTCGGGATTCCAGCTCTATTCCTTCACCCAATACCCAAAATAGTACCACTTAGTACTTTTCATCCAGTTATAGTACACATTACTGAAACCACCTCCATATCTCAATTCCCAATGTCAACAGTGACCTCAATATCAAATTTGCAGATTTTAGACCAATTAGATCAACCCCTTCACCTAATACAAAATTTAGTACTATTTAGTACTTTTCGTGCAATTATAGAACACACTTCCAAAACCATCTCCATATGTCCAGGCTACCCACATGAACAGCGATTTTAATAACAAATTTCAGATTGCAAGCACTATCTGTCCGCTCAATACCAAATATAGTACTATTCAGTACTTTTCGTACACTTGTAGTACACATTTTCAAAACCACCACTTTATCACAAACAGTGATCCCAATACAAAATTTCAAAATTGCAGCTTCATCCATTTACCCTAAACCAAACCGTCCAAAATAAGTACCATTTCGTACAATTAGCACACTTATTACACAATTCCAAAATCCCCCGCACATATCAAACTCACTTTACAACCTTGATTTTCAAATCAAATTTCACGTTTTTAGCTCTATCCGTTCCCAGGAAACCAGATGGAACCATTTTAAAAGTTTAGTACCAGTTTAGAACTTTTCGTAACCTTTAAGTTCGAATTTCCAAAAACCCTTTGGTACATCTATTCTGTACACCATCAGTTATTCTCAATTCAAATTTCAGAATTCTAGCTCATTCTGTTTGTCCAATACAAAGTATTCCATTTTTAGTACATTTTAGTTATTTTCGTACCCTTTTAGTACAAATTTATAATATATATTGAATTGTACAAAAAATCTTTGAAATAAAAATCTCAAAAAAGTCCTGAAAATATATTCTTAAAAAATTGTCCTGTTTTTATTCCTAATATTGGAATTATTGAAAAATTATTAAAAAAATCCAACATTTGTGAAAGAATTTCATTAAAATATTCCCAAAAATCCACCGTGAAAAATCTAAAATTTCATGCTGGGAAATCCTGAACAAACATCCTTGTAAATTCCAAGTTTTATGATCAGAAGATGTTTTGAAAATTAATCTAAAATATCAGCAAAAGTATGCTTTAAAATCCCTACCATCCTCCAAAAAATATTCTTTAAAAAATTCACAACATTAAATATTAAACGTGGCAACACTGGACAACAGTAGAGCAGATATTAAAAACATAACAGATATGGGAAACCAGGTAAATTACCAAAAACAAATGCCTTTTGCATTTCCAAAAACAACTGCCTTTTGCATTGACAAAATTTTGTTGGGATATTTAAGGGAAGCATTTTTATCTAATCACCCTCTCTCTCCCTCAGATGCCTCTCTCTCTCAATTTTCTTGTATCATAACTGTCAAACATCCATAAGACCCCCCAACAAACAAAAAACACATGTTCATTGTGACATTCCATTTTTGGCGTTGCCACCTCATTTTGTTGTTGTGACAACAAACAGTGTAACAACCCTTCAGCCGGATGTTATGCTCTTCTCACAACGAACGGCATGCAACACTGTGCGCCTTTTTGTCTCTATTGGAATATAGGTTTTCTCATTCTTGTTCTTCTTCACTTTCTTCTCGTGTCATACTAGCATTTTTTTTTGCCTACTGTTCGGATTTTGTCTTCCAGAGAATTTTTTTCATCCTAAAAGTATGCAGTGGTGACAGTAGTGAAAAGACAAATCACCAAACAAGAGTAGTAGTGGCTCCAAGGTTTTTTTACAATCGGTTTTTGTGTTCTTTTTTAGTTCAAATTCAAAGTGTGTGCTGTTTGCTGCTGCTGCTGCTGGTGGTGGCCAGAAAAGAAAAGAGGAATAGAAAAAAGAAAAACACCACAAGAAAATCCCAATCGAGCCAGCAGTGATTAAGTAACAGACACACCAATATCCGAAAAGCAATAAATCAAAAGATTTTCAGAATTTCTTAGTGCAAATAGTCGTCAGGTCTACGCTTTTTTTCAAGTCATCACCGTTCCTTTTTTTTCTGCCAACCATTGACGCCGCCCTCCTTTCAAGCAACCACCACCACCACCATCACTGGCTACTGTTCGCGTTTTCCAGCCTTAAGAAAAAAAAAACGCCAGCAAGAAAAGTGTATTAAAAATTTGCAATGAATTTCAAGGAAAAGTTATGAAAAACATTTGTGGAAGTGAAAAACAAGAATTGGTGAATCTCGGTCCGGGTGCAAAGTGAATTTAGGCTAGCCAATACCATATAATAATAATAAAAACGAGAGCCAGTGGCCGTAATTTTTTGCTACTCCAACAAGAAAGTACAACTGCAAGCAAACCAACCATGGCTTCGGGTGGTTATGGCATAAGCTCCATAGATCCGGAGGTGTCCTCAACATCCAATACAAAGTTCACCTCCGACAATATCAGTCAAAGCCGTGAAGGTAAATTGGCCAAAGGCTTCTTCTATTTTTTTTTTGAATTACATAAATTCGGGCAAGATCTTTAACATTATTAACAATGAGTGAGTGCGGGTGTGTGTGTTCTTTAACATAATACTTGGAACATAAATCTTAAAAGAAAATCATTTCTCTACCCCCCCCCCCCCTCCCCCATTCCTTGCAATTTCTAAATGAAAATTTCCGTTTCCCTGTGAAAAAAGAAAATTATCATTACAATGTCAGTGAAGAAAAATCAATGAATTCGTTGAACTGACAAGAATACGATGTCTCGTATTCCTATTGGAATATTGCCCCCAAAATGAAACAAGCGAGTGAGCGAGAGAGAGTGAGAGCAAAAGTATCTCATGAGTGGTAATTTGTGAATTTATAAAGGAGAGCAGAAGTAAAACATGTGTCACTTAGTTTCACTCTCCCATTGGAATATGTTAATTAAAGTGGTTTGTTTATGTTTTTCTGACGTCTACCATTCACTGACAGTTGTTTGAATTTTAATGTTGTATTTGCAAATACACAATGTTGTGATAAAATAAATGTGTTACTTTTAAGGGATTTAAAAGGGAGAATTTAAGAAATATTAACAGATTTAAATAAGAGAAATGAATGGGGAAGGAAGTAAATACAGATTAATTGAGATTTTTAGTGAATTGAAGATATCGGTCTTCCACAGGTCTTCTCTAGACAGAATTTCGCATATGACAGATAAACAGACATACATACGGACTTTCAGTTATAAATTCCAGAATTTCAAATATTTTTAAGAAGCCTAATCGGGCCATAAATTGGTAAATGATTAATTTTTATTTTTAAGAAAATTCTTCGATTGATTGACTTAGTCAACTCTACGATATTTATGGAATTATTTTTCAAAGGACTTCCTGATTATAAATCCTGGGCTTTAGAAAATATTTTGTGAACGGTCACGCAGATTTCTAAGAATATCTTTTCTAAGATTTTGAATCTATAATCGTGGACTCTCTTAAACCCTCTTACACAGTACAATTAAACCTCATTTTTACCAAAAATATCCAGCTTTGCATTTTTCTGTAACTTATGGAAAACCGGCTTCTATCGCTAATTTTGAAAAAAAAAAAAATCAAGTTAAAAAATATCAGTCGATTTTTCCGACAAATGTATTCCCTCAGCCAATGTTCGATTATTTAAATATATTTTGACTACTGTTATGATTATTCAAAGGAATGGGTCAAAAGGAAAGGGATTGTCCATTTCGTAGCGGAGCTAAATAAATATGATATAAATATTGCGAGGTGCCAGGTTTGGACTATATTGACTACTTCCTTCACTTTATATGAGATATGCGATAATTTTTAGAACATGTTAAAATGTGCGTGGGTTACCAGATACAGTGGACCGAAGTATTCCATTCATCGAAGTATACTTCATCTATTACAGATAAAAATATTAATATGGGCAAAATTACAAGAAAATCAACCATTTATATAAAATTTTATGCGAAATCAATCATTGAGAGAAAAATTTGATTGTAAAGAATTGCTGACCTGTTTCACAAGTTATGACAGATAAAAGTATTGAAAATTGGGATCCAGATACCAGAAGGGGTTCGCAGATATGTATCATCTTTTAGAATTTATTATCGTTTTGGTTATTCAAAACGTTGACCCTTGGTAGGTGAGCTACCAGAAGAAATGGTCCGATCTCTACCAACTTGGTACCAAATCTAGTGTTGATGGAAATATTCAGATGTGCCAAATCTGAATGGAATCAGATGTTAATTTCGCGTTTTATGAGCTTGACAGATGTTCAGAATTTTGATCCTTTGTGGGGGAGTTACCAAAAGGAGTGGTCCGATAAATCCCAACTTCACAGCAGATCTCGTTTTGTAGAAATAATGGGATGTGTGAAGATAACCGGATGCTTATTTCGGATTTAATAATCGTTTTGTGTATTCAAAACTTAGACCCTTTGTGTCGGAGGTACCAGAACGAATGGTCCGATCTCTACCATCCCTATAACAGATCTTGTGTTTATGGAAATATTGGGATGTACCAAATCTGAATGGATTGGATGTTAATTTCGCTTTTTGTGAACTTCATGGCTATTCAAAATGTTGACCCTTTGTGGGGAAGGTACCTGAAGGAGTGAACCGATACATCCCATATTCACAGCAGATCTTGTTTTGTAGAAATAATGGGATGTGTGAACTATGAAGAGAATCAGATGTGTATTTCGAATTTTACAATCGTTTTGGTTATTCAAAACTTTGATCCTTTGTGGGGGAGGTACCAGAACGAATAGTCCGATCTCTACCATCTTCATACCAAATCTTATGTTTATGGAAATATCGAGATGTACCAAGTCTCAATAAAATCGGATGTTAATTTTGTGTTTTATGAACTTCATAAATATTCAAAAATTTGACCCTTTGTAGGGGAGGTACCAGATGTATTCCATTTTCACTTCAGACCTTGGGTTGTTAAAATAATTGTGATGTGTGTAATTTGGAGACAATCGGACTTTTACATCACATTTTATGAGAGTTATAATTTTTCAAAATGTTGACCCTTTGTGGGGGATGTACTTGATGGAGTGGACCGACATTGTCCATTTTCGCACCTAACGTAGCACTGATGGAAATATTAGGTTTTTCAAAGTTAGGACAACATCGAATTATCCTTTCTTGCTCTGTGTAGTAAAATATTTGTTTGAAAATTTCGACCTTTTGTGGGGGAGGTAACAGACAGACGGACTGACACCTCGGGATCGACTCCAAATGTCCTGAAACGGATTTGGACCAAAGAGACCTAGGGATTAAAAACGTTATTTCGATGAGGCACGTTTAGGCCGTATCAAATGATATTACCCTCTCTATCCATATGACTGAGAGTACAAAAATCGAACTGTAAGAGAGAGTTCTTCCAAGATTTATCAATCCTTTTGAGAGGAATTTCTAGTTACAATTTTAAGAACATTTATAATATTTATTTTTTTTTAAAAAAAAAATGCATTTGTAGATTTTGATTTTTTTAGGACTTCCCAACAACAAATTTGGGCTTAAGAATCTTACTTCCATTTTGTAACATTTTCTCAAGGACTACCTTGACAAAAATTGCATATGTTTTCAAAATGTCTCAATAACGACGTTCTTTTAAAGACACATTTAATTTTTTTCTTGAGCTCCTGACAACATATCGTGTATTTTTAAGGACCCTCTGACCGCATATAGGACCTCCTAACAACATACCGCGAATTTTAAAGACACATCCTGATTTCCTGTGTATTTTAAGGATTAATTTTTTTAAATACTACCTGAACATATATCGTTAATTCCTAAGAACCTCCTGAAAACCTTTATATATATATATATATATATATATATATATATATATATATATATATATATATATATATATATATATATATTATATTTCATTTTATATAGGTATAGGTATTTTAATTTTCTTTAAGGCCTATTTTAAGAATATCTACTAAAGAACCACCAATTTTAAATTATTTATTATTACTTTTTTCAGGACATCCTTAAAAAATATCTTAGTTTTTAAAAATATTTTTACAAAGACTTCCTGCCCTAAATTTTCCATGCCTTTCAATGACTCTGCAAAAATTCTAGCTTTTTAAAAATATTTTTTAAGGACAATGATCGTATTTTTCTAAAGAAATTTCACCGAAAAAATATTTTTAGAAGGATTTTCCCTTCATAATTGTTTTTTAAAGACTTTTTGTCCTAACATTTTTAAAGGATTTTTTTTTTCAAAATAAGTGTGAATTTTTCTTTTCATTTTTTTCTAAGAGTTTCCAACTAAAAATATTATTTTATTTATTTTAATTTTTCCTCTTCATTCAGAAGATTTTCTCCAATATTTTCTACCGAAACATCCTATATTTTCACCAATCCTTGGTAAGAACGCCGCAATTCTTGGATTTTAAGAAAACTTTTTTTTAAATTGCTGAGCATTATTTGCGTATTTTTAAGAAAATATCTGTAAAGACTTTATGACCGTGAGTCATGTTTTGAAGAATATTTTTTTAAAGACTTTCTGATATCATGTTAAAATATATATTTTTATGAACATAATTTGAAGCACTTCCTGACTACAAACGTGATTTTTTCCGGAATACATCCTCAAAGAATTTTTTACAAAACAGCATTTATTTATTACAATAAATTTCAGGGATATCTTGACCGCATATCGTAGCTATTTATAAATAATTTGTTTAAGGACTATCGAAGAAAAACTATTTGAATATTCAAGAAACTTTATACTGACCACAAATCGTGGATTTTCAGGAATTTTAAGAGTATATTTTCCATCGATTTCCCTCATCGATTTTCAGAACCTTTTTTGAAATCTTTATGGCGGAAAACTTTTATTAATGTCTTCAAGAATAGTTTGTCAAAAAAAAGTCTGATTGGGGATTTTTTTGCCGAACTTTTCCTTATGCATTGTAAATAAAATGCCGAATTTTTTTATGTTATTTAAAAGGATCACTACCCAAATATTGTTTTTTTTTAAGAAAATTTTATTTTAAGCATTTTTTATAATCCCAGATTATTAATGAATTTTTCATCAAATAATATAATTTTTATATTTTTTTATACAGATGCCCAAGACTCATCCATTTCGGAGGTAAGAACCAAAAATATTGAACCTACATGACACCATTTTTAAACTAATATCCTTTACCTCCCCTTCAACTCTATTTCCCTATTTAGGCCCAGGGTAAACAACGTACCAAAAGTGATAAAGAGCGTAAAATTGGCCATAGGCGGGTGGGAGAAGGTGGTGAGATCACCTATAAAAAGATACAGACATCGCAGATTATGGGTTCCATACAACTGGGTATACAGCATACGGTGAGTATCCTGCAGATTCCCTAACTTCAGAATTCTATTGACCAATATTTTTCCCCCCTCCTCAGGTCGGTAGTCTAGCATCCAAACCAAAACGTGATCTACTTATGATGGACTTTTGGGAAATCGAAAGCATTGTCTTTCCGCCCGAGGGTTCCAGCCTTACGCCTGCCCACCACTATAGCGAATTCAGATATAAAATCTATGCCCCAATTGCATTTCGTTATTTTCGCGACTTGTTCGGCATACAGCCCGATGATTTTATGATGTCGATGTGTTCGTCGCCGCTAAGGGAGCTGTCGAATCCCGGGGCTTCGGGTTCCATATTCTATTTGACGCACGACGATGAGTTCATCATTAAGACGGTGCAGCACAAGGAGGGGGAGTTTTTGCAAAAACTGTTACCAGGGTAGGGAGGAGAAAAAATAGGAACCTTTTTAAATCTCTAATCTTTGTTTTGGTTTTTACAGTTACTACATGAATTTAAATCAAAATCCCCGCACCCTCTTGCCGAAGTTCTTCGGCCTGTACTGCCTGCAGACGAACAATGCCAAAAACATTCGCCTCGTGGTGATGAACAATCTGCTGCCTTCCTATGTGAAAATGCATCTGAAATACGATCTGAAGGGTTCGACGTTTAAGCGCAAGGCCAACAAGGCGGAACGTGCCAAGAAATCGCCAACATTTAAGGATCTCGATTTTATGGAACAACATCCGAATGGCATCTTTCTGGAGGCCGAAACCTATTCGGCCTTGATCAAGACAATACAAAGGGATTGCACGGTGCTGGAGTCATTTAAAATTATGGACTATTCCCTGCTGCTGGGGGTGCACAACTTGGATTTGGCCTCCAAAGAGAAACAGAAGTCACGTAAACAGCCCAAAACCTCACAATCGGAGGAATCGGACGAGGAGAATGCTCGGGGCACGGAGACCACATCGGATAATCAAGATGAAGAAACGCAAAGCAATATACAACGCAATAGGTGAGAGAGGGTGGGCTTGAAGAGCTTCTCAAAGAAAATCAGGAGCTTATTTTATGGAATATATGGAGGTCTTATGGAAGATGTTCCTGAGAAGATATAGAGACGTTCCCAAGAAGATATACAGATTCCCTTATAGAAGATTTGATCGTCTTTTATAGAGGATCTTCTCTGACAAAATCGGAATATTCTTTCTCAGAAGTTCGAAATGGAGAAGATCTGGAATTTTTTCAGTGAAGATCTGGAGACATTATCACAACCTATATAACATTCGCAAATCTCCTCGGAGAAAATCTTGAGAAGTTCTCAAGATCTTCTCCCATAAAATCTTGAGATTATCTCATAGAAGATTGAGAGTATTTCATGGAGACTTCTTTCAGAAAATCTTGAGATTTACTTTTATAACATCAGGAGATTTTTTTTTAGAAAAGAGATACTTTCACATAAGATCTTCTCTCAGAAGATTTCAATTGAATTTGTCTCAAAAGATCTGAAAATGTTCTTTGAAAAGGTATTGCCATATTCTCTCAGAAGACCTAGAAATTTGTCTCCTAAAAATGCTGAAAATCTTTGAAATATGGAGATCTCAAAAAGATCCGGAGATCTTCTCTTGGAAGAGCTGAAAATCTTCTTCTAGAAGAGGTGAAAATCTTCTTTTGAAAAATCTGAAAATATCCTTTTGGAAGCGCTGAAGATCTTCTCCATATAAGAGCTGAAGATCTTCTCATAGAAGAGCTGAAGATCTTCGCCATAGAAGAGCTGAAGATCTTCTCCAAATAAGAGCTGAAGATCTTCGCCATAGAAGAGCTGAAGATCTTCTCCATATAAGAGCTGAAGATCTTCGCCATAGAAGAGCTGAAGATCTTCGCAATAGAAGAGCTGAAGATCTTCGCCATAGAAGAGCTGAAGATCTTCGCCATAGAAGAGCTGAAGATCTTCTCCATAGAAGAGCTGAAGATCTTCTCCATAGAAGAGCTGAAGATCTTCTCAAAGGAGATCTGGGGAGTAACTCACAGAAGAGCTGAAAATCTTATCATAGAAGAACTTCTCAAAGGTTATCTGGAGGTCTTTTCCTGGAAGAGCTGAAGATCTTCTCTTGGAAGAGCAGAAAATATTCTCCTGGAAGAGCTGAAAATCGTCTTCTAGAAGAGCTAAAAATCTTCTTTTGGAAGAGCTTAAAATCTTTTCCTGGAAGAGCTAAAAAACTTCTCTTGTTCTTCTCATAGAAGAGCTTAAAAAATCTTCTCCTGGAAGTTCCGGGAAAAACTGGGAATCTTCTCAAAGAAAATCTGGAGATCTTCTCCCAGAATAACGGAAAATCTTCTCCTGAAAATGTTTCTCTTTTAAAGATCTCATATCAGATGATATTCTCTCAGAGGATTTAGAGTTTTTTTAATTGAATATGTAGATATCTCCAATTCTCTCTTTACTTGAAAGAGCGAAACATGAATATCTTCCAATGCAAGAGTTAAAGATTCTCTCTCACAAGATATAGACCTCAAAATCATCTCACCGAAAATCTGAAGACTTCTTGGGGATATTCTATGAAATAATCTGAAGGATTTAATATATAAGTATCTATAATTCTAAAACCTTTTTTATTTTCAGTGCGGCATATCGCTCGAATCGCCAACGTTTGGTAGCCCACTCAACAGCCATGGAGAGTATACAGGCGGAAAGTGAACCCATTGATGATGAAGAAGATATGCCGTAAGTAAAAAAAATGAGTTCGTCATAGAGAGAACGAGAATTGCCAACTCTCTCCCTCTCTCTCTCTCCCTTTCGAAAAACTCGCAAAACTAAAACTTTCTATTGATTTGCAATTCTTTTCTCTTTCGCTATAATATTTCTCTCTCACTTAAATAATCTTTGATCTTCTCTCCCCTCGCAGACCTGGAGGCATACCGGCCCGCAGTGAAAAGGGCGAACGCCTGCTGCTCTTCATTGGCATCATTGATATTTTACAATCCTATCGCCTCAAAAAGAAACTGGAACATACCTTCAAAAGTATCATTCATGATGGTGTAAGTTGATCTTTTTTTCAATATTATTTTTATTTTTTTTGTAATTTTTTAAATTTGGTATCTGTCAAATCTCCACAGAGAAGCTGAGTTTTTTTCTTTGAAAAAAAATATTTGTAGTTTTTTTTGAAATATTTAATTTTTAACAAACAATCAAACAAATTTTTCTTTACACATTCTCAAGGATACTGTTTCAGTGTGTCGTCCCTCATTTTATGCTCAAAGATTTCAAAATTTCATGGCCAAAACTGTATTTCGTAAAATACCGTCTCGTAAGTTTTCAATGAAAAATAAACTCAAAAAAAAAAAAAAATAAAATTTATAATTTCGCACAAAAATTTTACAAAAATGCAATGGCGAGAGGGGGACATGACAAGGAGGAAAACTTAAAGTAATTACAGAATATTTTGAATATCACAAGGTTGGAACCCAATTTGATTCTAATCATTGTAGCTGGTTCCCATACAAGAATGTGGTATTTGGAACCCATTTTTATTCCCTCCACCATAGTATGAAGGGTATACATATTAAGTTTGTCATTCCGTATATATCATTCAAAGTATATATATTCTCGATCAGCACAAAATTCTACGTCGATTTAGCGATGTCCGCCCGTCTGTGGAAATCACTCTAGCTTCCGAACGAAATGAAGTAGGTTGATAAAATTTTACTCACATGTGTATTATGTGTGCAGGACTTTTGGTATTGAAAATGGGTGATGTAGGTCCATGTCTTCGTATAGACCCCATATAACGGTACCTCCCGATATTCGGTATTTTGATGATTTTAGCTACATTATTCACCGGAATTGTTTCAAATTCAGTATTTGAAGTTCTAATGGGTACTACAGCCTATGACAGAAAATTGTCTGCGCAGGCCAACGTCTTCGTATAGCCCCCATATAATGGTACCTCCCTTTTTTCGGTATTTTGGTGATTTAAACGACGTTATTCACCGGAATTTTTTCAAATTTGGTACTTGAAGTTCGTTATGGATACTACAGCCTATGACAGAAAATTGTCTTTGCAGGCCCACGTCTTCGTACAGCCCCCATATCACAGTACCTCCCGATATTCGGTATTTCGATGATTTTACCGACATTATTCACCGGAATTGTTTCAAATTTGGTATTTAAAGTTCGTAATGAATACTACAGCCTATGACAGAAAATTATTTGTGCATGTCCACATCTTCGTATAGTCCCCATATAACGGTACCTCTCGATATTCGGTATTTTGATGATTTTAGCGACATTATTCACCGGAATTGTTTCAAATTTGGTATTTGAAGTTCGTAATGGGTACTACAGCCTATGACAGAAAATTGTCTGTGCAGGCCCACGTCTTCGTATAGCCCCCATATAACGCTACTTCCCGATATTCGGTATTTTAATAATTTTAGCGACATTATTCAGCGGAATTGTTTCAAATTTGGTATTTGTAGTTCGTAGTGAATACTACAGCCTATGACAAAAGATTGTCTGTGCAGGTCCACGTCTTTGTATAGCCCTCATATAACGGTACCTCCCGATATTCGGTATTTTGATGATTTTAGCTACATTATTCACCGGAATTGTTTCAACTTCAGTATTTGAAGTTCGTAATGGGTACTACAGCCTATGACAGAAAATTGTCTGCGCAGGCCAACGTCTTCGTATAGCCCCCATATAATGGTACCTCCCTTTTTTCGGTATTTTGGTGATTTAAACGACGTTATTCACCGGAATTTTTTCAAATTTGGTACTTGAAGTTCGTTATGGATACTACAGCCTATGACAGAAAATTGTCTTTGCAGGCCCACGTCTTCGTACAGCCCCCATATCACAGTACCTCCCGATATTCGGTATTTTGATGATTTTACCGACATTATTCACCGGAATTGTTTCAAATTTGGTATTTAAAGTTCGTAATGAATACTACAGCCTATGACAGAAAATTATTTGTGCATGTCCACATCTTCGTATAGTCCCCATATAACGGTACCTCTCGATATTCGGTATTTTGATGATTTTAGCGACATTATTCACCGGAATTGTTTCAAATTTGGTATTTGAAGTTCGTAATGGGTACTACAGCCTATGACAGAAAATTGTCTGTGCAGGCCCACGTCTTCGTATAGCCCCCATATAACGCTACTTCCCGATATTCGGTATTTTAATAATTTTAGCGACATTATTCAGCGGAATTGTTTCAAATTTGGTATTTGTAGTTCGTAGTGAATACTACAGCCTATGACAAAAGATTGTCTGTTCAGGTCCACGTCTTTGTATAGCCCTCATATAACGGTACCTCCCGATATTCGGTATTTTGATAATTTTAGCGACATTATTCACCGGAAGTGTTTCAAATTCGGTATTTGAAGTTCGTAGTGAATACTACAGCCTATGACAGAAAATTGTCTGTGCAGGTCCACGACTTCGTATAGCCCCCATATAACGGTACCTCCCGATATTCGGTATTTTGATAATTTTAGCGACATTATTCAACGGAATTATTCCAAATTTGGTATTTGAGGTTCGTAATGGATACTACAACATATTACAGAAAATTGTCTGTCCAGGTCCACGTCTTCGTATAGCGCCCATATAACGGTACCTCCCGATATTCGGTATTTTGATAATTTTAGCGACATTATTCACTGGAATTTTTTCAAATTTGGTATTTGAAGTTCGTAGTGAATACTACAGCCTATGACAGAAAATTGTCTGTGCAGGTTCACGTCTTCTTATAGCCCCCATATAATGGTACCTCCCTTTTTCGGTATTTTGATAATTTTAGCGACATTATTCACCGGAATTGTTTCAAATTTGGTATTCGAAGTTCGTAGTGAATGCTACAGCCTATGACAGAAAATTGTCTGTGCAGGTCCACGTCTTCGTATAGCCCCCATATAATGGTACCTCCCTTTGTTCGGTATTTTGATGATTTTACCGACATTATTCACCGGAAATGTTTCAAATTCGGTATTTGAAGTTCGTAATGGGTACTACAGCCTATAACAGAAAATTGTCTGTGCAGGCCAACGTCTTCGTATAGCCCCCATATAATGGTACCTCCCGATATTCGGTATTTTGATGATTTTAAGGACATTATTAGCTTCTTCTATAGGGATCAACTGTAATGGTTAGGATCCAATTGGGTTCCAATCTTGTGAAATTTTGTATTTTTTTTCTTATATCTGCAAAAATGGATTTCGAGGAATCCTTTTTTAACGGACTAGCGGAGCTCCCATACTGAATTTTTTTTAAATATTTTTTAGAGGACTAGCAGATTTTTGAGTGTAATTCTTTAAAGAACAAGTAGAATCAGAAACGCGATTTTTTCATTATTAAAAAATATTTCTCCTCCTTAAAAATTCAATATTCAATATTTAAGCTTGTATTTATTTCCCATAAAAACCCTGGAAATTATTTTAAAATATTTTAAATTCAAAGCAAAAAAAACTAAAAATGCATTCCAAAACCCTTGTCACACTCCCCATTCAACTCGCCGTCGCATCAAATTTTTGTAAGCAATTAAAAGTAACGATTAAGAGCGCCTTGACCGCTAGAGTATTGTTGTTTCAACATTTGGATGTCATGTCTTGCAACCAAAAACCAAAAAAAAAAAAAAAAAATCAATTAATAACAGAACGAAAATCAATCTCTCTCCTCATATCTTCTCTCTTCATTATCACATTCTTTTTTCAAATATATATTTTATTTCGTTTGTTTCTCTCGCTCGTCGTCGCTCGATGCACAGTGGATCTCCCCGAGATCAAAGGAAATCATAGAAAATTTCGTACTTTGGTATCCAGTTATATAGGTAAATGTTAGAGAATTAATTCAAAATAACCCAAACAAATAAAAAAAAACTAAACAGAAATTAAAAAAAAAAAACAGAATAAAAATAATTTTCATAGAAGAAAGTAAATATTTTCAAAATTATGATTTTAAACAAAATTAAGTTAATTTTTAGAAGAAAAAAAAAACTGCTCAAAATATTAAGGGTAATCCGAACTAGAGTGTCTGGTAGGAAGAAAAATAATTTTAAAATTTTATAAACAAGGATTTTCTTTGGAGCGACCAAAGGACGTGTATTAGTGAGAGCATATTTCAAAGAAAGCTATTTTTTAATTTTTAAGGACGTGGATTTTAGGTACTGTGTTATAGCACAGATTTGGTCGTTTTCACTTTGGAGCGAAACTTGCTCGCGAGCAAGTGAGCGGAGTCGGAAGAGTGAGCGAAGTCTACTTTTCACACTTTTGTTTTGAGTGGCAGCGCTCACGAGTCTCTTCTGATTGAAAAATTAGAGTGGCAGCAGAATCGCTGACAATAAAGCAAGAGTTTGCTCTAAGAGTACAAATGAGTGTAAAAAAAGAGGTGGGGGAGGGGGGTGGTCTGTGATCGTGTACAGAAAAAAATATACATACATAGATTTTGAACGAGTTCTGCTCCCACTCAAAAACGAGGAAAACATGCGTTTGCTCCAAGGAAGGCTCCCCTCGAATTCGTGTGAGTTTCACTCTTTGTACAAATTCCTGCGAGATCTGATGATAAGTTTGATTGGGTCAAAAAGTGTGTAAAACCTCGAAATATTGGTCCTAGACCCATAATGTTACACATGGATCATCCTATCTCGCCGAGCTGCGTCAATCTAGCTATGTTGGTCCGTCTGTCCATATTCATTTGAAATCACGCTACAGCATTTATGACCCGATCCTCACAAAATTTAGCAGGGACTGATTCTGCAGTCTGGACCCAATGGTCCGGCGAATTTTTTTCTATCGAAAAAACTTGAACCCAAGGTAACGGCGCCATTTTATTTTAAAAAAAATCTTGACCCTTAAGCTGGTCCGGTTATTTTTTTTTCCTACAGAAAAAACTTGGACCCTTGGGATGGTCCGACGAATTTTTTTCTACAGAAAAAACTTGGACGCTTAGGAGGGCCCGGAACAATTTTTTTTACAAATAAAAACTTGGACTTAAGGGTTCGACGAATTTTTTCTACCGAACATCTATTAATAGAACAAACTTGGGCCCAAGGGTCCGGCAAATTTTTTTCTATCGAAAAAACTTGAACCCAAAGTTCCGGTGATTTTTTTTTTCTACAGAAAAAACTTGAACCCTTAAGCTGGTCCGGCTTTTTTTTTACAGAACAAACTTGGACCCTTGGGATGGTCCGACGAATCTTTTCTACAGAAACAACTTGGACCCTTGGGAGGGCCCGGAACAATTAAAAAAAAACTTGGACTTAAGTGTTCGACGAATTTTTTCTACCTAACATCTATTAATAGAACAAACTTGGACCCAAGGGTCCGGCAAATTTTTTTGTATCGAAAAAAAACTTGAACCCACTGGTCCCACGAATTTTTTTTATCGAAAAAACTTGAACCCAAAGCTCCGGCGATTTTTTTTACAGAAAAAACTTGAACCCTTAAGCTGGTCCGGCTATTTTTTTTTTTACAGAACAAACTTGGACCCTTGGGAGGGCCCGGAAAATTTTTTTTACAAAAAAAAACTTGGACTTAAGGGTCCGACGAATTTTTTCTACCGAACTTGGACCGAATGTCGTAAATTTGTTAATAAAATTTTTATTATTATAAATTGAAGAAAATCCAAATTGAAATACAGGAAAAAAATTTAGAATATTTTAAAAATTTCTTTTTTAAAAGTTTGATTCAAGATTATTTAAATTTTTATTATCGACCTAAAAACCGTTTTTTTCTAAGACTGACAGGCATTTTTAGGGTTTTCTGATTATTTATCACGATTTACAAGAAAATCGGAAAAATTCTTATCTTAATAATTTTATATATTTGCACAGCGGAATTATTTTATATAAAAAAAAAACCAAGAAACTAAAAACGTTGACTTCAAGGATGAATAGTAATGTCGAGTCTCAAGATTCATGTTTGTAGATTTGATGTCAAGGCCTAAGAATAAAATTTTCAGCCTTAGCGTAACAATTATACTTCTAGATTTAAAAAAATATCCAATTTTAAAACAAATTTTTTGATTTTGTTAATTTAGAAAACAAATATTTTTCTAAGGACCCTTATTATTTTGAGCAGATTTTTTAAACTATATAAATTTAAACAAAATTCAAATAATTGCAGCTCACATTCCGGAATAAATATTCCCAAACTAGAGCTACAAGATTATAAATACATTTTACAATTGGCTTTAATCAAAAATATAACCCTAAATCTAGGTAAAAAGAATTAAAAAGAAAACTGAAATATTAATTAATTTGTCATGAAAAACTCATTAACATTAACATATTTACATCAAAAAAAAGAAGAAATCAAACATTTTCCAAAAATTAAAGCCTTTTGAATTATTTGCGTGCTTCTTTTTTAAGTTTCAACTTTTTTCAGTTTCTAATCTAAGTTATTGAAGTGCACAACCAAAAAAATGAAATAAATGAAATACAATGCTGACTCTTTGAAATGCTAATTGAATTGAAATAATTTTTCTTTATATCATTTCCAAACGAAAAAAAAAAAAAATAAATGCCAATGCACATCTTTTAAAAATAAATCATCATTTGCCTGCAACAAAAAAAACAAAACTCGATTGGCTGTATGGGGCATGTCAAACTAAAAAAAAATCGAAAACCTGAATCGGAAAAAATCTAGCTCTCAAACACTCACCATCGAAGCGAAAAAGTCTATCGAAAGCAATACAACGTTCCATAGACAGTGAAAATGAGGCAAGAGGTAAAATTCCCAAAAAAACAAAAATCCAAAACATCACTCTTTCACCGACACACACAGACACTCGTTCACACACACACACATTAGTATGTGTTTCACTTTTCACACACACACAACACACACTTTCACTCTCTTTCTCTGAATTCAAAACCTAACCTAGAAAATGTGTTTCAAAATTCACAAATGGCAAAAATTGTTTTTTTTTTTATTTTTCAAATGCAGATCATGGTCATGCACCACATCATCCACCGACATCGACAGTACAACAACATAAAAAATCTCACATTCCGGGTGGCAAAATGGCGCCCGCATCGGGCGCCAGTACCTCGGGTTCAGTTTTAAAGTCAATGGCAGCCCCACCGGTTAAGCAACGGAATCCATCGGGAATGCAGCAAACGGCGGGCAGCGGAGGTGTTACACCATCAGCCAGTGCTGGGGCAATGTTAAAGGCCAAAGTTCCACCTCCAGTACCGCCAAGGGGCTCACCACGTCGGCGTGGGGACAGCGATTCCTATCAACAACAGCTTGAGGGCGGAGGAGGAGGCGGTAGTACCAGCGGTGGCGGCGGCGGAGGAGGAGGGTCTTCCAGGGCCCTATCCACCACTCCAGGTATTGAAACAAAAACGAACCGTAAGAAACATAAAACCAAAAAAGAGAAAACACCGACCAATAGCGCGCACAATGACGACGATTACGACGACGGCAACAACTACAACAACAACAATGGCAACGATGACGTTCGTTATAGGGACAGGGACAAAAAACGTGGCAGCAGTGGGGCTGGCAACAATAGCTTGCAACCCCCACCACCCCTAGCCAGGGAGGACCTTCCCCGTTTCGGTGATCGGCGCTCACCCAGCAATGTACGCGATTGGCTCGAATTGCACGACCTGTTCGAGGGCATTGGCGGCGGCCCAGAGAGTCCAGTCAAAACGGCACCACTCCAACCCCCACCGGTGCCACCACCCCCACCACAAATTGCAGCCCTGCAGAAGATGGCTATGCGACGCATAGACTCAGTGAGATCAACCGCTTCTAGTTCATATTCAGCAGCTAGGTCTCGTATTTCTCATGCTCGCCCGCTAAATCATGTCGATCTGTTTCATCGGCAAAATAATCTCATGGCCGGCCGGCGTCCTTCGGTCGCCGCTTCCATTGTCTATAGTTTTCCACCCATACCCTCTGAAGTTAGTGAACGTAGTGTGCCGAGTGTTGGCAGCGGGGGCAAGGCGGACAATAGGCGGGAGACACGCTCCCAAAGGGCCCAGCGTAAACGTGAAAAACGCCTCCAGTACATGCAGTATGCCGACATGGCCCTGGCCGACGATAGCTGTGAGCCTTTTGAAGATAATCTCTTACAATCTATGCATGCCTTTATAGAAGTTAAACAGAAGCTAGAGAAGTCCCACAGCTCGAGGAGGGTCAGATCGGCCAAGGCCATTCAAAATCTTGATGATCAGCTCTCTGAGGTACACAGTGTGTACAGCGATGCTCCAGCTACTGCTGCTGCTGCTGCTGCTGCTGACGATGGTGGTGGCGCCCAATCGAGAAGGAACAGTGAGGTTACCATACGCAAATACTATCCCCACACGCGCTGGGACAAAACCGAAAGAGAGCGAAAAACTAAGAAAAGCAAGAAATCGAAACGAACGAATAATCCGTCCAGCAAAGCCATCAAACCACACGACGACCACGACGACGACAATCGCGACGCTATGAAACTAGGAAAACCGACAGCCATTAATTCCAAAATTCAAAACGATGGCTTCCCATCTAGTTTGAATCTTGATCCGCCATTTAGCTGTAGACGTAGTAGTTTTGTTGAATTTTAGTTATTATCTACTCCTTATTATTGTTGTTGTTGTTGTCGTTGTTGCTCAAGCCTCCATTGCAACCAAGACCACCAACAGACCACCGCACCATAACCGTCACCAACCACCAACAACACAATGCTTTTTTGCTTGGCATTTAAAGAAGCTATTTCGAAACTGAATTTCATGCGAAACCCATTTAATTTGCTTAAAAATATCCCAACCCCCTCCCCAAAATCCCCCCTCTTCCCCTACTTCCAGTTGTTGTTATTCTGTAGTGCCATTGTTCTGTATCTCTCTCTCTCTCTCTCTCTCTCTCTCTCTCTCTCTCTCTCTCGAAATGTATTTTCTCTTTTGTCTAAAACGATTTCTCATTCTCTCATTTTACTTTGCATATCGCTAGGCACAACACCATCATGCAGTTCAACACCACCCCCTGCCTTCGATGATATATCCGAGGATAATAGTTATAACAAGCATAGTTCCTCAACGACTTCGAGGCGTTCGCATCAGCATCACCAACAGCATCAATCGCATCATCACCACTCCTCCCAACAGTCGTCGCAGTCCCAGTCTCAGGCGTCGTCTCATCACCAACACCACCACCACCACCATCACCACCACCCACACCAACAGCAACAGGCCTCGTCAGCGCATTACCATCAAAGCGACGGGCTGTCCTCCGCCTCGTATCACGATCGTAAAATGAATGTGGGTCCAGCCTATCGAAGTTCATCGTCATCGCAAAAAGATGATATGGTCAGGTGAGTTCGAGCAGAAAAAATTAAAATTATTTTGAAATAAAATTGACTCAGTCCTGCAGTGGTGTAAAAAAATAAGGCCAATGTCGTAACCTAGAGAAGATCTCAGGTCTCAGATTTTTTTCAAAGAAAAAATCCGAAAATTTTTTTTATAGAAAAAAACTTGGACCCTAGCGTCTGGTAAATTTTTCTCTCCAGAAAAAATAGACGCAACGGGCGCATTTTTTTCTCAGGAAAAACATTGGAGCCAATGGTCGGGCAATTTTTTTTTCTACGGAAAAAAAGTCTACAGAAGAAACTCGGACCCAAGGGTCCGGCGAATTTTTTTCTACAGAAAGAAACTCGGACCCAAGGGTCCGGCGAATTTTTTTCTACAGAAAAAAACTAGGACCCAAGGGTCCGGCGAATTTTTTTCTACAGAAAAAAACTCGGACCCAAGGGTCCGGCGAATTTTTTTCTACAGAAAAAAACTCGGACCCAAGGGTCCGGCGAATTTTTTTCTACAGAAAAAAACTCGGACCCAAGGGTCCGGCGAATTTTTTTCTACAGAAAAAAACTCGGACCCAAGGGTCCGGCGAATTTTTTTCTACAGAAACAAACTCGGACCCAAGGGTCCGGCGAATTTTTTTCTACAGAAACAAACTCGGACCCAAGGGTCCGGCGAATTTTTTCCATAGAAAAAACTTAGAACCAAGTGTTCGGCGAATTGTTTTCTATGGAAAAACTTGGACCCAAAGATCCGGAGAACTTTTTTCTGTGAAAAAAACTCGGACCCAAGGGTCCGGCGAAATTTTTTCTGTCGAAAAACATGGAGCCAAGGGTCCGACGAACTTTTTTCTATGGAAAAACTTGGAGCCACGGGTCCGACGAACTTTTTTCTATGGAAAAAACTTGGAGCCAAGGGTCCGACGAACTTCTTTCTATAGAAATTCCTTGGACCCAAGGGTCCGACGAACTTTTTTCTATCGAAAAAAACTTGGACCCAAGGGTCCGACGATCTTTTTTCTATAGAAAAAACTTGGACCCAAGGGTCCATCGAACCTTTTTCTATAGAAAAAAACATGGACCCAAGGGTCCATCGAACCTTTTTCTATAGAAAAAAACATGGACCCAAGGGTCCGACGAACCTTTTTCTATAGAAAAAAACATGGACCCAAGGGTCCGACGAACTTTTTTCTATGGAAAAAAACTTGGACGCAAGGGTCCGACGAACTTTTTTCCCATGGAAAAAACTTGGACCCAAGGGTCCGACGAACTATTTTCTATAGAAAAAAACTTAGACGCAAGGGTCCGACGAACTATTTTCTATAGAAAAAAACTTAGACGCAAGGGTCTGACGAACTATTTTCTATAGAAAAAAACTTAGACGCAAGGGTCTGACGAATTTTTTCTATAGAACAAAACTTGGCCCCAATGGTCTGACGAATTTTTTTCTATAGAAAAAAAGCTTGGACCCAATGGTCTGACGAATTTTTTTCTATAGAAAAAAACTTGGACCCAATGGTCTGACGAATTTTTTTCTATAGAAAAAAACTTGGACCCAATGGTCTGACGAATTTTTTTCTATAGAAAAAAACTTGGACCCAATGGTCTGACGAATTTTTTTCTATAGAAAAAAACTTGGACCCAATGGTCTGACGAATTTTTTTCTATAGAAAAAAACTTGGACCCAATGGTCTGACGAATTTTTTTCTATAGAAAAAAACTTGGACCCAATGGTCTGACGAATTTTTTTCTATGGAAAAAACTTGGACCCGAAGTCCAGAAAATGTTTTTCTATAGAAAAAAAATTGGACCCAATATTACTGCGATTTTTTTCTCTAGAAAAAACTTGGACTTATGGGTCGGGCGAATTTTTTTTATAAAAAAATCTTGGACCCATGGTTCGGTCGCATTTTTTCTTTGAAAAAAACTTGTATCCAAGGTTCGGGCGATTTTTTTCCTATAAAAAAAAACCTGGAAACAAGAGTTCGTCGAATTTTTTGCTCTAAAAAATGAAACTTTTCCGAATCGACATTGGCCTTTGTTGTCCAAAAAGTGTTCAGAAATTCCCTTTCAAATATTTGTAAATGACTGCACCTGTATGAAACATTTCTTGCACCCCTTTACACACCACCACGACCACCACCTCCACAACCACTACAATTGCACAATAAAGACCCCCCAATACAATATAAGACAAGTCTGTGTATATGTATGAATATGTGTATAAAAAATATAAATGTATTTTATATAGCCTATAAAGAAAATCATGGAATGCCAATGATCAAGAGATTTTTATTTTCTTGAATGCTGTGCTCTATGTGTATGTGTCTCTGTCTCTCTCTGTGTATCTCTCTCTCTCATTTAATCATCATCCGGTAGTTGAAATGAAATTTTTTATTGTATTGTATGATTTTAGTGTTTCCGAAATACATTTAGACACCTATTTAGCCGTAGATACATCATCCAGTAGTCACTATGGTTCGAGGGGCGGTCTAGCCTGGACACCACCAGCATCTGGTGAAGGTTCAACACCCACCTGGACCGAAGGTACGCCCAGTTTTACCGATTCCAGTTCAAGTGGTGACTTTGGTAAGTATTGACCGAACGAACATTGCCCCGCCCGCACCGGCAGTGGGGCGAAATCAGTGTGTCGAAAAAACGCTCACCAAAAATTTAATGCGCCCAGACAATAATTCTCTACTTTCAGAACATTTTTCGCCAATTAACTCCTCGAAAATGGATCGTTACAAGCCAACGGTTGAGGATGCCATTAATTCGCTGTCGGCGGAAATGATCAACGATCGTCATTGAAATTGTAAAAAGAAGGAAGAAGACCAGGCCAGGTGGTGTTAGTGATGACTGCAAGAAGGATGGTGAATCGAGGAGTTCCAGAAGGCAAAAAAAAATCGCCTCAAATGGAAACGGAAGGAGGAGTTATTTGTTGTTGTTATTTTAGACAAGTTACATAATGATGTATCCATATAGCAAGCTTTGTTCTGAAATAATGTGTGTGTTTTTTTTGAACTACTCTCTCTCGCTCTCTCTCTCACACTGTCTCTCAAAGTTGATGTTGTGTTCTTTATAAAGAAAATCTCATGAAAATTATTTATCAAGACATTTCATTGGCCCATATTTCACAATAGAATGGAGATAAAGGTTTTTTAAATATTAGAATTTTGAAAAACTTAAATAATTCTCCGACATGATATGGTAATGGCCCTTGGGTCCAGTTTTTTTTCTTTTGAAAAAAAACTCCACAGAACCTTGGGTCCAAGTTTTTTCTATAGAAAAAAAATTCCCCATACTCTTGGAGTCCAGGTTTTTTTTGAAAAAAAAACTCCACAGAACCTTGGGTCCAAGTTTTTTCTATAGAAAAAATCTCGCCAGACCCCCCGGGTGTCCAAGGTTTTTTCTCTATAGAAAAAAATTCGCCAGACCCCTGGGGGTCCATGGTTTTTTCTCTATAGAAAAAAATTCGCCAGACCCCTGGGAGTCCAAGGTTTTTTCTCTATAGAAAAAATTCGCCAGACCCTATGGGTCCAAGGTTTTTTCTATAGAAAAAAACTCGCCAGACCCCCTGGGGTCCAAGGTTTTTTCTATAGAAAAAAACTCGCCAGACCCTAATGGGTCCAAGGTTCTTTCTATAGAAAAAAACTCGCCAGACCCTATGGGTCCAAGGTTTTTTTCTATAGAAAAAAATTCGCCAGACCCTTGGGTCCAAGGTTTTTTTCTATAGAAAAAAATTCGCCAGACCCTTGGGTCCAAGGTTTTTTTCTATAGAAAAAAATTCGCCAGACCCTTGGGTCCAAGGTTTTTTTCTATAGAAAAAAATTCGCCAGACCCTTAGGTCCAAGGTTTTTTTCTATAGAAAAAAAAATTGGCCAGACCCTTGGGTCAAAGTTTTTTTCTATAGAAAAAAACTCGCCAGACCCTATGGGTCCAAGGTTTTTTCTATAGAAAAAAACTCGCCAGACCCTATGGGTCCAAGGTTTTTTCTATAGAAAAAAACTCGCCAGACCCTATGGGTCCAAGGTTTTTTCTATAGAAAAAAACTCGCCAGACCCTATGGGTCCAAGGTTTTTTTCTATAGAAAAAAATTCGCCAGACCCTTGGGTCCAAGGTTTTTTCTATAGAAAAAAATTCGCCAGACCCCTGGGGTCCAAGTTTTTTTCTATAGAAAAAATCACCAGACCCTCGGGTTTTCTTAATTTCTTCATTTTCATGATTTTACCATGACTTGTTTTCTCCATTTTTGTTTCAAAACTTTCACATTTGTGTTAAATTCTATTTAGATACATAATTATATATAATGTCGCTATATAAATAATAATTAATAAATTATGTTAAATTAACATAATTACCAAAACAAACAGTTATACTCATTCATATATGTATACATAATCACCATCATTATAATGAAGTTAAATTTCGAATTACCATGTACAGATAATAGTTATATATACATACATACATAATGTGTTTATTTATATTCCTCTGGATGTTTTTTATTCAAAATTGTTTCAATTTCTTTTTCAAAATTATAAATTTTATAATAAAAAAAAATTATGCTTTGGCCATGAAAATGTAATCCTCATGGTGCCAGAAAATGACCTTAAACTACTTGAGAATATTCCATAAAGCAAAGTTTTTAAATATGCTTGAAAAAGTGAGGTTATAAAGCAATTTTTCCAATTCTTTTGATTTTTCGTTGAAATAATATCCATCTACCCTTTATGTGATTTTGAGGCAAGTTTTATAAAAAAAATTTACTTTGTTTTCTAAACTTCTCTCTATTCGACTCTATCTCTCTCTTTACCTCCCTCCTATCTCTCTCTATATCTAAGTGTTAATTTATATAATAATATTTTCTTAAATAATTGTTAATATAAAAATTCATTATCAATTCAGCTGTCTTTTCCTATTTGTATTGAAAAAATAAATAAATCTACCTGATTAATAATCCCCACAAAATAAATAACAATGAATATGATATATGATTTTTTTAATTAAAATTGAAAATAATATTTTTGATGGTCGTTCTTAATATTTTTTATGGCAAATAATTATTAATTGTATTTATAAATTTATTAATAATAAAATTAAATATTATGAATATGTAAGATAAAAAAATAATAAGACGACAGTATAGGAACCCTTTTTATGTTCTGGTATGGCATAGTCATATGAGTCTGTAAACAATTGGGCAAAAATAAAATTCTAGATATTTGAGGGATAAATTGGAAAAAATTAAAGAGAAGTTAGTTCGACCAGGCCAAATTTTGAATACACTCCACCTCATACGGGCCTGCATATGCAATTTTCTGACACATGCGGTAGTACCCATTAGGAACTTTAAATACGAAGTTTGAAACAATTCGTCAGACAATTTGGGTCCACAGTTTTTTCTATAGAAAAAATTCGCCAGACCATTGGGGTCCAAGTTTTTTCAATAGAAAAAAATTCACCAGACCATTGGGTCAAAGTTTTTTCTATAGAAAAAAATTCACCAGACCCTTGGGTCAAAGTTTTTTCTATAGAAAAAAATTCACCAGACCCTTGGGTCAAAGTTTTTTCTATAGAAAAAAATTCACCAGACCCTTGGGTCAAAGTTTTTTCTATAGAAAAAAATTCACCAGACCCTTGGGTCAAAGTTTTTTCTATAGAAAAAAATTCACCAGACCCTTGGGTCAAAGTTTTTTCTATAGAAAAAAATTCACCAGACCCTTGGGTCAAAGTTTTTTCTATAGAAAAAAATTCACCAGAACCTTGGGTCAAAGTTTTTTCTATAGAAAAAAATTCACCAGAGACTTGGGTCAAAGTTTTTTCTATAGAAAAAAATTCACCAGACCCTTGGGTCCCTAATTTTTTTCTATAGAAAAAAAAACTCGCCAGAAACTTGGGTTCAGTTTTTTTCTACAGAAAAAAATTCACCAGACCCTTGGGTCAAAGTTTTTTTTCTATAGAAAAAAATTCGCCGGACCCTTGGGTCTAAGTTTTTTTTTTTCTATAGAAAAAAAATCGCCGGACCCTTGGGTCCACAGTTTTTTTTAAGAAAAAAATTCGCCAGACGCTTGGGTCCCCAGTTTTTGTCTATAGAATAAAATTCGCCAGACGCTTGGATCCCCAGTTTTTTTCTATAGAAAAAAATTCGCCGGACCCTTGGTTGCAAGTTTTTTTTTACGGAAAAAGATTCGCCGGACCCTTGGCTCTAAGTTTTTCCTATAGGAAAAAAATTCGCCTGACCCTTGGGTCTAAGTTTTTGGGTCCCCTTGGGTCCCCAGTTTTTTCTATAGATAAAATTCACCAGACCATTGGGTCCCCAGTTTTTTCTATAGAAAAAAATTCACCAGACCCTTGGTTCCAAGTTTTTTCTATAGAACAAAATTCGCCGGACCCTTGGGTCCCCAGTTTTTTCTATAGAAAAAAATTCGGCGGACCCTTGGGTCCCCAGTTTTTTCTATAGAAAAAAATTCGCCGGACCCTTGGGTCCCCAGTTTTTTCTATAGAAAAAAATTCGCCGAACCCTTGGGTCCCCAGTTTTTCTATAGAAAAAAATTCGTCAGACCCTTGGGTCTAAGTTTTTTCTATAGAAAAAAATTCGTCAGACCCTTGGGTCTAAGTTTTTTCTATAGAAAAAAATTCGTCAGACCCTTGGGTCTAAGTTTTTTCTATAGAAAAAAATTCGTCAGACCCTTGGGTCTAAGTTTTTTTTCTATGGAAAAAAAATTCGCCAGACCTTTGGGTCTAAGTTTTTTTCTATAGAAAAAAAATTCGCCAGACCCTTGGGTCTAAGTTTTTTCTATAGAAAAAAAAATTCGCCAGACCCTTGGGTCTAAGTTTTTGGGTCCCCTTGGGTCCCCAGTTTTTTCTATAGATAAAATTCACCAGACCATTGGGTCCCCAGTTTTTTCTATAGAAAAAAATTCACCAGACCCTTGGTTCCAAGTTTTTTCTATAGAAAAAATTCCCCCGACCCTGGGTCCCCAGTTTTTTCTGTAGAAAAAAATTTGTCGAGCCCTTGGTTGCAAGTCTAGCTACGGATACATATTCTTATAAAGATCTTGATTAACCAGAATTCCAAAAGGTTAGCTATACTGTCGTCGTTCTCCTTTCGTTTTTTAGGTGTACATTTCCTTAGGTTATTTCATTTTCTCTCTCTCTCCCTCTCTTTATGTCGTTGCAATTCCACATAAATAAGGTATATACATTGTACAATAAATAAAAGATATTAAAAATATTTATATTTATGCAATTGTTATATACTATACTATAAACAATAAGATAATGAACTGCTGATAATTGAGAAAAAAACAACAGCAAAGTCATTCCAAACTAAAATTAATTAAATTAATTATTGTATAATCAATCTTTTTTCGGCCGAAAAGGGGGGAATAAAACCCCAAATACTCCATATAACCCGCCCGAGAAAACTAAATCCTCCTTCTTCTAAACATTCTAGCCACATATTCATGATAATATTTGTTGTGATGATTAAAAATTAAAAAAAAAAAAAACGGAAAAATATTGTATTCAAAAAGAAAAAAAGAATTAAGAAAATTATATAAATATTGAATTTGTTTAAAATTAAAATAATTGAAAAGGAAATCTAAAATAAAAAAATATAAATATATATCATATTCTTTAGCTAAAACCAAATTTAGGAAACCAAACAAAGAAAAAGTATAAATAAAGCCATATTTAAAAAATATAAAAACAAAACTTAATTTAAATAAACCAAAAAAATAATTAAATAAATAAATTATATACATCATATTATATATATACACACACATACATACTTATATATACAATACATAAACTCCGTGGCAAAATTAATAATGGAAGCGATACAAGTTATTAAAAAAAAGAAAAAGAATAAAAAAGAGGGAAGTTAGTTGACAGCTGACAATTGCTGACGTAGATGATGAGGATAATGTTGAAGACAATGACGACGACGATGTATTATTAGTAAGAATCTGTTAAATTATACATATAAATAAATATATTATATTATTCTGAATTAATTTATTAAAAATAAAAGAAAAATAACCAAAAAAGGAAAAAAACAAACAATAATTGAAAAATAAAATTAAACAAACAAAAGGAATTATACAAAAAAACGTTAAAGGAGTTTTTTTTTAATTTTTAACAATGGGAAAGAGGTCCTCCATGTAATAGGAAACCTTGCGGATATTTTATGGAATGGAAGAATATTTAAAAATACCATATTCAGGGTGAGATAAAAAAGTCAAACCCCATAATTTTTACATTTTTTTTTTTAATTTTATTGAATGAAAGCAAACAAGTAAAAAAATTTGTTCAGCCGGGCCGAATTTTTAATACCCTCCACCTTAGAGTAAAGGAAACTTTATTATGGCCCACAAATACCAATTTTTAGATATATTCACGGGAAAATGTGGCAAAAATCATCCAAATACCGAATATCGGGAGGTACCTTTATAGAGGGGCTATACCAATGTCTGGACCTATACATACAATGTTTCGCCACACGATCTAGGACACATTATGACCTACAAATACCAATTTTCAAACAAATCCGTGAAAAAAATGTGGCAAAACCCATAAAAATACCGAATATCAGGAGGAACCGTTATATGGGGAGTATACCAAAACGTGGACCTATAATTACAATGTTTCGCCACCGAAGCTAGAACCTATTAAGAACTACAAATACCAATTTCTAGACAAATCCGTTAAAAAATGTGGCAAAAATCATCCAAATACCGAATATCGGGAGGTACCATTATAGGGGGGCTATACCAAAGCCTGGACCTATACATACAATGTTTCGCCACACGAACTAGGACCCATTTTGACCTCAAATACCAGTTTTCAGGCAAATCCGAGAAAAATTGTTGCAAAAACCATCAAAATACCGAATATCAGGAGGAACCGTTATATGGGGACTATGCTAAAACGTGGAGCGATATGTCTCAGTTTCAATACCAACTATCCTAGACACAATACAAATTGTTCTGCTATATTTTGACGCTCTACGTCAAATAATATGGGTGGTATCGTGATTTCAACGGACAGACAGAAAGACGGAAAGACAGAATCGACATAGAATTTTATGCTGATTATGAATATATATATATTTTTTTGGGGTCTATGACGAATATTTAGTGATGTTAAAACGGAATGAAAAAGTTAATATAACCTCCTTTCCAAGGTGGACGGTATAAAAATGTCGGAAATAGCTTAAAATTTTGGAATAAGTTTAGATTTGTTCGAATTGGTCACCTTTGGCCAATGAAATCGTCACACGCTGCCCGAATGTTGTTCTGTGGTATTTTGGCCCATTTGGCCCCGGCGAAAAGCTTGCTTGAGGTGATCGACACTTTGGTATTTTTTAATGCCAACCTTGCTTTCCAAAATACTCCAGACACAATAGCCCAACGGATTTGTATCCTGAGGTTTTGGTGGCCATTGTGCGCTAGAAATGAAGCGAGGAACCTCATGTTGTAACCATTCTTGGATGGCGCGTGCTGAGTCCTGTTGGAATGTCCAAGGTCTGCGGCCAAAATATTTGCGTGGCTTTAACACACTCTTTAGAATATTTTTGCGTTAATATTCGACATTTATTCTGATGTCAGGGTCGATTAATACGTACGGAGAGCGACCATCGGCTATGATGGCGGCCCACACCATCACCATGGCCGGGGCTTGAGTTCTGGTGGCCAACCGAAAGTGCACATTTTAAGCTGACCTCTTTGGCTTTTTTACAAACGCTGGACAACGAATCTTTTCTTCTCATCGGAGAAAACCAAATTCTGCATTTCACCACTTTCGGCCAGCGAAGGAACTCTTTAGCTCTTTTGAGTCCATTTTCTTTCTGTTGCGGTGTAAGTTCTTGCACTTTTTGGAATTTCAATTTTCACCCCGATCTCATTTTTCAATATTTGCCGAATGGAATATTCAGCTCACGAGCCATTTTTCGGCCACTGTGAAGCGGGTTTCAATCAAGTCTGCTGATGTTGCTGTTTTCTTCCGTCCACATCCTTGACGTCGGGATACGCTACCAGTATCATGGCAAAGAGCGATGGTACGAACACAGAAGATTTATTCACATTTTAATGCTGGAGTGCTCTAACGATAGCCACTTGTGGTTTTCCAGCCAAATATAAAGAAATCACACTATCACGCTTGAATTCCATCGCGAATAACTTTTTTTCTGGAAAATTCTAATAAAAATGAATTTGTACTCTTGTGAACATTATAATGAGCTGTCACTGGAATAACTTTAACAGCTATCGGACAAGTCGCTTAGTCGCTCATCTAACCCTGTATTTATTTCATATTTAATTAGGTCCGATACGAAATGGACAATATTTGCCCATTTCGTCGGAACCTACTCCACATAGGGTCAACAATTTAAATAATCCTAACAGGAGTGAAAATATTTTTAAATAATCGAACATTGGCTGAGGGTATAGATCTGTCGGCAAAACCGACTGATACTTTTTAACTTGTTAACCATAAAATTCGGGTCGTTCACTCAACTACTGTGGGAACTGTACATTTTATATCATCTTCGGGAATTGAATTATCTCCTCTATCAAATACCTTCAAATTTTATACCCACTGTACCACATTGGAGCATTATAAAATGTCTGTGGAATCTTTAGTATTAACAAATAGAATAAAAATATAACTTGACTTACCTCCTTACAAAATATATATTCACCGATCAAATTTAGAAAATTACAGACATTTTTCTTGATTCTTGATAAGATTTTCTTGAATGATAAAATTTTTCTTGTTTCTTGATTAGGTTTTCTTGAATGATAATTTGTTTCCCAATTTATTTGTTTTGGTACTGAAATAAACTTAAAATTAAAAATCAAACAAAAAACACAAATTATGTTTTCTTACCACTTCCAACTGCAAGACATTCCACAAAATTAGATCCCAAATCACTTGAATTAATTTGCAATTAAGAATATGGTACTTTGATTTGTAATCATTGGGTTTTTCAATTTTTTTTTATTATTTTTTTTACTCATTTATATTCCTATAATTATTATTTGCTATGGAATCGGAAAAATTAATATAAAATTGGTTATGTGGTGTTGTAATGTTGTTTTCTTGTAATTTAGCAGATCCAATATTATTTCAAATAATATTTTGTTAGGTTATTTTTCAATGTTCCAAATTCCTTTTTTTTTTGCTTCTGTTGTGTCGTTCATTTTCATTTGGTTAGGCTAAAAAATAATTTTTACTTTGCTGCTGCTCTGTTTTTTTGGTATTTATACTAAATTGTCCTTCCTTGTTGTTTTGTAATTTTAAGTAATATTTATAAATATACCTAAAATATAAAACTAAAACATTCTTTTTGCGGCTTCCCTCCATTCCAAGTTTAAGTAATTGTGTTTTACTATTGTGTATCCTTCATGATCGCCTTAATATCCTCCGCATCTAAAGTCTCATATTTCAGCAGGGCCTCGGCCAAGGCCTTATGTTCCTTGGCATGTTTCCGTAGGATATTTTTGGCCCGTTCATAGCTCTCATTGAGTATACGTTTAATTTCAGCATCAACAGCTTCAACGGTATTGGGTCCCAGTGTCTCATTGGGGAACATGCCCTTGTTCGATTCAATGGTACGCAGGCCCACCTTTTCCGACATACCCCAGTCTTTGACCATGTGAGTTGCAATGGAAGTGGCTTGTTTCAAATCACTACTAGCTCCGGAGGTAATTTTTTCCGCACCAAAAATAAGCTCTTCAGCAGCACGACCACCCATCATGGTGTCCATCATGGCCAAGAGCTGAGCTTTAGTGACATGATAACGTTCTTTTTCGGGTATGTAGGCGGTGTGTCCCAACGATGGGCCACGTGGCATAATGGTGACTTTGTGTAATGGATGGGATTCCTGGAATTGTAGATGTTATTTTTAACAAGAGTTTGGGAGAATATATATTAAGTTCCACGTTTACCTTGGTGTAATAGGCCACAATGGCATGGCCACCCTCATGATAAGCAGTTATAAGATTGGCCTCTTCATCGGGCAAGCGTGCCTTTCGCTCGGGTCCCATCAACACCTTGTCTCGTGCGGTTTCTAAATGTTTCATGGTCACTGTTTCGGCGCCATCAATAGCCGCCCTGAAAACGAATATAAAATGGGATACATCAATGTCAGTAGATATTAAAATATTTTAAGAGAGACCTTTAGAAGGTGTTTTTAAAAAGGAAAAATTAAGATGGAGTAATATGGGAAGATATTTTGAAGGTCTTCCAGCAATGGAAGACATATATCTAAAATCTAAGGAATAAAATAGACCAACCATATCTACAATCTACATCTTTGGAAAGACGTATTTATAGAAGACCTTCCTTTCATATTTATAGAAGACCTTCCTAAGATCCTAATATTTGTGTTATATCAGGTTCGAAAATGGGCAATATCAGTCAACTCCATCAAGTACCTTTTCCACAAATGGTCAAAATTTCGAATAATTGTCTGCAAATTACACACTTCACAACATTTTTACTAACCCAGGGTCTGGTGTGAAGATGGAATATATCGGACCACTCCTTTTGGTTCCTCCCCCACAAAGGGTAAAAATTTTGAATATTCATGAAGCTCATAGAACGCGAAATTAAAATCCGATTCCATTTAGACTTGGCACATCTCAATATTTACATCAACACAAGATCTGTTAAAAAGATGGTGGCGATCGGACCATTCCTTCTGATACCTCCTACATAAAGGGTCAAAGTTTTGAATAACCAAAACGATCATGAAATCCGAAATAAGCATCATATTTCACACATCTCAAGATTTTCGATAACACAAGATCTGTTATGAAGATGGTAGAGATCGGACCCTTCCTTACGGTACCTCCCCCACAAAGGGTCAAAATTTTGAATAACCGGTTCTCTTCAACTTTTGCACATCCCATTATTAATAGTAACACAAGATCAGCGGTGAAGAAAGAATATATCGGGTCACTCCTTCTGGTACCTCCACCACGAAGGACCTGATATAAAGAAAAGGAAGTAGTCGATATAGTCCAAACCTGACAAGTCACAATATTTATATCATATTTACTTAGGTACGATACGAAAGGGACAACATTGTCCCATTACTTCGGAACCCACTCCATACTTTTTAGCTCTATAGAGGACTTCTTTTAATGTATTTTATCTACTCTCTATACAAAACGTCTTGGTCTGCCTTCTATAGTAAATATTTAGATGTCTGCTATCAACAGTGTAAATTCGGAAGATTTTCTGTTAACCTTTTAATGGTACTGCTATCTATAGAAGACTTTTTAATTGTATTTTGTCTACTATCGATACAAAAAATATTGAAGGCTTTTAGAGGTCTGCTATCAATAGAATACATTTAGAAGGTCTTCAATATATTGAAGTATTTCCATCCAAAGAAAATCTTTTATATCTAGAAAATCTTTAGAAGTTCTCTAACGACGTCTCTTGTTTTGTTATACTTTACCTCAGAGCTGCTTGATTAATCATATTCTCCAGATCGGCACCAGTAAAACCTGATGTACCCCTGGCCAACATATCCAAATCGATTTCATCATGTAAAATTTTCGAGAGATACAGAGTAATAATCTCTTTTCGTCCTGTGAAATCGGGGGTATTGACAACGACCTAAAAAACACAAAAGATTCGTAAAAAAAATGCATACACATTTTATTCTAAAAATCTACCTCAACATCAAAACGACCTGGACGTAGAAGAGCCTGATCTAAATCGTCGCGACGATTTGTGGCTCCCAAAACAATAACACCGGCATTCTGATGGAAGCCATCCATTTCGGAGAGCAATTGATTAATGGTCTGATTTGCATAGGGATGTAACACTGAGTTGGTACGTTTGGCACCAACCGAGTCAATTTCATCAATGAAGATAACGCAGGGAGCACGTTGTTTGGCGGCCTCTGAAAAGTAAAAATATATATTTTTTAAGTCACAATATAATCAAATTCCCTACATTTCACTTACTGAACAAATCCCTTACACGTCTGGCACCCTGACCCACCAGAACTTCATCGAATTCCGGACCGGCTGCATGGAAAAATGGTACATTTGCCTCACCGGCCACGGCACGGGCCAACAAGGTCTTACCCGTGCCGGGTGGACCCACCAGTAAAACACCCTTGGGCAGTTTACCACCTAAATTGGAAAACTTTTCAGGATTCTTAAGAAATTCCACCACTTCTTTCAGCTCCTGTTTGGCCTCATCGCAGCCCTTGACATCTTCAAAGGTGACATGGATTTCTTCTGGATCAACCTCCACTTGATTGCCCAACTGGATGCTAAATAGAGAAAAATTCAAGATTATTACACATAATTTAAATGAAAATATATTGTTAACTTACCGAAACATGGAACCATTCGATGAGGAGAACAGACTTACAAATATTCCAATAAATACGACAATAACTAACAATTGCTGAAAAACCTGGATGTTTAATTTCCGGCATTACTTGTCTCAATGTTTTGTGTGTTGGGATTTTTCTATTTAGTGCGGAAAATATGAAAACTTACCTTTAAATACTTCATGGTTTTGCCTGATTTTGGATGATCTTCAGAATTTGCCGCAGCCAAATAGCCTTCGGCAAATGCCACCTTAATGCTGTTTTCCTGGAAAGAGAAAACCAAAAATATATAATTTTTAAACAAACCATTTCACATTAATTTTGTCTCAATTCGAAAATGTAAAAATTTGAAGAAAGAAAGGCCAAGAAGAGATTTTTCTTAGAAATTTTATTTTTTTTTTCATTAAAAAAAAAAATTTTTCCCTTTTTTTAGACAATAAAAAATTAAAAAGCTCCTCCCAAGGAAGATATTTAATGATTTTCATCTAAAGAAGACCTTTAAATGGGCTTCGATATGTAGAAGGATCTCCGGACGTCTTCTATCCTTGTGTAGAAAGTCTTCTGTCTTTACAATACACTTGGATCTTTATCTACGGAATACCTCTAAAAGGTCTTCTGTATATAATTTTAAAGGGTTTTGATTTATAGAGATTTTCGAAGGGAAGAAATGTTTTTGATCTTTTTATCGTAGACCTTAGAATGTCGTCAATCTTTGTTTAGAAAAGCATATATCTTTAAAATATATAAAAAGTAAAAAAGCTGTAAGTTCGGCCGAGCCGAACTTTGAATACCAACTACCATTTGGAACGAATTTGGGAATTTTCAAAAAAATAAAATCCATTAAAAATTCCGTTGAAATCTTAAACGTCATACGACGACTTGGATCTGCATAGGCAACTTTTGTTATAAGCCATTACAATATTCAAATGCGAAATTTGAGAAGTAATCGGTGAATTATGTCGCTAAACTCATCAAAATAGCGAATATCGGGTGGTACCATTATATGGGGGCTATACGAAGGCGTGGACCTGCACGGACAATTTTCTGTCATAGGCTGTAGTATCCATTACGAACTTCAAATAACAAATTAGAAGCTATTCCGTTGAACAATGTCGATAAAATCATCAAAATACCGAATATCGGGAGGTGCCGTTATATGGGGGCCATTCCAAAACGTGGACCTACATGGCCCATTTTCAATACCAAAAGTAAGTTGAAATGGCCTGCCAAAATCCAATTGAAGTCTTCTAAGTACAGAAGATCTGTAAACCGTCTTCTAAGTATGGAAGACCTGTAAGCCGTCTTCTACATACGGAAAATATTTGCTGAATTTTCTATGTATGCAAAAATCTTTAATTGAAAGTGATCTTTGGAAGATCTTCTGCCTCTAGAAAACCCCTACAAATCATATTTAAGATTCTATCCTGGTTTTGATTCGTAGCTCTATTCGGTTTCTCATTTTTGCCCCTTTCTTTTTAGTATCTTGTCCAACAAAATTTTCTAAGAATTATATAAATCTTCATCATGGTCTTCTTGGCGACTACCGCTTACCACATTTTTTTCTGGACCACCCTCCGTAGATTTTTCCAATAGTCTTTTTAGAGTTTCCGAACTACTACTCAGTTCACTTTCGAGTTTTTGAGGATTACCACTGAAGGCGGTACGCAGGCGCGAAGCCACCGTGGGATTGCGTCTCAATTCAGCAGCTATGGAACGATCTGTCTTAAAGGTACGAACAAATTTTCTGCATAGAAAGAGAGGAAGATAAAATAGGATATTCTCAGGGTTGTATTCTCTACACCTACAATTGATGTTGAGGTATTATGGATTGCAAGAGCTTGGAATAGGTTTTGGCTGGCAAAGTTTGTGTCCACGTTTGTTGCCCCATGGAAAATTCAATGAGATGACGTGAATTTTTCCCCTTCCCCGTTGTTGTGTGTTTTATGCCTACACCTTCGACATTAACCTGCTGTGAGGTTAACAACGTTTTGGCGGCCTTCTGTAGCATATCATTTATCCTTGTCGCCTCGAAGAAATTTCTTGCTGTGGCATTATGTTGGCAGACCATGTGATGCAAGTTTTGTGGTATTCTCAATGTGTTTCTCGTTGGTCCGGCGGCATTGACTGCATCACGACGTTTGCCATTGGCAAGATGATGCCACCGACTTGATATTGATCTTCCGCTGATCGTTTGTCCATGGCTGCTGCTGCTACTGCTACTGTACACTTTTTGTGGCTTGCGGCCGAAGTTACCCAAATACAAATAGGGCTGCAAAGCGAGAGAATATTAAACTGAATTTCAATTGAAATGAGTCGAATTGCATCATGGACTTACCAAAGAATGGGTGTAGGCACAAAACATTTCGTCTCCGTTCCAAAAATTTGTGAAAATGTGCAATTTTTCCTTCTCCTAAAAACTAAAAAAGAAATTCTTTGCGTAGCCAACAAGGATTTATTTCTGACAGATGACAGCAAAAAATTTCGTAATGAGTACCGATTACTACAGCAAATGGGCATGGGTATCAAATATCAGGAGAAATGCCAAAATGGATTATTGTGATTGAAGCAGAGGCAATCACAATAAGCTACTCATCGCATATATTTTTGCATTTTCTTTTATATTTTATTCTGATTACGTTTTCCTCATGTCTCATTCGTAAACAACAGAAGGGGATTTTGCTTTTTGTTTATATTTTATCGGAAATCCCTTTATTCTTCTTATTTATTTCGTTGGGGACGTCTTTTATTTTGGTTTCCGAAACGCGCCGTATTTCGCCGATCTCGGAAAGGTTCCGGTAAATTAGCCACATATCCAAAGAGTTTGTCTTACGTTTTGCAAAATAATCAAAATATATTGTGATCCGTTCCATACCTTGTCTAGTAGTGGTCAACTCATCATCCAAAAAGTCTTTGAAAAGCGAACAAAATGACAATTCTCTATAAAGTTCAAAACCCCGGTGGCAACAAGGATGGCTATTTCCTGCAGAATTGTGTTCTATGTAGGATCTCTGTCAAAAACCTGGTAGCTTATTGTGTCCATCAAGCTCTGCAGAGCACCGTGTCGGTGTGTGACATCGTCTCTCCGTGGCAGAGTTTTAAAATAACCACATCGAAGAATTTAGTTTCCGTCTTGGAATGGAATCAAACCGGTGAAATGTTGCTGGTAGGATATAAGAATGGCATCTGCGAAATATGGATAACACGTCGTCATGACATCAACAACTGGAAATTGGCGTACAAAGCCAATTTAGCCTGTGAGGAAATTATACAAGCCAAGTTCTTCCATAATGGCAAGCAAATGTTTTTCAACACGCACAAGAAAGATTTGCAAGCCTATTCCGATAAGTTTGAACGTTCCGATTTTCGTCCATCGTTGACTCACTTTGGTAGCACTCCCATGGAGGGGTGTTTCGTGCTATCGTCATCGGGGCTGATGGGGGCTTTTGCAATACCCCAATTACTACCGCCCATGTTTGATGTAGGTGGAATCAATTCCCAGCCCGTGGAGTTAAATGTCCACACTTACAGTTTGGAACTATCTCGATCGTATATTACCCACAGCTGTGTTGACTACAATCCCAGTGGAACTTTCAGTGTTGTGGTCAATAGCTGGAATGAACCTTTGATTAATTGCTACAAGGTAGCCGTCGAAAAGGAAAAAGACCAAGAGTCTCTGGCATTGAAATGTGGTTCAATGACAAGTGTCTTCTTTCAAAAAGATGAACTGGAAAGTAAACAAGTCTCTCACATACGTTGGCGTTTCATAAACGGCGATGAAATGCTGTTCGTGGTCTACGACTACATGGAGGGTAGCTTTTTGGAACAATGGATATTGACAAAGAAACATCAAGCGGTCCATAAACTTTTGCAAAAGAACAAAACTGATTTTGTGCAATGGGAACAATGGGAATTGTCGGCCAAATTGTCACTGACATCCAAAGTTTGTGACATCTGTTTGACAAAATTGCCCTCGGATACGCTTTTGATATTTGCCACTCTAAAGGATTATTCCGTGCAGGTACTTGAAATGGGCCTTAAAAAACAGGCTGCCCTTGTTGTGGAGCGAATGCCCGAGGATCATCAAAGAGCTCAATGCAAACTGCTGGTGTCGGATATAACTTTTCTTAACCAATTACTAATCATTTTCGATAATCTGGGCCAGATGTATGCCATGCAAGTGCCCAATCATCATTACGACAAGAATTACAAAATGAATCCCCTCTCACTGCCAGCCGCCTTACTGGAATATTCCATAGTCACAGGCATAGATGCCAGTGATGTGCTGATGTTGAATCTACCCAACCTTGAGGTGTTGGCAGAAAAAATTACCGAAAATTTTACCAGACAACATAATTTTACCCGCCAATACTACTACTCCAGTTTCCTGTCGTTGAAGAGTAACCTTTGCCGTATACAAACCAAACAACAAGATTTCGATGATCTCATAACTTTACATTCCATATCGATTGCCTTCAAAAGCCTATTGAGACCCTCGGACTTGAGTTCACAAGACAAGGGACCTGCTGAGAATCTTTCAATGATATTGTCCGATTCGAATCCCCAATACAATGATGTAGATAAGGTTTTGTATGTATTGGATGCAAAGGATTTCACAGTGGAACCCATCACCCTACAAAGTTTACAACAACTGATCCAATGGGTTGCCGACTTGGCACTCAGCATACTTAACAAACTCCCAGAGGACATCATGAAGGCTAAATTCAACAAAAAGCATGGCTATGATATTAGTCGTGATATGATAGCCATCAGTAGCATAAGAGAACTTTTGGTTATGATCCGCATTTGGGGTCTGCTCAATCCGTTGTGCTTACCCATTTATAAGAAATCGGTGGAGAATTTTGATGTCCTTCCGGTTTTGTTCCGTTTGCTCACCAGGCTCTATCAAAATCCCAATGAGCCAGATGATGTGCTGCTCGATGATTGTAGTGTGCTGTCGACACAAGTCCTTATACCCAGCCGCCATACAAATACCCCCACAACATTGTTGAATAATCATGCCACAGCAAAACTGTTTCCGTTTGTTTTTCAAACATCCGTTGAACCATTGGCTCTGCAGGATCTACACTATGATGAGGTGGTATTCTCGCATAGTTGTCGAGATGATGTCAGTAATTTGCACTTGGGTTCGAAAGTGAAGACCATAAGGAAATGTGTACGCTGTGGTTTTATCAACAACATAAATAAGACGGCAAAAACGTCGGCTTTAAAGGCCTGGTGCCAGCGATGGCAGTACTGCCATTGTGGAGGATTTTGGTTAACTGTTTAAACTTCCAAGTGCTTGGCTATAAACGAGAGAGATTTATTAGTTTTTAAGTTACACAGTTATATTTGTACGCAATAAAGACTTTGATTATAAGGGTACCTGTGGTTTATTGTTTTTTCATTAGGTGGGATGATGGTGGAATTTGTAAAAGTTTATTGGAAAAAAAAACTTTTTTGGAGTTTAATTTGACTTTCGGATAAATTTTCCCGGTTAAATTTGAGAAAAAGGTATGAGTATGAAGTAAACTGAGAACAAACGGAATCACCATGAACTAGCTGACTTGTAAGACTTTCCCTTTGGTTTTCGGCCATCCAACAATTGATAGACCTTAACTTCCCAAGAAAGGACTTCATTGATGTATATGTCTAATAATTTATTGCACTTTTTTGCATGTGGCTGCAGAAACAACAAAAACATGTTATTTGCACATGACCGTTAATACGTACAATGACAGTTGCAAACAAGTATGGTCTGTTCATTCACGGGAATGATTCAACAACTTTTTGCACATTTTCTGGTACGGAAAACAACTCGAAGAACATCCGTTTTTACACTTCATTATTATTTTTTTTTTTTTTTGTAACTTTTTCCATTTGTAAAAATGACTTTTTATACCCTACAACACTATGTGTTGGGGGTATTATAAGTTTGATTGGGCCAAAAATTATGTAACACCTCGAAATATTGGTTTCCCACATAGGAAAGTATATATGGATCTTCCTAGCTCGCCGAGCTGAGTCGATCTAGCTATGTATGTCCGTCCGTCCGTCTGTCCGTCTGTCCATGTTAATTTGTAATCACTCTACAGGTCGCAATTATGGCCCGATCTTCACGAAATTTAAAATGTAGGTGGGGTTAATGTCAGAATAGAACCCTATTTCTTTTGGAGATGATCGCCAAATGTTTAGGGGTTGAAATGGACCAAATACTGAAAAAATGTCGTATTTTGCAGTAGCTATACAGGTCGCAATTATAGACCAATCGACGCGGAATTTCGCATGTAGCTAGAGTTTAGGGCGGGGAAGAAGCCTACCAATTTGGGTGGTCATCGGATAATATTTAGCGGGTAAAAAAGACCATATCTTTTGTGTTGAAAAAAATTCAAAATTTTTCATTAAACCGCGAATATTTTAAATCCCGGCGAAATCACAAAGCAATGACAAGGTTACTTCTGACCTTTACATTGATTTTAACATCCAACAAAACGGATATATAGCAAAATATGTGCGATATATATGTTTATCAAAGAAGATATGCTTGAAAAATCTCTTATATGTCGAGAACGGCAGAACTGATTTAGACAGTTCTCATTAGTTCAGAATGACCTCTTGGCAGGAAAAAAAAAAACGTCTAAAAAATCGCATAAAAATATCTCTCTAAAGATGAAAATATTGATTTTGTAAAATTTTCTCATATTTTTTCAATTTTGTCATATTTTTGGCATATTTTCATTTTGAATTAAACATTTGGTAATATTTCTACAGCTAACAAAACTAAGTAGTTAGGATATCAGGATATCATATATAGATAGCATTTATGGCCCGATCCTTATGAAATTTTGCATGGGGATAAGATGAGGGTCAGAATAGAAGCCTACTCTTTTTGGAGATAATCGCCATATATTTAGGGGTTGAAATGAACCAAAAAGTGCAAAATTGTCAGCAGGTCGTAATTATCGCCCGATACTCACGCACATTTGAATGGGGGTCACCGGACATTGCAATAGCCAAGCAGTTTTGGATGGCCATCCAAAAATATTCAATGTGTGAAATAGTTTGCCAACTTTTGTTGACAAAATACGAAAATGTCCATTCCGGTGACTTTTTGGAGAATTCACAAATACAGGAAAGACGCACTTCTGGCTATTTCGTTAACGCTGATTTCGTTGCGTTTCAGCCAAAAACCAATAATAAATGTTAATCTTTTGCCACGTCTGAGGGATTATAGGTCTTTGGGAAATATTGGTTCCAGTTCTACGAAGACCATTTACGTGCAACATCTACCAATAAATTGAAAATGAGCAAATTAGTTTAAGTTGCTATTATTCGAAAATTAGAGAACGAAACCTGATGGTTTTCTTTTATAATTTGTCACAATATCTTGTGGAATTCTTTCGAGTATCTCGCCTATATAAACTGTATCGTTTATTATAGTGTTGTAGGGTATTCAACGGTCGACCCCGCTCGACTGTAGCCATTGCTTACTTGTTTTATTTATTTTACACTGAAATTTACTGTTTAAATAAAAATATATTTTCAAAAGAGAGGGAGAGAGATCATCATATGATCCTTTATGATTCATAAGTGTTTTTGAATGGGGTGAGAGGAAGATGAAAACTTAAATGACAACCGTTAAAAGAATGAGGAACAACAATTATATCAATCGCCGTTTTTACATTACCGTCATTACATATCTTCTTTTTTTAAACAGGAATGCCAAATGAGTTAATAAATTCGATGGTTAATGACCTGTATTTAAGACAATTACTATTTATTAATAATGTTATTATTTATTAATAATCTAATTATTTATTAACAATAATTTTTTAAAATAGTGGATTTATTTAATAAACGCTTATATGAAAATAGGAAGAGAAAATATTGCTGTTATAAGTCATGCAAACAATTTCGTAATTACCGATATTACACCGTAGACTTTACACAGATAAACACGGAATTTCAAATGAAACATTATTAAAAACTACACAAGTATATTTATTATTTGATTTATAATTACCATTTACTACATTAAACCAATCTAATGTTAATTTTTATATAAACTGAATTTACAAGTGTTTTTATGAATTATATTTAATGGGTGCGTGCATGAGAGGAAGATGAGGTCTTAAATGATAGCCGTTAGAAGAATGAGGAAACAACAATTATATCAATTGCCGTTGTTACATAACCGTCATTACATATCTTCTTCTTTAAGAAAATAATGCCAAATGAGTAAATAACTTTAGATTGTTTATGACCTGTATTTTAGACAATTACTATTTATTAATAATCTTATTAGTAATTAACAATATTTGTTGATTATAGTGATTTTATTTAATGAACATTTTTTATGAAAAATATCGGGAGAAAATATTGTTGTTATGAGGAATGGAAACCATTTTGCACAGATCTTTCGCATAAAAACGGAATGTCAAATGACATAGCCGCCAATGGCAAAGCCATGAAAAGAGCGCGAAAAAGTTCTAAATGTGGTAAAACGCCATTAAAAACTACACAAGTATATTTATTAATTGATTTTTAATTACCATTCACTACATCGAACTAATATAATGTTAATTTTTATACAAACTGCAATTACAAGTGTTTTTATGAAATTAAATTAATGCTTATCAAAACAATATAAATCAAATTTAGCGCACACGCGAAAAATGGTTATCTATTTCAAATCTAACTGTTATCTCTCTTATCGAAGATGTTGACAGCATTAAATATTGAGTTATTGTAATTGAAACAAAATATTGCATAAAATTAAAATTCAATTTCGTCATAAGATTTTGTTCATCAACAAATGTTTCTAAACATACAACCAAGAATACATGAGAAATAAACACTACGATATCTAACCAACACACTGACAATAGCTACTCCCGAAAATCAACCAAACACCTAATCACATTGTATATAATAGGTACTAACAATCGAATAAACAAAACAGTCATTCTAATACAACGGATTGGGAATTGTTGCAGCAAGATAACAAACAGTATATTCTGGAAGCCAAAATATTTCATATAAATAAACACATATTTCATATTCAAATTTTATAAAAAAAAAAGAGAAATACAAATAACAAAACAAAATGAAACCTCAAGAACCTCAAGTGCAAGAGCCAAGTGTCCAAAATGCACCGGAAATTCCCAAAGAAAACTGCAAAGGAGGAAAACACTGGGTAAGTTGAACGCAAAAAAGGAACAACACAAATTATCAATAATTCAATATGGAAGAAATGTGATGTCATGATGTACAAACACTTAATATGTGAAAAAGGCATTTGGGAGATAAATGCCCAAAACAGTTATAGAAAAAAAGTGAAATAAAAAATCTAAAATTCTTGCTTGTTTTTAAGTGCCCAAAAAAATTCGAAAACAAAGTTAATTGGATTGATATGTTTAATATTGAATAATTAAAAAATGTAACCGGTATGGCTGGCTCATTAAATTTTGTTGATCTATTTTGCAATATGGAAACTTATGGAAATATATGGAAATGTTGGATGGAATTAAAATAAATTACAATTCGTGTTTCCTAATTTATTTTATAAATTTTAATAAGAATAAAAAAGTTTAAAATAATTTAATCACATTTTTATATTCATTTCCTTTAGAAAAGATTTAATTTTACTTCGGAAGAATTGCGTGTCTTGCATGAATGCCGGGAGGAGTCATTTTACCAACGTTCACTACCACTGGGATTGACATTTGGTGGAGCCGCCTATCTGGGTGTTAAAAACGGTCTTTTAAAGGTAAATATTCTAATCGTTCTCCATCCATAATCCAGTGAAATATTTACTAATTTTAATTTTCTCCACTTTAGCCTAATGCAAAATATGGTGCCGTGCCTAAAGTAGTTTTGGGTGTCATACTGGGATACTTTGTTGGCAAATGGAGTTACAAACAAAAATGTGCCGAAAAATTAATGGCTCTACCCGATTCGAAAATCGGCGAAATGATAAGACAGCGTAAAGAACAACATTCTTGGTATTTTACACCGACAGTTATGTGTCCAAAACCATTTGTCAGGGATATGGATAGTAAACCTGCTAAAACTGCAACTGAACAAACCGATAAAACTAATGACACAAATAAACAATCATTTTAATGATTTTTTTTTTTTTAATCAACATTATTTTTAAGTGTAAAATTTTATTAATTACTTTTATATGCTGTTACTTTCTGTACCATTTTTCATAGTTTACTCCATGTTATTGGAAATTAAAAATAATATGTTTTATTTTAATAAAAAAGATATAAAAAATATAAATTTGTATGTTAATACCAAAGTACACTTTTTTCAAATGTTTAACTAAAAAAAAATAGTGCGCTTACAGTTTACGAGTAGATTTAGTAAACGTAGTAGATTTAAATTGTCAATTACATTGCACATACGTCAAATAAATCATCATAAATACGTTATCCGCCTAAAAGCTCCAATATAAACATGCTATTGTTTTGGATTACAATGTTTGAGGTCATTGGAAAAAGGTCCTGAAAATATAGTATATTGCACAAAATTTAGAAAAAACACTCATTTATTAAAAATAAAAAGAAATTACTAATCTATCAGTTTTTTACAAGGGGAACAAACGCTCAGTGTGTAAACACGGCTATTTTTGGAATTGTGCTGCTGATTTATGTAAAGTTGTCTATAAATTCATTAGTCAATGTTCAAAATAGATCTAACCATGGTAAAATAATTACAGAGTTTATTATTTTTTTTTTTTTGACACTTTTCTCAAAATATTTTCATATTAAAGTCGCTAATATTTTTTTTTTTTACAATACCTTGTGGATGCATCAACGCTTGGGAATATTGTATTTTAATTAATGCAATTAATTAATTAAATTAACCTATAAAAAATTAAATGTTGTTATGATTTGTATTTTTCAAAAATGTTAACGAATTTAAATCAAAATTGGTTTGACAGTTCCTTGTCTCAGCAGCTGTGTCGATGCGATTACCTATATTCTTTTACCATGTACCATGGATCTAACATTTGGGCCGTTTTTACATAGTTTTGCATTTGCCGCCTAAATTATAAATTAATTGGAAAGTCATGTCGTATCGCTCCTCAACGCCGAGTTTTTTGTAATTTTCATCCTTTTGTACTGCTTTGCTGATTAGTGCCAAAAACATTAATTAAACCAAAACACAAAACTTTGAATGTATTAGTTCCGTGCTCTCTTTTGGGAATGTTTAAATTGAACGACTTCACTGTGACTCTCAGACAACGAAGCGAAACAATTTTTTCCGGCGGCGGCGGCTCGTCAGACTTTTCCGGCGGCAGTGATATTTTGGCGCAGAAGATAGATATATACAAACTAAATGAATTAAACATTATTATTTTTCAAAACAAATTTTGAATATTTAATAAAAATTTGGTGAAATATACCCATATTTTAGCGATATTTCCTTTGGTTCATGACGGCGATTTAAGGCGACGTAAACGGCGGCGGTGACTTGCCGCCGTTTTGCAATCGACTTGCTTTCCTTCTGTTGACAGTTGTATAATTTTGTTTTTTCGTTTTATTTCATCAATAAATATCACAATCGTTTCAATAATTGTGAAATAAATATAAATAATTTGAATAAGTTGCATATTTTAAAACTAAAAAATGAATCCTCCAATGAATTCCGTAAATCCGCCAGATCAAAGGCCCCAACATCCATTGGTAAGATAAGTCAAAGAACAAATGAATGAGGATGATATTTATATTTTTAGAATAAGACTTGTACCGGCCGGTAAAGTTATGTCTCGGAATCGCCTGCTAAGAATTGGACTTGTGTAGGTACCGGCAGAAGTCTTGTATAATTGATCTTTCTCTACGACAAAACAAGAACTTAAGACATCGTGTGGACAGTTGCAGGAAAATACCTACCCTTTAGAATGATAATTTCAGATTTTATGCATTTTAAAGGCATAGTTGATTTTTTTAATGGATATTTGAGCATTTTCTTTCGAGTTGAGCCTTTAATGGCCTAAAAGATGCCATCGAAAATTGGAATCTAGCGAAGTCCCACGCACCAACCAGCCTTTGGATAAGCGGTTTATCAGGTTGTTAAATTTTTTTCGAGTACGATCTTTCACGTTTTTTCTTATATTATTTATAACTCAACGTTTTAATGGTTTCTGAAGGACTATAACCTTATCGCTATATATAAAGGTCAGCTAAGTTACTTCGTCGAATCTTCATAGTCCCCTAGCAGTTGAGGGCTAAAGCAGACCCATAGACACCGAGTTGCCAATAAGAGTCTTCATAGACTGACTGAGTTACTAGGACCCATGGTAGAAGAATATAGGTAGACGCATCAAAACAGCTGCTGGGACTATGAACTGTCAAATCAGTTTTAGAATTGAAAATTTTGAATGAAAAATTATTTAAATTTGTAAAAATTGTTGAAAAACGCGCATGACGTCGCATAAGAAAAAATCTACTTATATTTGAAAAAACATTTAAATTATTTTGACATATCAATGCTCCCAAGCGTTGATGCATCTACCTGTATTTTTCTGCCATGCTAGGACCGCTAAATAGATCTGGTCATAGCGTGAATCTGAGTTACCAACAGTTATTTTTATAGCTTACATCAATTTTAATCATGCCCTTTCAGGCCAATTATCAATTTACATCGGATGAGCTGCGAGTATTTCGCGAATGCAATACGGAATCATTCTTTCAACGCTCCCTTCCTTTGGGTACAACATTTGGTGTTGCTGCATTTTTGGGTGTCAAACAAGGTTTTCTTGCCGTAAGTCGTGGCCAATTTAAAAGCCTCTTTTAATTCAATTAATTAATTTGAATTATTACTTTTCTAGCCCAACATACGCTATGGACCTGTACCTAAAGTAATTTTGGGTGTCATCGTTGGCTATTTTCTGGGCAAATTTAGTTATCAACAGAAATGTGCCGAAAAGATTATGGCCTTGCCCAATTCTAGGTTGGCAGAAATTCTAAGGCAACGCCAAAGTCAACGCGGTGGTTCGGGTTTCTTAAATCCTGATCAGAGTATTGGCATGGGCATGACATTGGGCCAATTTAGCCCCAACAGCAGTGATGTTTACAGTGATGAACATTTGCATCCTGATGCCAGGGGCAATGCTCTTAATTTGGACACTGAATCAAGGCCACAGTTTGCCGGGCTTGATGATATCTATCGGCCAAGTTTGGATAGTAAGTTAAGGGTTTGTTTCTGTAACGAAGTAGATGCGAAAAACATGACCCAAAATTTTAAAAGATCAAAAAATTAAAGTAAAGTCGAAAGAAACACAAAGTTTTTACTCTAAACTGAATTTGAACGGTGTTTTTCCTTCGCACACTTATACAGAGACAGTTTTTAAGAAATTATTTCGGAAGAAAATAATATTTCAATTAATTTGTAATTTAATTTCCAGCTCCTTCCACCACCCATGTGGACCCGGATATCCCATTGGAGCCCGTTAAGCCTGGTATGACCTATGATGAACTACGTAAACGTAATCGAGAGGACTTCATGAAGAAACAACAAAATCCCTATTCTCAACCATTGCCACCAGAGGCCCCAGTTGTTATGCGAGCAACACCCCAAAGACCCCCAACCGCAGCTGATGACAGAAACACAAGAAATATGCAAACCAATAAATATGGAGATGCCTGGTCGGAATAGATTCACCAGGGAGACAAACAAAATTTCTTAAATTTTCTGCGAAATGAAAAAAGTGCTTTAAATGTTTTTGTTATGCTTTTATTTAAATAACAAGTATAAAAGTATTAAAAAAGAGAAACTTTGAAAACAGAATTACAGAAGCCCGGCTTCTCAAAATAAATGTGATGTATTAATTACTTCTTTGCTAAATATGATGAAACGACCAGTACTGAAACTGATTACAATTTACCAACTTCATAGAGATAGGCACCCAAAAGTTTGGTCTAAAGGAGGAAAAGAAAAAAGATTTAAAAATTGATTAAAGTGTTATAAAAATAAAACACTTACTCCCTCAATGTAATTAAATATGTCAATCTTTTCATTCTGCGAATGGGCACCATCATCACAGGCTCCCACTGGCACAAGAATGACATTCTTGCCGGTGGCCTCTTGCAAGGTCAAGGTAACGGGAATAGAACCACCCTCGCGTGTCATATCAGGATCCACCTTGAAAACGTGTCTAATGGCAGTCTTGGCAGCTTCATAGTGTGGATGATTGGGATCTTCAGTCCATGGCTTGCCAGCCGAAACCAAAGAAACTTTCATTTTATTTGGTGATCCACGTTCAGCCCATTTGTCGTTCAAATATTTGGTTACACATTCGGTAATGTGTTCGGGATCTTGATTGGGTACCAAACGAATGGAGAATTTACCAATTACCTTGGCGGGGATGACAGTCTTTGCACCAGGCTCATAGAAGGCACCTTCAATGCCGTGTATCGACAGGGATGGATAACGCCATCTGGCCATAAGCAAGCGGGTTTTGTCTTCATTGTGTGGTAGTTTGGTGGTGCCAACATCGTTCCTATTAAAATATCAAAAATATAAATATTAGTCCGTAAAAAGTTGGGGGAAAAGATCCAATTTTATGCGAAATCATACATTTCGATATATTACATATTCATATCAGATTTCTGGTTAAGAAAAATATTCAGATATAGAAAAGTTGTAAAGAATCACCCACTTGTTTCGCAAGTTATGACAGATATAAGTATTGGAAATTGTGAACCTTTTTGGGTGAGCTACCAGAAGGGGTATATATCATCTTCACAACAGCAAAAATAATTTCGCTTTTTTTGAGTGTTTTGTTTTTCAAACATTTTGAACGCTATGCGGGGGAGGTACTAGAAAAAATGTTCCGATCTCTACCATCTTTATAACAGATCTTTCGTTTACGGAAATATTGATATGTGCTAAGTCTGAATGGAATCGGATGTTAATTTCGTGTTGTATGAGCTTCATGAATATTCAAAATTTTGACCCTTTGTGGGGAGGTACCAGAAGGAGTGGACCGATATATCCCATCTTCATACCAGACCTTGGGCTAATACAAATATTGTGATATGTGTAATTTGAAGAGAACCCGCTGCTTATTTCGGATTTTATGATCGTTTTGGTTAATCAAGACTTTAACATTTATAGAGGAGGTGCCAGAAGAAATGGTCCGATCTCTATCATCTTTATAAAAGATCTTGTGTTGATAAAAATATTGAGATGTGCCAAATCTGAATAGAATCGGATGTCAATTTGGTGTTTTATGAGCTTCATGAATGTTCAAAATATTGACCCCTTGTGGGGGAGGTACTAGAAGCAGTGTACGGGTATATTATATCTTCTCAGCAGATATTGCGTTAGTAGAAACAATGGGATGTGTGAAACATGTAGAGAACCGGATGCTGATTTCTGATTTTATGATCGTTTTGATTATTTAAAACTTTGACCCTTTGTGGGGGAGGTACCAGAAGGAATTGTCCGATCTCTATCATCTTCATAACAGATTTTTTGTTGATAGAAATATTGAGATGTGCCTAGTCTGAATGGAATCGGATGTTGATTTGGTTTTTTATGAGCTTCATGAATTTTCAACATTTTGACCCTTTAGGGGGGAGGTACGAGAAGAAATGAACCGATATATTCCATATTCACGCCAGACCTTCGGTTAAAAAAAATATTGTGATGATTGTCATGTTTTGAATTATTTTCTTTGAAAATATTGACATTTTTTGGGGAGGTAACAGAAGGATTGGACCGATATTGCCCATCTCCGAACTCGATCTAGGTTTGACAATAATATTACGATGCACCATATTTGTATCAAATCGGATACTCCCTTCGAGATTTATCGTTCGCATCAGCCACGCAGAATCTTTCATCGCCCCCTTTTTCTTACGGTGTACCCTCTATGACCCACTGTCTCGAAAAACAACTAAAGACATGAATTGCCTTCAAGATAAAGAAATACATTTCTTTTTCTCTTTTGCTTTTGGGAATTCTTAAATTCTAATCTATCGAGCAATATCAGACGTTATCTTACTTGTAATCTTCAACTTCGTAATCAATATTTTGATAGATTTCATTTTCGTTATGCAGCAAGGGAGCAATCTAAAAAAAGACCAAATAAATATATATTGACACACATAAATAACTTAAATCCACACAAGTGGTAATCTTTGCCAACAACTTACGTCTCTTTCAATACCGGGAATTTGGATCTTGGTGTCCTTATCAACCAATGTGCTTAGCAACCAGCATAAATCAGGCATGGCCTCGTGAACGGTACCGCCAAATACGCCGCTGTGTAAATCTTTGCGGGCACATTCCACCTCCACGGTATAGTAGGCCAAACCACGCAGGCCATAGGTGAGGCAGGGACGTTTCTTGCCCAACCAATAGTTATCGGAAATGCACACAAAATCGGTGTTGGCAAGGAAATCATTTTTACGTGCCATCAATAGATCATCCAAATTTTCACTGCCACTCTCTTCCATGCCCTCGAAAACGAATTTCAGATTGACCGGCAATTCGATGCCAAGTTTTTGGAAAGCTTCAACGGCATGAATCCAGCATAGGACGGGTCCCTTGTCATCGGAAGCACCACGGCCAAATAGTTTGCCATCAATTTCGGTCAATTCAAAGGGTTCGGTATTCCAACCGTCTTCTTTGAGGGCGGGCTGTACATCTAAATGGCCATAGACTAGAACGGTTTTCTTTTTGGGATCTTTACCCAAATCGGCTAGAATAACATTGGGCAGAGGTATCTTTTTGCCACCGACCAAAGTTTGTTGACCAATGTCGGCCAATTCAATTTCAGCACCCAAAGCCTTCAGTTTATCAGCAGTCCATTCGACCATACGTTGGATTTCACCGCGTTTGTCGGGCCATGCGGAAACGGATTGTATGGCAACGGCAGTTTTAAGGACATCAATGTATTTGGCTTTGTTTTCTTCGACGAAGCTGGAAAAAAGGAAAACAAAAGAAAGCGAAAATTAAAAAAATGTATTTGGTGAAATTTTTGCAATGTTTTAGTTATTTGTGATATGACCGAAGGTAGCAACAAAAACATTTTTAAGGAAATATATATTGATTCCGTTTGTTCACTTTACATAGCTTTTTAAGAGAATAAAAATATCTTTCCTCTCTCAAAAATATGTTGCTGCACAATTTCTGCAGGACAAGTAACCAGGCTCTTCTTTTATTAAATGGTTTTCTGTACAAATGCCTAAGTCCAAAAATGTCCAATTTTCAGAAAAGTAAAAAACATTGTTGGAACTTTTTCAAGAAACCATCACAGAATTATATCCTCCACCACGTAAGATTATATTAAGTTTGTGACAACCATTCGTAACTCATCCTCAAAGTCTAGAATGTTTGGCTTAGCCATTTGTTTGATCACTCTATTAAAGGTAAGCCAGTGATTTATTTATTCATTAGGAGTTATTGAGAATATGTCTTTTATGTTTGGTGTAGCATAACATATAGCCACCCAGCTAGACTTCCATTTTGTTTCTTACTCATTTTAATTGCTTCTGTTCAAGTGGTGGCGTTAACGGTCTCAAATTAATGTAGAATACAATCCACTATGAACAACTTAATAACACGATATTTGAAACCGAAGACGATGTGAATAAAAGATATTGAATTGCAATAAAAAAAAGAATCTCTTTGTTGTTATGACAAATTGGAAGCTAATGACTCACAAGTGTAATACAAATCAGTTTATTTTAAAGAGAGTGGGTGCATCTTGTTGACACTGAATATTGGAGGAAATTTTCATTCAAGGAGTGGATTTTTTAAAATATTTTTTAAGGTCTTTCGGCGCCAGAAAACTTGTTTTTTTTTTAAATATATGTTTTAAAGATCAGTCAGATCTGCAAAAATAGCATTTTTTAACTTTTTAAAAATATTTTCCAAGTTCCATAAAAAGCCACAAAATGTGGATTTTTCAAAAATATTTTTTCAAGGTCCATCAGAGCCACAGAACGCGTTTTTTTCGAAAATAAATTTTCAATATCCGTCAGAGCAACGTGGATTTTTTTAAATATCATCACCATCAGAGCCACTAGAAATGGATTTAAAAAAATATATATTTTCAAAGCCCACCGGAGCTACAAAACGTGACTTTTTTTAAATTTTCCAAAAAAAAAAAATGTCCAAGTCAATTTGAGCCACAAACCCTGGATTTGTTTAAATTTTTGTCCAGGTCCATCAGAACGTCTACCATTTTATGGATGATATATTAAGTTTATTACTCTGTAACTCTTCAAAAAAAAAAAAGGAATTCAACAGCCACAAATCTTGGATTTTTTAAAAATATTTTTTTAAGTTCCTCAGAGCCGCAGAATGAGAATTTTTTAAATTTTTAATTATATTTTTCAAGGTCCATCAAAGCCACAAAATGCGTTTTTTTTTTTCAAAAATATTTTTTCATGGTCCATCAGAGCCACAAAATGTTTTTTTTTTTTTTTTCGAAAATATATTTTCGACATCCGTCCGTCTTTATGTTATTTTTTTTAAATATGTTAAAAATAATTTCTATGTCCATCAGAGGCATTAAAAGTGAATTTAAAAAATCATCGCCACAAATTTTTTCAAGGTTCATCTGAGCCACAAACCCTTGATTTTAATTTTTTAAAGGTCCATCGAGCCTCTGCATCATTAGCATGAGATTCTACGAATATAAACCTGCGTCTTTTAGTTTTTTTACATCAAGTCGAGAATATGATGTCAGGTAAAATGACCCCCGCCACAGTTTATTGTCATTTGAGCTCTTTTTGTGGCATTTTCCATCACTTTGGCCAAAATATTCGCGAATAGTCATCACATTCTTGCCGGTTTTGTCTGTAATAACTGAAAGAGTCTGAGGCTTGTTGACATAAGCCCGCGGCTTCAAAAAGCCCCATAAAAGAAGTTTGAAGCCGTCAAATCAAGCGATCTAATTGGCCACTGCAAATCGCCAAACGGGAGATTTTGATTTTTCATGATTTTTTTTTGATGAAAAATCATCATCTTCTTGGTGGTGATTAAGGATGGCTTGAGCATATGTTAGACCTGATTGGCGGTCAGCAGCTAACAGCTGATGCACTATCTGGTCTTCAAATCTTGTACCAAAATTCGCTATAACTGTAATCGACTGATACCCATTTACGTGGCACGTCGTCTGGTCGATGTCGACGGCGCTTCTATGGCTACAGCAGTAATATTCCCTGCAGATCGAATACTCCGGGGTCTGCCACGCCCGACAGCATCTTCTGTTGAACCAGTCTCTTCGATGTGAATGGCTAAACGGCAGTGTTTCACCAGTAGGCGTTGGACGGCCACGAAATCTGCGACAAAATTCACGTTATACCAAAGTCAGCGACCGATTATTGGTCAAATAAATAGTCACCAATGTTCTGGAACAGTGTAGCGTAACATTGTTTATTAACGTGTATATCGCATGTAGTAAAAATGTCAAAACAGAACTGACATTAGGGGCCAATCGTAAAATATATAGCATTTTCTGGTAGGAAAATTACTTTTGCGCCCTCCTTGTATGTCGATTTAGCCATGGTCGTCAATATGTCTGTGAAAATCACTCTAGTTTACGAAAGAAGTAAAGTAGGTGGACAAAATTTTACTCAAATTCATTTTAGGGTCACAGAATAGGCGTTATTGAAAATTGAAAACATCTCAAAATTGGTATTTGGAGTTTACAATAGGCACAGCCTTCTCTACCAGATAAGTTGCCAAACAAGTCTAGGTTTTCGTAACTATACCACAAGATTCTTTCGATATTTTAATAATTTTAAAGATTTTTCAGCAATTTTTTTTGAAATTTTGCAAGTTCCAAATGGTGGAGGATGTTAAATGTCCGACCCGGCCTAAACTATTTTACAGTTTTACTTGTTCAATTTATTTATTTTAGTTTTAATCCAAATTTCTAAATTTTTTGTTGGCTAATTTTTCACAAGAAGAACTTTTTTTAAATACTCTTTTGTTATTTTTTCCAATTTTCAATTTTTATCCCCTGCAAGTGCTACTCCGAAAATTAGTTACTTTTTCCATTGATCACACAATTACAAAAAAAAATGACCGTTTAAAAACTGCATAGGTCACATGTGCAGTGGGAAAGTGCCACCAACCATATATATATTTCACCACACCCATCGTACACTATCTACATAAAACAAAAAAAAAAAACGGCTAAAGATTGAGAGAAATTTATGGTTTGACGTATAAATTATTGATAAGTACAATAACATGTTATTAAACATATGTTGTTATGGAGGCCAATATACGCTGTGGTTTCCGATAACCAAACTAAACGATGGGTGTTTTTGGGTTGTCCAGCAAATGGTCATAACTTCTCCTATAACTCTAAATGACTTAAAGATTTATATATGACGGGAATATGTATAGCCATAAAACATTTGAAGGAAAATATATAACAATTTCGAAAGGAAAAAAATCAAAAAATTTAGTCTAGCATCGTGTCTTTGTAATAAAAAAAAAAAGAAACAAGTTAACAATAAACACGCCAAGTCATTATCATTATAACATTTTTTCGGATTTATCAAGGGACAATAAAGTTGTTTTTTTATAAATAACTACAGAGCAACATACTTGTATATGAATAAAAATAAAAAAAGAGATAAAGTATCAAATCTGTTTTCTGGAATTCATAAAAGGCAGAGGAGGAATAAAAAATTTCCACTCATTGGAAGTAAATACTTTTCAACTGTTTTGGATGGCTTTGTCATGTTTCAAATTTGACTGGTTTTTAATTTTTTTTTTTTTTTTGGTTTTTAAATATTTTTTTTTTATATATCATTATTTTTTGTTAATAAAACTATTCTCTTTTAAATGAAGTCAATGCCTTTGTTAAATCAAAGAAATCAAACATTTACAAAAAATAACTTGAAATGAGGAGTTTCTCATTCACTATCGTGTCGTCATACAAAGGCAGGTCCTACTTTATACAGAAAACAAATTACTCTCTTATCACCCAAGTGCAGAACAGACACATTCCGTAATTAGTAATACCATGGAGTGAAATAATTGAAAACTATTGGATATTACCATTAATGAGCTTTTTGTTTATCAGCTCTGAATGATAGGATTGAAATATATTGCAAAACTCCAGCTAAAAGTCTAATCTGAATATTATAGTGCGTTCAGGTGGTAAAGGACCTCAAATAAATCTTCATAAGGAAGGTTAACCCTTCCCCATTTCATAAGGGACTATTAATTGTTACAAGTTTTGTAGGAGAGGTACTTGATACAAATATTAGGGTACGCAAAGTTGGAGCAAAATAGGGTTATATTTTCTCTTTATGTGCAGTAAATTACTTTTCTTAAAAAATGTTGACATTTTGTGTGAGAGTGGACAAATATTACTCACCTCCGAACTCGACCTAAGTCTTACAATAATATTGCGATGTACCAAATTTGGATCAAATCGGATACTCCCTTCTAGAGTTATCGTACGCACCAGCCAGCCAGACAGACGGACGGACGGACATCGCTAGATCGATTCCAAATGTTCTGAAACGGATTTGGTCCAAAAACACCTATGGTCTAAAACCATTATTTCGATGAGGCACGTTTTGGCTGTATCAAATGATATATACCATCTGAGGGCATTATTAGAAACATAAACTGACTAAACGGGGAAAGAAATAACAATAATTCCTCTTCTTCTCGAATTACTATACGGTCAGAAGGAAAATTAATCTAGGGAATTAAAGTCGAATTTAACAACAAGACAATTGTACAAAGGCAACTTAAGTTCAAAGGCTAATTCAATTTAATTGACATTCAACAATGGCACACTTTCGATATTAATTTTAATTTTCAACGATTATTATAAATTATTATAAAATACGTTAAGCGTACAAAATTGTATTAAAATATTTTCTAGTTTTTAATAATACCTTTACTTTTACAAATGGTGTTAATTAAAACAAGTAAAAAAACATTAAGTTCGGCCGGGCCAAACTTTTAATACCCTCCACCTTAGGGTAAAAGAAACATTAGAAGAAATGTGGCAAAAACCATTCAAATGCCGATTATGGGGAGGTACCGTTATATGGGGGCTATACCAAAACGTGGACCTATAATTACAATGTTTCGCCACCGGAGCTGGAACCCATTATGACCCACAAATACCAATTTTTAGACAAATCAGTGAAAAAATGTGGCAAAAACCATCAAAATACCGAATATCGGGAGGTACCGTTATATGGGGGCTATATCAAATCATGGACCCATGCATGCAATGTTTCGCCACCGAAGCTGGAACCAATTATGACCAACAAATACCAATTTTCGAACAAATCCCTGAAAAAATGTGGCAAAAATCATCAAATTACCGAATATCGGGAGGTACCGTTATATGGGGGCTATACCAAAACGTGGACCTATAATTACAATGTTTCGCCACCGGAGCTGGAACCCATTATGACCTACAAATACCAATTTTAAGACAAATCCGTGAAAAAATGTGGCATAAATCATCAAAATACCGAATATCGGGAGGTACCGTTATATGGGGACTATACCAGAACGTGGACCGATATATCTCATTTTCAATACCAACCATCCTAGACACAATGCAAATAGCTCTGCTAAATTTTGGAGCTCTACGTCAAATAATGTGGGCTGTATCGTGATTTCAACAGACAGACAGACAGACGGACATCGTTAAATCGACTTAGAATTTTATGCTGATTATGAATATACATACTTTATGGGGTCTAAAACGAATATTTAGGGATGTTACAAACGGAATGACAAAGATAATATACCCTCCTTTCCAAGGTGGAGGGTATAAAAATAATAGAATGCAAACAAGATAGGTATCTGGGAGTAATCAAATTTGTTTTCCAATGTAGATACCCAAGTATAATCAATTTAGGTTTAACGATTTAGATTTTCAATTTCAAAAACTAAGAAAAGAACATATTTGCTGCATTTATTTGTTTTTTAATTGCTGTGATTAATGTTCTCCAAGAACAACAAAGAGTGGGGAAATGCCCTTTATTTCTTAATTTCTTGCGATTTCCTGATAAAATATAAAAATAATTTGGTAATGATAAAATATAAAAATATTTAGTAAAAACTCTACAATTAAACTATTTTTTTTCTTGGTGGACGGACCCGAGATCCCAGATTTTTGACTCGAAAGTCCGGATTCAAGACATGGAAAAGGTATTAGCACAAATTCTAGCATTTTGGAAAGGTAAGAGTATCAGCTATAATTTGGCATTAATTTTGTTGATCCCCAAAATGGGCCCTTTTTCGACTTTTTGGGTGTTTTTATAAAAAAAATCCGGTTCCAAATATTCAATAATTTGACTATAACATCCGAACCGCTTTAGAAAATCACTTTGTGACCACTTGTTGGATAGGTATTTTCATAAGCTATTAAACGGTGCCTATAGGAAAATCTGTAACCAACTTCAGACATCCAAGCCACTCGTCCGACAGCTTTTAAAATTATTCCAGTGACAGCTCATTATATTGTTTACAAGCGTACAAAAGCATTTTGGTGAGAATTTTTCAGAAAAAAATTATTCGTGATGGATTTCCAGAGTGATAGTGTGATTTCATTATATTTGGCTGGAAAACCACAAATGGCTATCGTTAGAGGACTCCAGCATTCAAATGTGAGTAAATCTTTTGTGTCTCGTACCATCGCTCGTTACCGTGATACTGGTAGCGTAGCCCGACGTCAAGGAAGTGGACGGAAGAAAATAGCAACATCAGCAGAAATGGTCGAAAAGTAAAGAAGTGGCAAATATTGAAAAATGATCTCGGGGTAAAGCGATTTAAATTCCAAAAAGTGAAAGAACTTACACCGCAGCAGAAAGAAAATAGACTCAAAATAAAGAGTTGCTTCGCTTGTCCGAAAGTGGCGAACTCCGATGAGAAAACATCAGTTGCCCAGCAGTTTGTAAAAAAAATGATCGTGTTAACTTGTCAAAGAGGTCAGCTGAAAATGTGCTTCGGTTGGCCACCAGAACTTAAGCGCCGGCCATGGTGGTGGTAAGGGCTGCCATAACAGCCGATGGTTGCTCTCCTCTCCTATTAATCGACCGTGGCATCAGAATAAATGCCGAATATTATAGCGAAAATATTCTGGAGGGTGTAGGAACCTTGGGCACGCAAACATTTTGGCCGCACTCAGCACGCGCCACCCAAGAATAATTACAAAATGAGGTTCCTCGCTTCATTTTCAGCGCACAATGGCCACCACAATCTCCGGATACCTATCCGTTGGACTATTGTGTCGGGAGTATTTTGGAAAGCAAGGTTGGCACTAAAAAAATACCAAAGTATCGATCACCTCAAGCAAGCGCTTCGCTGAGAATGGGCCAAAATACCGCAGAGCAATTTTCGGGCAGCGTATGACGGTTTCATTGGCCGTTTGAAGGCCATAATTCGTGCCAAAAGTGACCAGTTCAAATCTAAACTTATTCTAAAAGTTGATGCTTTTTCCGACATTTTTTGCTTTCATTCAATAAAATTAAAAAAAAAGTGTAAAAGTTATGGTGTTTGATTTTGTTAGAGTTTTTTTTTCATCCCACCCTTAGACTTACACATTCTGTGGAACTCCTTAAAATATTTCTTTCCCTTTCTTTAAGAAAATATTCTGGTTTTTCTCCATTGACAGGCACCTCCATTGACAGGCATTACCCATCATTCTTTGTAACAAATTCTCCTAGAAAGAATTAAATTACTTTGCGTGGTGTAATAATCTATATTTCTTATATCACTTTCTGATAATTATATTCCAAATTGCTCATATTTGAAAATAAATTTTAATAATGTTGCTGTTTTATCAGATCTTACATCCTCCTCGAACTGAAGAACTACAATTTAACTCCTCACATATAGGGGACTTATACTTGAGCTCAATAGCTTGAATCTGCCTTTTGTAAGGCAAACCTACGCCTTTTCCATAACTATTCTGTTTTCCACCATCAAATGACAATCATTGTTTCCCCTCCCTACCATTCTCATACGATCTCCTGATATGGTGGCGGCAATTCTGAAAACAAAGTACTATTATAGTCATAATAAATATACATTTTTTAATCTTTTGTTTAGGGAAACAACCGCAACAAATATAACAAGCAAATTGCTGCACACAAAGGCCTTTGTATAGCATACAGTCATGAGTAGTCAGTTAGCTAGTCCGGTAACCAATTGCAATCATTTCTAATTTCTCCAATGCAAACGTTTTTTCTTCTTCTTCTTTCTTTGCCTTTGCTCGCATGAAATTCACACACAACAAACAATCAGACCAGACATCGCGCACAGCTTAGTTTGTTCAGTTGTATTGTTGTTTTTGCGGCTTCTTTTTTTGGGTAAAAGTTAATTTCTTTTCTGGCGATGCATGGTTTTGCTGTTCAGCGTGTATTTTTTTTTTGCATGGAGGCAGGCAAGAGCAGCGACATGCATGAGTAACATTCCAATCGGTGGCAATGATACAGACACACAAATCACAAATGTTTAAAAAATCCAATAAGAAAACAAAATCAATCAATAATTATTTTGCTCATCTTCCACTTCAAACAATAATAAGAAGTTACAGATAATGCACTTCTCCGCTTACCTGAATAACTGGTTCAAAACACCGGGAAGTTCAGACATATTGTATTATTGTTTCTTTTATTTCTTTGCACTTTTTAGAAATTCTGTGTTATTTTTTTCGCTTTCTTCTTAATAAACACCTTATCGTACTTATATCGATGTATCACAACAACAATCAATTAGGAACGACAAATGAAAAAATACCGGCAAAATTTTGCGCTGTCTGCTCACACACTCCGCGAATATTTTTTTGTAAATGTCAGTGAGAGAGGCGAGCATCGCAGTTTAAATACTCGCGATTGGGTTGTCTTGGGGAAGTCTCCGAAGAGATAAGGAAAAACACAATTGAAACGTTGGCGATAAACGGGATTCGTCCGGCGGGATATTGACAAACATTTTTGAATGAGTTTGATCTTTTTGGTAAATTGACTTATTCGAGGGGAAAAGAGAGATAGCATGACATTACAATTTATTCTGATTTTTATTCCAGGCCGTGTTTACATTTACACATACATCAAATAGATCATAATACGTTTACCGTTCATTTACAAAAGCTAACATATTTGTAGAGCGATTTTATAATTCATTGTTTTGATTGCAGACAAAAATAGGAATAAATGAAAATTTTTATGATTTCGGAAATTAACGAAATCTATTGACAAGGCAGCGACCAAAATCAAGTAGCCGCTAAGTCCGTCCGCGTAGCAATAGTGCTGTGAAGTTATATTTATAATTTATATTCATAATTTTGCATTTTTTTTTTGCAAAAGAATAATGGCCTGTTCCTGAACTGCAAGTTTTATTTTTTTTACTAAGATAACAAATTGGTTCTTTTTAAGATATCGAGAAAAATTACAAAAATAGTAGATATTTGCATGATCTTAGCTATTTTCGAGACGCCTACGTCACATAAGCAAATTATAAGATTTGGAAAAACATTTGGTTTGTTCCAAATTTGTTCCAAGACAGCAAGAATACAAACGTTTTTACAATAAAGAATTTTCTCGAACAAAAATTATTACACGCAGGGCCATGACAGAAGAATTTCTCTTCAAAAATAAGTAGATTTTTACAGATTTTCCTATACGACGCCCATCGGTGGTTGTTATGATATGAATGAACTGTCAAACTGATTTTGGAATTGAAAATGTTGAATGAAAAATTATTGTAATTTGTAAAAATTGTTGAGAAATGTATGTTATAACAATTAACGATTTGCATCGTATAAGAAAATATATAAAAATTTATTTGTTTTTGACAAAACATTTTTAAAATTTTGACACATCAATGAATCGAAACAGCTGCTGGGACAATGAACTGTCAAAACAATTTTGCAATTGAAAATGTTGAATGAAAATTTATTTACATTTGTAAAAAATGTTGAAAATTCCGAATTATAATAACCTCCGAACGACGTCGTACAAGAAAACATATAAAAATCTACTTAAATTAGAATAAACATTTAAACATTATCAATATCAATGTTCCCAAGCGTTGATGCATCTACCTGTATTTTTCTGCCATGGCAGTTCCGTTTCTTCAATGTAAACGTGACCTTAAACATCAACATCATATCTTCTTCATCGTTCGCTTTCTCTGTATAATACATTCACCTTAAATTGATATCACATGACGGCGTCAATATTGAAACCCATGCCACCAACACGCATTGGCAAACGGCGTCAGCTATGTCAACGTGCGCCACCATTATCTCGATTGCACTGAGATATTTTCTTAAATATATTTTTGCTGTGGTTGAGAAGTAGTCGAGAGTTTATTGTAAACAGTGCAAATTAGGTAATTTTTTTTGTGAAGCTGTAAAATTCCAAGAGAAAATACAATAAGAATTTTAATGCCACTATAAGAAATATAGGTGAAAACTTGCCGCATTGTAATAAGCGAATGCTGTATGTAAATGTAAAACAAACGAAAAGAAGTGCATTCTGCGTGTGGAAACCATTAAATCTCGGACAAAACGAAAAAAAACCTTGATCAATTCCATTTTACACCAACACGACGAATGAAACAATCCGATCAACGCCTCTTAATAAAGTGAAGTGAAATAAATTTAATGCAAAAAAAACTAAAAAATAATTAAAATCAAAGGTGTCGTATGTGAATAAATAATGAACTCATCAAACAAAATTGGATATAAAATTTGTTTATAATTTTTTTTTGTGTGTCATCTTTGGTGTGTTTGTATGTGCGTGCTCTTTCGCCGAAAAACCATAATTTTTGTTGTTTTTGGTGGTTCTTGTTAAACAAAAAGAATGTAAAATGATAGAGCAATAAAACAACAACAACAGAAGAAAACAACAAAATAATAGAACAAGTCTAAGAAAAACATAGAAAACAAACCAATCCAAGAGAAAAACGATGCATAAGAATGTCTTCTTTTAGTTGTTGTGAAAAAAAGAGTGGTGGAAAATATTTGAAGCATAACTTAATTAAATCGTAATTTCTTTTCTTTTTCTTCTGTGTCTCATTTCATGGTGAAGTTAGTGAGATTTTGTGCGGTTTATTCGGCTTCTTTGGCAAAAGCAACATAGAAAACGGCAGCCAGCCAACCCATAGCGCCGCTAGTAAATTCAGCAAAGAAATCAAAACGTTGTGTTTGTTGTTATTATTGTTGCTAAACTAACGTTGACGTCAACGCAAACGTCGTCTTCATTATTACCGTCGTCGTGATTATCGTGTAATAGTCCAACCCAACCGACAAACGTAAAGCCAACATTTGTGACGGTCCCCAACCAAATAGTCAGCCGGCCTGCCAACACAATTTTACCACTTTGTTTTTTTTTTCTCTTCTACACAAACAACACCAAATCAAACAGCAAAACAATTTTTGCTGATTGCACTTGCTCCCCTTGGTCACTCCCCAATTCGCGTCTTGTGTTCTTTGCAAAAACAAAAAAGGTATGTAGTGAAGAAATAGTAGATGATAAAATGCTAATGTTGTTGTTGCAGTTTTTGTCATGTTCTTATTGCCTTGTACGTGTGTGTTTATAGTTTTGTTGCTTTATTTACTTATTATATCTACTTGTCATATTTTGTTGTAATGTTTTCTTGAAACAACTCTTTTTTGTCTTCTAATACTTACCTATGTGTAATTGTGTATGTTTATCATTTGTTCGTTGTTTTTTGTTCACTGCTTGCTGCTCTCTTTCTTGTGTTTCCATTTTCATTTGTTTGTTGTTGGTCTTGTTCTATTTTGAATAGAACAAAAAAACTCTTTCTGTACAGTTATTTCTGAACTTCCAAACGGCGAACACACAAATACCACTGTTATGTAGCAATAATAGACAACGGTGCGGAACGTCTAGTCTCGTATAGCGCGGCGGTATTATTATGTTACAAAAGAGCAGTCGAGGTCCGGTACTTTTAGATCTCCATTAAATAAAAAAAAAACTCACACAAAAGCCAACCACATACCTTTTGAAAAAAAAAAGAAACGAAAACAAAAAGAGATTACCTTGTCTGTGTTTCCTGCTTCTCACAGCACAGGTTAAGTAAGAGCATATTGTTGCCGTTTACCTTATAAGAGGAGTCAGCCAGCCAGTCAACTTCATAAAATAATAAAAAGGGGTAAAAAGAAGTAAGAAAATTAAAAATGAAAAGAAATTTTGTAAATTGTCAATTGTTGATATGTCGCCGAGCTGCTGCTGCTGTCACTGTCCACGGTGAGCAGAGATGCTGGGCCGCTGTCATCCAATGTAATTGTCATAATCGTCAATGTTTATTTTTCTTATTGTACTGTTACCCACCTATTGGAAATTGTCATAAGAGGGACAGATATGTATAATTTCGTGTAAAGCGCATTTCGCGTAAAAAGTGATGGAAAAGCGCATAAATGTAATATAGTATTGCTCTTTAGAATTCCGAAATTTAGAAAAAAAAGACATAAATCGTTTTTATTATAAAAAAGGGTAGAAGATTTTTCTTCTGGAGGTTTTATAAACGAAATTTATTAACAATTGTGTTTGCAAAGCAATTTTTTCATGAATTTTTCTTTCAAAATCTAATTTCCTTCTTACAAAAAATATTGACCATATTGGTCCATATTAAGGTATAGCCCCACATATATAGATATTTTCGATATTTTGAGGGTATTGACAACAAATTTCAAATAAGTATAGAAAACTGCATTTTTGGACCCCGCAAAGTATATATATTCTAGATCAGCATATGGTTTTATGGCTATTTAGCCATGACAGTCCGTCTGTGAAAGTCACTCAAGCTTTCGAACGGAATGAAGTAGGTAAACAAATTATTGGTGTTGAAAATGTGTAATATTGGGTTTTGGCATTGTACGAATATAACAGGTTTAAAGTATTTTCGATGTTTTAGTCCAAATTTTAAGCCGAATTTTCTGTAAATTCACAGTTTGTGTTCCCTTTAAAAAGGGAAATTCCTTACGGATAACTGGACATATAGTTTTGGTTAGACCACATATATTTTCAGATATTCGATATTTGGATGATTGTGTCGTACTTTTCCCTGAAATGGTATTTAGAGTTCGTAATGCATGCCTCATTCTATGACTGAAAATTGCCTATTTAGGACCACATCTTTGTATAGCCCTCCTTTTAACGGTACCTTCATATAGTTAATATTCCGTATTTTTCCTATTTTAGATACATTTTTCGACTGAATTATTTCATTATTTGGAATTTGCAATAAGCTTTATGTGGCGTATAATTGGCTATTTAGTCGCAGTCGCCATATAACATTACCACTCATTCGTTACTTTGAAACATTTTGAGGCATTTGTTAACAACGTTTTTTGAAAATGTAGTGAAGTGTATTAAATGTTCGGCCTGCCGAACTTGTCTGCTCTTTTAGTTTTTTTTTTTAATATTTTCCCAAAAAGTTAAACAAAAAGAAAAGTCGGACAAGAAGACTATTTTTGAACTTAGTAGTTAATATTGCACTATTTTGATGTGATTCAATTCACAATTATGTCTTTTGAATATAATTCCGGCTTATGAACCGTGACAATACAAGGGCTGACTGTATATTATCAAATTCATTTTATTTACAAGTTATCTACGCTTTTTAAGCTCAGAGTTGGCGGCATCACTTATGTGGATGCCGTTTTAGTGTTATTTTTAGTTCCTGAAACCTAAATTTAATTATCTTAATCATTTACCTTTAAATTTAATCTGACGCGTTTTTTTACTTCCACGTTGACATCACTCATTCTCAATTTCTCTTCAAATTGGCGGCCACCGTTGTCAATTACATGTCAGTCATCGACTCTTGCCAAATAAAATAAATGCATGGAGAAGGAGAGCGAAAACATACTGCAATAACAACAACAAAGCCTGCAATGAAAACGAAAATGAAACGAAACACAAAGTCCAAGGTTGCAGCAGTTGTTGGCTTTATTTGCATCAAATGGAAAAAATAAATAAGAATTTTTTGGTTTATCGATTTATTGACTAAAGGCGAGATGAAGTTTATATAGAATTCGCTACACGTACACATGTGTTTTCCCTAATTTAAATGATGATGATGATTACTCACTCACTCAGTCAGTCATCAGCTCTCGTGTTTATTTCTCGATTCTCTGCCCCGTTGCCTGCCGGTTGGTCGTGCTATTTTTCTTTAATATTTCTAGTACCTATATATTTTTAGCCTACCAAAAAAAAAAAAACAGCAGACTAAAACTCAAAGATTCTTCATCGTCACTTGATGGCATGATGTTTCAGTTTTCGTTGTTTTTTTTTTTTTTGTTCTTGTTACTTCCTCTGTGTAATGAGGAGCCAGCCAGCAGCAGTCCAACCATACATCAATTTTTGTTTTGTTCTTCCCTGACGCCTTGTGTGTGTGTGTATTTATGCACGATGTGAATGCCTGCCTGGCTTGCCTTTGTGTGTTTCTATAATTGGTACATTTTTACAACAAAAATAGGGAAAAGACTTACATTTCCCATCTTTTTTTCCACCGTCATCGCCATCGCCATCGCCATCTTCATCATCATTATTATGTTAATGTGCTGCCTGCCTGATTGTCATTTGTTGTGGATGCCTATATTCCGCTCTGTTTTGTTTATTTTCTGTCACTGAATTTTGTTTTATAAATTTTGTTGCATGCGTGCCAGCCTTACTGGCTGATACCCTGCCTTTGCATATGTGCCACAAGTCATGTAGTTATTTGAATATCCATGTGGCAGGCACTACTGTGTGTGTTTATGCGTTTAGTGACAATTACTAGCGATTGTATTGTTGTTTTCTTTTGTCATCCCCCCAAAATAAATATGACTTGGAGCTGTTTGTGTTTTAAAAGCAAAAAAAAAATACTATTTTTAATAAGACTTACGGCCTACCAACTGCCTCCAACGCCCCAACTGCCGTCATCGCCACTGTCATACGCACCATCATCATCATTGTAATATATTTTATGCTATTCTCTTCATTGCTCATCTTTTCCGTTTTATCTGCATTCTTTTTGTTTTTGTTCTTGTCTGTGTTGTAAATCCCCAAAAGCCCAGCCCCAATCGGAAAATGTAATAAAGATAGAAGTGGATAAAACATTGCTGCATGCATGTCGCCAGCCAACCAGCCAGCCATTCAGTCAGCTAGGCAGCTGCCACACACTCACACCACATACCCACGACAACGACGTCATTCTAATTTTATCAAGTAGCCAAGTACCCATTGATGTTTGTTGTCTATTTATTATGTTTCTTTTAATTTGCAATGTCAAACATTTGGCACTCCACACAATGCTGTTCTATTCAAATGGAAATCTTTTCACAATGGAAAGAAGGATGAATGTTTTTCATTGAATTTGATATTCATTGATGAAATTGTGGGTGGGTGGAAATTGTTGTGAATGGAAGGTGGTGGAGGTTGTGTACAAATTTGGGTGATAAATGGAAGAGACTTTAGGGGACTTAAGAGGTTGTTTGAAGGGGTTGTCTACAGAGAAAATGTCAGAAGGCAGTTCTGAAGGTTTACTGTTTACAATGGCTACGTACCTTAAGGGACAGGATACGTTTTAAGGAATCTCTATCCTGAGACATAGCAAAGGGCCACTGAACCTGGGCCAGCCGATGTGGCTATTCTCTGTCTTTTTTATACCCTCAGTCATGTGACTACAAATGGTATATATAATTTGATAGGACAAAAATGTGATTCATCGAAATAACGTTTTTTTAATCCCAGGTTACTTTGTTTGAAGTATTCAATCGAACTTGGAGATGAACAATAAAATTTGGAAAAAAAATTTACCGGAAGAAAAAGAAAGCATTCATCCGATTTTGTGCTGGCTTTGCAAATCTTTTTATTTGCATGAGTGGTAGGTCAGGTGTGAAAATGGAAAATATCGGCCCACTCCTTGTAGTACCTCTCCCTCAAAGGGCCAAATTTTGGAAATATCTTAACTCTTTTAAGAAGTGAAATAATAGTCAGGGGGTCTTAAAATTTTCAATATTTCTTTCAACACAAGACCTAGTGTGAGAATGTGACATATCGGCCACACCTTCTGGTACCTCCCCTGAAACAATGAAAACAACCATAAAATGTGAAATAAGGATCCAATTCTTTTAAAATTTCACAGATTCCAATATTTTATCTAACACAATATCTGAGGTGAAAATGGGATATGGTGTACCCCTTCCTCTGGTACCTCCCCACAATTGGGTCTATATTTTTAATAATTAAAACCTTCTTAATATGCGAAATAAACATCCGATTCTTTGCAAACTTCACACATTCGAATACTTTAACCAACGCAGGATCTACTGCAAAAATGGGAAATATCGGCCCACGCTTTTTGGTGTTTTCCCCACAAAGGGGTCAAAATTTGGAATAACCATAACGCTTATAACAGGCGAATTAACCATCTGATTCCCTTCAAATTTCAAACATTCCAATATTTCTATCGACACAAGATCTGGTGTGAAGATGGGA